TACTTTTGTTTATACCAGACTCACATTTCTACATCACATAAAACCTTATGAAAAGAAACTTTTTGGATCAAGGCTAAATTCGTAGCAACAACATTGACAGTAGACATACTTGGGAGATTATTTGAATCTGCATTGTGTAAAGATGAATGACAAACATGTTATCTATCTAATACCGACTAAACGAGTAAAGTGTTAAGACTGATACAGATGATCTTGTGACTACACAGTTTTCTTAAAGCTAATCCCTCGCTGGGGTCAGCTGACTGACCTCAAGCTCAGGACGGGCATGGGATGAATCCGTAATGCCAGATAACTCTGCCAAAGTAACCATCTCATTTTACACAGGCGAGTTTCAAAGGACATCCGAGGATTAGTGTTAGAACCTGACCTCAGCTTTTGTTACAGTTCGTAGGTGGACATAATGTCGCACGAGAATTCAGGTCGTTGCGCCTTTTGTTCAGACACATTTTAAGCCTGGGTGAACATTGTTGCGTTCTTGGGGAGGTTGTCATTATTCAGATTTTTTGTAGCATGTTATGGGGTTTCATGAATCGGTGGAATAATGTTAAGCAATGAAAAAGGAAATTGAAAAATGGATTTGAGGTGAAGTTGTGTGAGTGTGGCAGAAGGGGCTTAGCGTCAACTTTATCTTTTCTTCATTTCATTGCCACTTCTTTATTTTTCCTCAAGATTTTGATGCCCTTTGAAATGTGTGAGTAGAAAGGAATAAGGTTTGGCAAACATGACAGGAGATTATTTTGAATGTGAGATTTACATATGTTTGAGTTATACAGGTAATACTGTAGGAAACCTCAAGGGTTGGCTATGTTGTCTCCCTTCTGGTCACATCTGCGCCATTGAGAGCTTATCTGTTGTTTGTAGAAAATATGGATATAAGCATCACTAGCAAACAATCTTCAGGGCTGATTTAAAAAAGTATTATGAATTAAATTTGTTTATTGCCATTTTGATTGAATATAAAAGCATGGTTTGCAATGTTTTCGCAAAAGACTTTTTGAATTAAAAAACATGGCATAATAGATGTGCCTAATTGAGAGTGATTATTGTTGGGTTTTGTGGTTTTACCAATTTCTCTGATCATGCAATAACCACATGAAATATAATTCTTACGAAAATTTTTGTATAATTGAATCCCAATCATTTTTAAGCTTGTAATCAGATTCATGTTTCTTTACGCCCTAATATGAAATCAATTTCTCCCGACAACCATCTGCTAGTCATTCCATAATGACGAATTAACCAAACCAGCGCTGTTAACAGTAAACACTAAGGCAGTTGCACCATAATGGTGGGTGTATTGGTAATATCACATGCTGCCATCGTGAACGCCTGTGTGTAGGTGTATGGAGACGAAGTATTCAGTAATTCTCGCTAACTCGTCACACATTGTTTTCCTACCTCCTGTAGGAAGAGTTCTACTTGTTCTCATACCGGCTCCACCTGTCTTACAGGAAGGATACCACTTCAAGTTCAGCATGATTGACTGTAAACCTTGTCAGTACTGTATTCTCTATCTTAAAGGTAGGAGTGCAAAGTTTCATCAAGTCCATTTTATTTCTGATCAAATCCTATTTTATCGCTTGAATATTGCTGTCTTTATTTAGCCACCACCATGATGCTGTATATCTGTTCCTTGTATGATTCATTGTCTAAGGATTGCCTCACCGGACTTGTTTATCTATGTGACATCAAGATTTATGATTAATTAACATGCTGATATATTGAGGAAATGATATTTGAATTCCAGCATATTCTTCTTCGTTGTGTATATAAATAGCAACCAATGAGCTCATCACAATAAGCAGCTAAGATTAGTGTTGTATATCACCTGTCATTAAAATGTCCTTCATTAAGTTTTTGATGCAATTGTATGTCTACTTTGGGACACATTGGAATTAGCTTTGAGGAAAACATCACCAGGTATCTGAATTTTCAACAGAAATTGAAACTTATTGTAGATAATTATGTTTTTTCTCTTAGAAAAACGATGGCTTCATACATGAATTTTTCATGGTCAGTTATTTTATTTAAGAAGCTTCTGATTTCATCAAGCATGGCTAAACTTGTTTTCGTTGTATGTGAGAGCTAGTTGTATTTTCACTCACTCACCCTAACCCTCCATTATTGTCCACTATTATAGAGTTGTTAATATAAAGGTTACAATTAGTGTCAGACTTTTGTAACCGGCTTTAGAAAACTTTTGACACTGTGGTATCTGAAAGCTTTCATGGTGTTCAAACACTTGTCACTGGTCTTGCTAATGTGAACCAAATATACTTTTATCAGGTGTGGCTGTGACTTGTATGGGTGCCGATAACGGTTTGTACTGCTGTACTGATCAGATTTTTCTACAAATGGCTCCTGGTATAATGGCCTGAGTAGATTTAAAATCTGAAATATGTGTTGGTTGGTTCCAAGCACTGGCCGCTCATAGCCATGCTATGGACAATAGGGGCTGAATAGTGTGGAGATTGACATAGGATTATTGGCTGGGTGGAGTACGCCACTTCTGATCGGGATTCAAGTATTGGGGTATTTGTTTACAAACAGTGTGAGTTGTTGGGTGGTGCGGCCCTGTAGCATCACAGCAGATCTATCAGAGATCCCTGACCATTGAGTCGGGCAGTGCCAGATGTAAGGTTGGTGGACTGTTGGTGGGTGGCTGCAGGGTTCTCTGTTACCAACTGAGTCTACAGGAAGGAGTTAGTCTTCCATGGACTGTTCCTCCCCAGAATGGTGAAACAAAATTGTGTCTCTTTGGATGTGCTTCAGACATTACGATTTTTCTCTGGGAAATCAAAAAGTGAAAATGGTAAAGTTTTAGAACTTTTTTTTTATATCTTTCTTTCTCATCAAATAAGACTGGTTTAAAGAAAATATTTTACTGTTAAGTATTAAGTGATATGCCCTCATTTTGTGCCTGTGTACATGGTAGTGTGTGTATCCAACAGTTGGTTCATGGTTTGCTTATACTATACCTGTGGTGGAAAAACAAACATGTGGCTTCACTTTTCTGTTTTCTTTCTTTTTTCTCAAATTAGGCTGTGTAAAAAGTGAAATTCTACTTGTCTGTCAACATGCTCACTGCACGAGATTTAGAAATGTTAAGTGTCTAGAACATTTAAGAGCCTAACACTGTTTGCTTTATGTTTACCCTGACCAGAGCTTCCCAGTGAAACCATGTTTATCCATGCAGTACCTTACTAGTAAAATCTTAAGAATTTACAAATTTTCATGTCAATAAATCATAGGTACTGTTTTGTATTTGATGTATACATGTAAGTTTCACAGTAGTCTGGACGGTAGGAATCCAGGTTAAAGAGACCTGGTTAAGGTGCTGTCTGTAAACAAGAGTCATGGGATTGCAACAACTTCCCATTCTGTTGTCAACGCGTGATTGACTTTTTGTTTATATGTATTGACCATAATGCATCTGTTGCATGAATACAAAGTCATGCACAGACTTCTGGGAACTCAGATAATATCGATACAGTTGCCAACAGGACAGTCTGAGTGAAACACACGTTTTCTGACGGAGCATACTTACAGGAGTATATCCTGTGACTGGAACAGACAAATGATGAACTGAAATTGCATGGAGACTATTGTGGATAGTTGGATACCATAATGTGTGACGGTTTCAGAGGATATATGGTTAGGAGTGGTCTGAGGTTAGCCATTGCAGGATGAAGAGCATGACAACACCATGACAATTGAACGAGACTTCCTTTTTTGTCAGATTACAAATTGCTGCAACAATTATTTCAACTTATTGTAGTGTTTCAGCTTGGTAAACATCCATAACACTGGCAAGTTTTGCTGCCCAATTTCAGCTTACAAATGACTCAGTTATATGAACTTATGGTGCTCCCTCCCATGTAAACCAGGCCATGGAGGAGAAGGTAACAATGGAAGACAACCTGAGCACTCAGCATTCATAAGCATTGTTGAAGTTGACGTCTGCTTAATGAAACTCTCCTTGCTATGCTGTATCCATAGGGGCCAGGGGCTATCGGGGTCACAGACGTCCAGCATACTGACTCTGTAGAGGCTGATCATCATTATATCTGCACAAATCGGAACAAAGCTACCAGCATGGCAGTATCAGCCAAGGTGGCATGTCGCAAGCTATTGACAAGATTAAAAGTGTTGAAACACCTCTCATTGTTTGGAGGTAAAAAAGTCTGCTGCTAAATACCCAGCCCTTTCTGTGCCAGTCAGGCAGAAACTGCTAAGAATGACTTGCTTTGATCAGGAAATTTACACGAGCGTGTCATTCTGTTAGGTTTGAAGAATTTTTAAGAGTATTGCCATTTTAAATATGGAAGAGGCTAAAGGGATACTTAACAATAGATGACTAAGTCGTGTTTAGGGAACAAAGGCTTACGTTTTTTATTCTACATGACTAATACTGGCTCGGCATCTGCTGTAATGCCGTTCCGTTGTAGAGTGTGATTGTTAGGCTCAGGAGAACATGCTACAAATCCATCGGCTTGTTACAGGGATTGGGAATTTCCAAAATGGTCCAAAATCTTCTTAAAATATTACTACACTTTTGGATTTTCTCCAGTTTTATGGACGAGTGTTGTCGTGATATTGTTGGAAGCATTCGAGTATGGAAGAAGCTAGGCGTCTGCGATGCATTCTTGCTGATTACCATTCTTCAAGGTGAACACGGAGATCTTTCCTTTATATTGCTAGCGATTGTTTAGATGTTTGAAGGGTAGAAATATCCTGGCTATTTTGACATTACCAACTCTGCAGGTTTTTATTACAGGTAGTCAAATTGGCTCCAACCAGTAATCGCTTTGATGTTGGTTTTGTGTGATAGCTTCATTCAGTGATTCTTACATAAACTGAATTCTTTATTTTTAATTACCAGATATTTTTCAGGGAGTTTGAATTGCTGTCACAGAAGATATTTGTGATTGAGCATGATGCAAACAATCTATTTATATTTTGTTTATTATGTGTTACAGAAATCGAGGCAATAGAAGCGTGTAAATGGCTCCGAGCTGCCGGCTTCCCCCAGTATGCCCAGATGTATGAAGGTAGGTCACGCTTCACCGATCAAACATCCATGTGAATACCGGGGGACACACTTTGATCTGGTCCAATAGCTGCAAATTAACTTTATTTTGTGTTGAGAAGCTTACTAGAAGATTAGCGCCATATGGGGAAATCTATCTGTTCATTTGTATTTTCTATGAGTTTCTTAGGTCTGTTTATGTATATATGTCTCCATCTGTCTTTCTGTCCATCCTTTTGGTTTTCTCTCAAAATGTCGGTCCATCTGTCTATCTATGTTGCTGGTGTCTTCCAATGTCTCCTAGACTAATGCTTAGTCTCTGAATATATATAATTTTGATAGTAACAAGCAAGCCCATTTAAATTTAAAAGAAGCCCCAGGGAGACCAGAGATTCAGAACCTGAGAAAATCTTGCTTTATTTAGGGCTTTAGCACTGCAGAGAGGGCTTGGCAGTAGGGAAAATAATGTGGTTCAGGGACTGTGAGACAGACGAAATGTCTCCCTGATTGATTCTATTGTGAACCCATTAAACTGTACATCATTTATATGTCTCTATGAGTTTTTTAGGTCTGTGTTTTTATGTCTTCATCTGTCTTTCTGTCCATCCTTTTGGTATTCATTCAAAATGTCAGTCACTCGTCACACTGAAGACCCGGGTTCGATTCCCTACATGGGTACAATGTGTGAAGCCCATTTCTGGTGTGGGGTAAGCCTAGTGGTTAAAAGCAGTCACTGTCACTCTCTCTCACTCACTCTCTCTCCCCCTCCAAGTTATTTTTCTCTCTCTCCCCTCTCTCTCTGTCTATCCAACATGATATAGCTGAATATTGCTGAAGCCCATTTCTGGTGTTTCTCTCTCTCTCTCTCTCTCTCTCTCTCTCTCTCTCTCTCTCTCTCTCTCCCTTTCTTCCCCAATCTCTCAAAAACCCCACCAACATGATATAGCTGAATATTGCTAAAGGCAGCGTAAAACTAAACTCACTCACTCACTCACTATTATCTATCATTTAATATACCTGTCCAAGTTATTGTTTTCCCTTCGTCTATCCATCCTTTTGTATTTCTGTCTGTATCAGTCTATTCATTTCATTGTCTACCTTTCATCTTCATGACTCTCCACCCAGTTGTCTCTCTATCCTCCCTCAGTTTGTCTCTATTTCTCTACATACCTTTGAATGTCAAGAATCCAAGCCTATTTTCAAGCAAAAGCTTTTCTTTTATTTTCAATCTGGTGACAATCTCATTGCACCTACAAAAACGGTTGTTACCCAGAATAGCTTCTAACATGAGAAAGTGGCCACTTTACCATGACACTATAATTACAACCGAAGCCCTCTACAAACACATAAGTAGTGTGAGGTATTTCACTTCGCTCGGCCCCTCTGAAGTGCAGTTGACCATTCACTCCCTGTGTGCCTCTCACAGATAACAGTTAGCATACAGGACAAGAAAATGGTTGTATAGACAAAACTGGGATCTTGTTTAGGATAAGCTTGGTTTTAAGTATGATGGTGACGAGGGGTAGAGAGAGAGATAGATATCTCAAATCCACCATGATCAGGGCGTGTTTCCTTTGATGTTAAGCAGTGTTATTCAAGTGGGTATAATTCTTCAGGTTATAATCTTTCCAGTGATTCAGATAAAGATGTCCCTTTCCAGATTAAAGTCCTTGAGCTGAATTATACTTGAAGCTGCCATATGTCCTTTACAGGACCATGTTTAAATTTCTTGCTGTGACCTAAAAGGACTGACGATTTCTTGTGAGGTAAACCACTTGACCGAAATTATCAAATATAGGTTTTGTCGAGGAATTTAGGTTTGTGTACAGCTTTGAAAGGATGGATGATATCATGTTTTTCATTTAGCATGCTGATATGAAGACAAGAATATATTTAGAGGCTTTATCTAACACAGATAAAGACACACAGGAAGTAATGGAGGAAAAAGTTTAGTTTAACACAAACAAATGTTTGTTAAATTAAAAACAGATTAAATGAAAGTGAGAAGTAAAATGAAAATATTTCTATTTAAAGAAAAGAAAGACACAAAATTTAAATTTTTGTTACGCTCATTTTTGACAAGTCTTGTGTCTGCAGTAGGTACTGTCTGCATCACCGATATAGCAGGGATGTTGTTGATATATGATATGGGATACACTGGCGTGTCAGTGTGGAGCAGTCTGTCGGTGTGGTAACTGTACACTCAATGTTGTAACTGTCCACATAGTACCTAACCACCATTAGTCAAGGCAGCCATGGATGCAGGCTTAAATATTGTGAAGGCTTTGAATATGGCAGAGGTAAAGTATTCATGTCATATTTAATCTTCATCCTGAATGTGATGTAATAACAGTGGGCGGAACAAAGACTCGATTAATCTTATGGATCAAAGAATTCTAGTTGTTTTGTTCATTTGGTTTTGTTTTGTCAGTGTTTTTGCCTGATAACTGACATTTGACACAGTGTGTGTGGTGGTATGTCGTGGGCGTGGGAGTATCACTTCCACGTAGTACACGACATGTGTGAGGTCCTCAGTGTTGTCAACAGATGGGACTGTGTGTGAGGTTGCAGCAGATATGGTTCAGTTGGTGTTGATTCTGTTGCAGACGGCCAGTTTCCAGTGGATATTGCAGTTGTCGAGAGAGATCACGACTTCCTGGATCGAGACTCCATACAGTCACTCTTCAGGTAAGGAGGAAGGAATGTCCTCATGTCATTCTGTCATTGTTAGTCATTAATGTGTTGGGAAAATGAAATTAAGGTTTTGTATTTCTACCATAAAGGATGGTGAGGTAGCGTTGTTAATCAAGAGTTGTTTCATCACTCAAAAGTCCCAGGTTCAATTCCATAAATGGATCCAATATGTCAACTGTCCTGATTTCTGATTTACAGAGCGATGCTTATTGTGTTTTCATTTTCAACAGTGAGCTGTTAAGCAGGGTTTCCAGACTAAAATGGTTTCACTGTTTATCACTAGGCTGCCATATGTATATTAGTGTTTTCTCATATCACATATTTTCATTAGAAAGAAAAATGGTTTAGTTGCCACAATGGCTGGAATGGATAGATAATGTTTATTATTCAGTTATCAGTTAGGCTAATGTTATAAAGCCAGTATGCACATCTGGTAGTTTACACACTTGAATAACAGCCTGCATCTGTTGAGTGAGTGAGTGAGTGAGGTTGTTCTAACCATGTAATACAACAGTTATATCATGGCTGCTGTTATTAACATACTGGATAAATCACTTCCGCAATAGTTTTGTCATGAACACGAGACATGCTATGGTATGATGGTATACAGTGGGTAGCCTAGCGGGTAGAGTGTTTGCTCATCGAGGGCCAGGTGTGGCTCCCCGTGCCAGTAGTCTAATGGGTAGAGTGTTTGCTCATCAAGAGCCATGTTTGACTCCCCATGTCAGTAGCCTAGTGGGTAGAGTGTTTGCTCATCAAAAGCCAGGTTTGACTCCCCCTGTCAGTAGCCTAATGGGTAGAGTGTTTGCTCATCGAGAGCCAGGTTTGACTCCCCATGTCAGTAGCCTAATGGGTAGAGTGTTTGCTCATCAAGAGCCAGGTTTGACTCCCCCTGTCAGTCGCCTAATGGGTAGAGTGTTTGCTCATCAAGAGCCAGGTTTGACTCCCCATGTCAGTAGCCTAATGGGTAGAGTGTTTGCTCATCAAGAGCCAGGTTTGACTCCCCGTGTCAGTAACCTAATGGGTAGAGTGTTTGCTCATCAAGAGCCAGGTTTGACTCCCCATGTCAGTAGCCTAATGGGTAGAGTGTTTGCTCATCGAGAGCCAGGTTTGACTCCCCGTGTCAGTAGCCTAATGGGTAGAGTGTTTGCTCATCGAGAGCCAGGTTTGACTCCCCTGTCAGTAGCCTAGTGGGTAGAGTGTTTGCTCATCGAGAGCCAGGTTTGACTCCCCCTGTCAGTAGCCTAGTGGGTAGAGTGTTTGCTCATCGAGAGCCAGGTTTGACTCCCCCTGTCAGTAGCCTAGTGGGTAGAGTGTTTGCTCATCGAGAGCCAGGTTTGACTCCCCCTGTCAGTATGATGTGTGAAGGCTACCAGATATGTATTCATATCTGGAATCCCACGAGTCTAAATAATATTTTAAACCTTCGGACTCCAATGTTATATACACCCACATTGTGTAGGCAGTGTAACACTTGATATTTCTGATGTATTTTAGATCTTTAAACTTTGGTGAATAATGCAGATGAAAGGAAGTTAATGACGCTAATTTTAGGTGTAGACAGATTGTTCACACATGAAGAATTTGTTTCATTCTTTACCAATTAGTTTCCAAGTTATTGAACAGGATGTGAAGTATTAACAAGGGAGTTCACTTGACAAACCCACACATACTATTGCTCAGTAATTATTACAGCATGCGTTCAAAACCCTCCGCAATACGCAATACAATCTATCGTGTACTTTGGCATTGTCCAAACTCCTGGTGACAAAATCAAATATCAAATCAAATATATTTATTGTGCAAACGTTCCATACAGAAACAGTGACAATATTCTATAAACTACATAAACAAGATATATAATGAATCACATATATATGATGAACAACAAAACATATAATAATACAAATGTGTATAATAATAATAATGGCCTAGCACAATCAGATCTTCTATATTTGTTTAAAGTTGTACATGTGGTAGCATTGTCCAACATGAAATCAATATACTATATACTACTCAAGTTTGATAAGGTTAGTCCGAGTGTTCATCTGGTAACTGAATGTGATTTAGATATGTTGGCATGCAAATAGTATTTGCTTGTTCATGTAACAGATGCATTTTCCAGATAGCTTGATCAGATCTAACATTAATTAAACAGACAAAATTATCCAAGAAGGTACAGAGAAAGAAAATTTTCAAATAGGAATCCATTCCTTCATCACTGAAAATACCCATATACACATGAACCATAGACATGGCACCTTGTACTGATGCCATATATATGTATCTTGAACCAACGTTCAGGATTCATGAATATGTTTGGAGATATTTTTTAATGGAAGACTAAACACACTAGGCCATAGAAATATCCCCCAAAATACCCATTATCCCTTACTTTTTATGTTCAGTATGTGTCAAAGACATTTCCAGAATGCAGATTCATGGGATAAAATCTCATCTTTTAGGTTAATGTTTTTATAACAATCCCACGAGAAAAGTAGATGTGGATTATGGATGAACCATGAGTGCAGGATTGCGTGGTGAAGCATCCGAGATTCTTTTCCCCAAACAATGTAAGCTATGTGACATAAGTAATGGGGTTGACACCAGGGCGTGGCCTGTCTAGTACTTAGTATTCCAAGCACATACAGCGCATCTCTGTGTATGTATTCTACTGTAGCTGTGAGGGTGAACATTGTGTCACGATTCATCCCACACCGTAATGTGCTATACATCTCCTGGATGATCTTGATAACTTTCCTCGCTTGAGTTGTTCCTTTCAAGGACGTTCACACTTTAGGTTCTATTAAAAATTATTCTTTTGTTTGCATGATATATTGGATTGGGAATTCCGGGGTTAGCATTCTACGTGGAATTTAGAGAACTCTTGAGTTTTTTCATATCTGTTGTTAACCTGTCAAAGAACACAGATTTTTTAGACAACAGTTAATCAGTACCAATATATTCTATATCTAGACTATGCAAGAGAAGCAGAAGAACTCATGATTCTTACTAACAGGATGTTACTGTAGTACTCGTTTAACAACTGGAATTTTGTATGTCCAAGATTATCTGTTCAGGAATATTTCCACATGATTTTCTGGGAATGTTGAAAATTTATATCTGTCCTCGTAGATAATTTAAGCTTCTAACTATTAATGAGGATCTGTGTAATGGCTGTGTAGGAAGAAATATGATGTAATGTCACATCATATCCTGTGAAATCTGGGCAGTAGATGAATGGCATGGGGAGAGAGAATATTAATGAGGGCATTACATAGCCTTGGGACATTTAGATTTAATCCTTTCCGTGGATATTGTATAGGAACAATAACATCCACACCTAGCACTAGGACCACGTATCTATATATCTGAGGTATACATATATCTGTATAGCAGGTAGGGAAATATACACAATAACACAACAGGAAGAACAGATACTGATTCCACCCACAGTGTTACATTGTGTCCTACCTTGCCCGCGGGATTGGTCCCTTGTAGTTTGATTGACAAGTAAGGGAAGATGGTACGGAAACAGAAATACTTGGGTCTCTTTAATATTGTGTTACAGATATAATAGGAAAATTACCTATGGTGTTTATTGGGTCGTGCAAGTATTACGAAGGTAATGACGCATACAAGCTGGCCACCCTGCATGTTGATATTGACAGTGGTATTGTTCTAGTTGTGGGTATACCTGTAGTACAGTGTTGAAGCAAGGGGTAAGACTGGATTGCTACATACAGCTTATTAGGGTAAGTAGTGAGATGTACAGACTTTGGCTTCATGGTGTTGAAGGTGAAACCTTGTGAACACACAGTTAAAGTGGTTATTAATATACTACTCAAAAGGAGTTAAGGAACCCTGAATTGTTTTTAGTTAATGATTGTCAATTTTGGGGGATATATTTTTGTAGTAAAGACTGAACACAGTTTCATGAAAATATTCCTTAACTTTTTGGTTCAGCATATTATCATAAGTGTTAATTTATTTATAAATCCAACTCTTTTGTGATTGTGTACTTCCAGATATTAATTAATCTCAGTATGTGTAGTGATTTTATTAAAACAAAATGTTCTAAGATAACAATGACATTTTAATTTTGAACAATGACTAATCTTTTGTTTTATTATCAACAAGAGAGAAGTTGGAAACATTAATCCACTGTAAATTGAAAATTTGTGTCATTTTGAATTAATCAAATGAATCATTATAATGAAATTATGTGTAAATGCTGGAAGCAGAAGTTCTTGTAAGGATCATGGGAATTGTTGTCCTTGTTAGCTTTGACATTTGCATGGTTTGTGTCGACACAAGTAACTAGCTCCACAAAATGAGGGCGTATTCAGTAATGAACAAAAGCTCACATTAGACATGAAAAATTATTTTAATTTCATTAAGTGAATTTTCGAAAACCCATTGACAGGACTGAAATCATGAGGTCTGGTTAATATGTGCTTGTCAGATAGTAATTACAGATCGGGTATTGATTGTTATACAAACAGCCGGAAATGAATCTCAGCGTGCAAATACGAGCGAATCATCCTCTCCCATCTGTACATCCAATGACATTCATAATATCCATTGCCTAGCAACAATTGTTTTAATGATTATGGGATATTTGTGTTCAAGTACATCATGGTGAATGTCAGTCTTGAGAGATGAATAATAAGGGATTGTGAATAATTTCATGACCTTAGGACTGGTGTGGTGTATTTAGAAGGTCTCTGTGCTGTTGAAGGGCATTTAAGGATATTTGAACAGTTGTTCGCTGAGTGATTTAAAGGGATGTTTGAAACTGCAAAATGGTGCTTGGAAATATGACTGGACAGATAGTTAGACAATAGCTGGTATTAATTCTGAAATTCTGTTTTTAAGTCATTCTGAAAATTTGTATTTACGTTTTTATGTCATTGCAAGTTTGAAGCAGCTTTGCTTTTCCCAGAATCCTTACAAACAAGCTCCTTGAAATTGGAGTCACTGTTTTGATGGGGGCCAAAATCCACTTGCATGCTTCGCAAGATGAAATTGTATTAAGTATGGAACTGAATTCCAAGACATTCACTTGAAAATATTGAAATAGAAAACCCAGTTATGCTGAATGCAGGAAATGTGGTAAAGTAGGCACTTGGCAAGAACCACACAGATTAGAGAATAAAATGAACGGACGGAGCAGATCTCCTTGACACAGACCTCCTTGACACAGACCCATATGACATGAAATTGGTTAAAGCAGGTTCACAACATGCTGGATATTACTCAAGACAAAGTGTTCAGTTCTGTGCCTTTACCATATGTTCCATATAGAGTGATATGTAACATCCTGGTAGATTTGATGAGATATCACATCCTGATGGAAATGACGTTCTTCACATATTAGGTTTTGAGATAATGCAAGGATTTCATCATTTTTCTGTGGAAGTGTGAATATGATTGTGCTCACATAGGATACTTGCTTCACTGGATCTGATAAAATGAATTTTGAGATAAGCTTTACTGAAGCTTTCAGGTATGTTGTTACTATGAATTAATTCATGATACCTCAAATGAATATTGAATATATTATTAGTCATTTTTTGAAGTTAAGATGAATATTATATCTGATTGGTCTTAGTCATAGTTATTTGTGTGTTGTTGTTTTTTAAAAACTACAAAGTTGGATTTAAAAAAAAACAATTTTCAATCAAACACAACATCCATATTTTCAAACATTGTGATAGTGAACCTTACTATGGCTCATACAGAATAATAAATCATAACACAAAAATATACATTGACAATAACATATCATAATCAAATAACAAAGCCTCATTCATGATTTTTGTAAATATTTACCTATGAAATACACAATGCCATTTTAGAAAGTGGTCAAATGTATGGGACTCAACCCAAAATGTACTAGAATCTGTACTTTACTAAGAAAGTGTAATCCCAAATATAACATATGTTAAATATTTACCTGTTGTTTAGTCTGTATCATTTCCTTATTTAAATTCAAAGGGAAAGTGTTTGACCCTTTTGTTTTGCCCTAGAAACCATAACCTGTAACAACATACTGACCAGATACCAGCAAACCAGCAAATGACCATTTGTTCCAGACAACCATGGCCCTGATTAAAGAGTCCAGCAACATGATCTGAAGAGTATAGATTCATTTCTGTAATTAACATTTGTTTTGATAATCAGTATCCTCTAATCAAACACAGTGTTGTTGCTAACGAGCAGTTTGCCTTTGAGTATCATTAGGGATTCTTTGCCACTAATGTACAAGTCAGTCATCAGGGTGTCACTTGCACCATTTACTGTGATTGCTTGAGTGGAGTGAGCAGTTCACATAAATCTATAGACATTAATTAATTGCTGTGTCAGCTCTTATAAAAGGCCTCAGCAAGGTTTTCCTCAGGAAGTAGAACTCATCCCTAGCGAGTAGTGCTGTTCACAACATGGTGCATCATGTGTATCAAAAAGTAGGTTTTGTATATGTTTCTATTATAAGCTTTACATTGTTGATTTTAAAACATTGATCAATATTTTACTTTTTTTTAATAAACCTTCAAATTTATAAGCACAAATACTTAAACATCAAGCAAAAATATTTCTTTACAACATCTTTGTGTTTTTAATCCTTCAAATTGTTGCTGAAGGTTCTGAATATCTGAAAAACCAGTAAAAGAACACTGGTCATGCTTCTTGCAATATTTACTTATTCTAGTTTGTATGCAAGTATGTGATCCTTTAAATATCTGTCAATGCCCCCATGTGTTTACTTTATGTGGGGATTATCCATTAAATGTACATTCAATATGTTCTTTTGGCTGTTGTCAAATGCATGGATTCATGTTAAAACTACATTGACAAGAGGGATTAAAAATAAACCGTCTTCATTCCAAGTATTTGCACAAGGCCCAGGATCAGCTCTGATTCTTAATAGATACATCTCCAAGTGTATATCAAAGAAACAAGGAGGTTTTTCTTTATGATTAAGTAAACACTGGGCTGTGAGAAGATCCCTGAACACTGTAGATCTACTCTGGGTGGTTGTCTGGGTGGAGGCTTCAATAGGCTCAACGAGGCATGGACTGGTCTGCTTTACAAGTTTGGATTAACATCAGCTGTTGTTTAGGAATTGAATTGACACCTATGTAATCAACAATAGGTGTTGAAATTGTTGCAACAACAAGTTAACAGTCTAAACAATGGGAGAATGTTTGGGAAGCCTTGTATCTTTAACAGGTGTTTGGAGGGCAAGAGGTAGAGTAGAGAGGTTTGGAATACTGTGTTTACACAGGGTGGGTACATTTTACCTTGAAATACACGCGAGATGAGAGTATGTCACACACCTATATATCTACCTGTGCGTCCATCACTGGTCTATCCCACCTGTACACCTGACAGTGGAACACTGACCACCTACCTGTATTTAGGTATAACCTTGGACTTATTAGGATGATTTTACCGTAGGAAACATGCAACAGTTGTTAATGTTTTAGGTTTTGTGGTTCATGAATGATAATGTTTGACCATAGTGCTACTAATGACTACCTGTGGATATTAAACTCTTGTTTTATATATTAGTAAGAATTGCAATAATAAGCTGAGCTGTTTCACTGGGCATGAAAGTCCAAATCGTAGACAAAATAAATGTTTATCATCCTTGAGAGAAGTTTTGAAAAAAGGAATTGATTTTTTTGTATTAACATAATGTTTTTCTCCACAGACGCCTCAACACCCTCAACAGGTGTGCTGTTATGAAGATAGATGCTCATCCACGTAAAGGGGTAAGTCTGAATTTCAAATACAAAAACCTTTTCACATGTTTTATATTACTGTCAAGAAAATATGTGCACTAATTCATCATTCCACATCTAATGCTGTATCAGTGCAACAGATGGTTATAAATGGCACAATCAATGTGTCAAAGCGCATTTTGTATGGCTACGGGTCACCACGTAGATCTCGCGTCACCATGCTCTGAGAAGGAAACATGGGCAAAGAAATTCCTTGAATGAACCGTTTGACTTTGAAAGAGAAAGTTTCATAGTGGGTGGTGTTTGTATTTGTTTGCAAACAAGAATATCAAGCTTGACCCGCATGGACAGAGAATCTAGCTGACCTTCACCTTGCCCACCTGTATGAAGGAGCCTCTCTATGATACTCATCTTCTTGTATAAACACTGGCCCTCTTTAGATTTGTGAAGCCTCCCATTATGGGGTCCACCCTACTTGAGCAAGTCAAGAGGGACATGGTTAATTTCTGATCAAGCTCTCTCTTCAAATATAGCATGAGATAAATGATTCTTCTCCTCCCTCTGAACAAATAAATGAAATAATTATGCAACAGGTGTGATGATTAATGAAACATCACAGTAAATTATGTCGTATAATTTTATTTATTTTTAACTTTGACTTATGTATATTTATTGACATTTGGAAACACATTCAATGTTACTACAATATAGTTCAAATATTCACTCACTAAAGTATGATATATTCCACATTTTGTATATTCATTAAAGTGAATCTAAAAACCCATTATACCTTAAAACATGATAATCCTCAAGATGGTATCTGTTCTACTTATTATATCTAAATAGTCACAGACAACCAACAATATCAGGGGTGAGATGTACCAACGGAAATAAATATATCACAATGGTTTCTTTCTGGACATAATCTCTCCATCTAATGTTGCTGCTGCCTAGTGTAATGTGACTTAAGACAGATGGAGCATTTACACTAACAATAAGGGACTAAATAATTCACCCTGGCTTACCCAACTCAGATCACACGAAAAGTAGGGCATTCTGTTGAAGGATTTATGCAAACTGACTCTAATTCATTTCTGAATAATATCATAAAAAAGGATTTAATTAAGATTTTTTTTATAAACATCTAATTTTTGTCTTTTAATTTGTGGGATATAATTTTTTGTAGCTGGCAGTTATGCCAGGAATTTATATGATGACCATTAGTTAAATGTAGCATGTGGAAGTGAGATCGGAATTGTAATACGAGAAATATTATTTTCATAATAAATGGCAATGACATGAATTAATATGACAACCATAAGTCAGGATGTAACAGGTTGACTTAGGATCGGATATATAGGCTCAAGAATCACAGAGTCTGGTTGTGTAGTGTGTGCTTAACCTGTCTGTGACTCCACCATTGATTTATGCCCTCCCCCAGCAGGACAACTGTGTCCAGTACTTACAGCCATTTCCTAACAACATCCAGCTCAAGTGATTCTATCGAGGGAAAGCATAGCACCTTCCTGGCCCTTCCTTTTAAATTATAATGTGTAGAGTCAAAATATTATCAAATTAAATGAGGATTGTCTGTATTTCGTAAATGGGCACCAATATTTGAAAAGTTCAGAATTGAAAATCATTCTTTTCATCAAATGAAACACTTTGTGATATCAAGGTCAAAGGGAGTTGTTCGCAAGTACACTTAAATCTCAAATACACATTTTTGTAGGATAATTAACTTCAAGTTATAGAATAATCCAAAGATGCATCAACAATAGACAAACCTAGAGAATAAATTATATAACAAGTCTAACTCAAGTCTAGAATGATTAGGCAATTGTAAATGGTCTCAGCTCTAATTAAGGATTATTCTGCACTCCATTTTGTTTTTTCAGGTTGTGTAGATATTTTAAGTAAGATGACATTATTTCTGGACCAAATGTTAGCCTGGTGAAATATCAACACTGGTTCTAAATATCATCCACACAGCGTGATAATATTAACTGGTCGCACAGCTTCAACCACTGCATAAATACAGAGTAGGGTTGGTACAGTATTTATCTTCAACAAGTCGTGTGGCGATGTGGGACAATGCATTCAGTAACCTCAGGCACACTGATGATCTCACCATTGGAAAACAACACATGTCCCACATATAGCCAGGCCACATGTGCAGTGCCATGGACTGGGCCAAGGGTAATTCCTCATGTATGGGGCCCAGGCTTATATTAGGGGTCTGACATTTAAGATCACTAGATAATGGGAAGCAGTAATTGTATAAAACAGGAAAATCCAATCATAATTCTCTGATGGAATGTCCATTTAGAGCGGTTGACCGGTTCGCTGGACTTGCAATTAGGACCAGATTATCAGAAAAATAATTGATGTGGCCAGATTGAGTTTGCTGTGATGTAGCTTTATCATAAAAAGATGGCTTGATGAAGGGGAATTGCAATGATGAAACGTTTTACTCAGTTCGTCTCCTCATGAGATGGAGTGATTAAAGCTAAATGTATCTGTATAGTGGGAGGTGGTATCATGATGCTGGAGGTATCTTCTTGGTGGGAGGTGTGAAGGGTTTAGTGTCCGTGACCACATATGCACCGACAGATATGGCTCAGGCCTGGTGGAGGGTACATATTCCTGAGAATCTGTTTTTTTTTTAATGCTTTTTATCTAAAATTCAGTTATAAGATTAATCATGCAACATTCAACACTGTCCTACTTCCGGATGATTTTACACTGATGTACTCAAAGACTTACGTATTGATTTGATTACTAATACTGCATTACTTGATATCATTGCATGGGAATTTCATTAGCTGTGTGTACACTTTCAATGATTTTTGAAAGAATTATTCAATCCTTCAGCTCCTTTGTGCCAGCTAATGTGATTATTTTTGCTGCAGCATGAAGATTCAGATGATGAGGATCTGTGTGCACTGAGTAGCCATTGGGAGTACCAACAGAACATTCGTCGGTGGTCCAGGAAAGATCTGGATTTGGATACTACTCCACCGACAGTCAAGTCCAGTCTGAGTCACGACAGTCTGCTTGCTGACCAGGACAGCAGTAGTCCTCCAGAGGACAGTCCCGTCCTTGACAGCAAGATGCCACATCTCGGGTACACGTTGCCTGACCGGAAGACATCAACTCCAGAATCAAACGTCATCATCAGTCCGCGTTTGCGAAGAGCAGCCAGTGAGAGAATCCGAAGTGCCAAGAACCTTTTAAAGAAGATGGAGAGTTTTAAGACCAAAAGGAATAAGAAATTTTCCTCTAAAAACATTGTTGAAATCAGTAGTCCAGTTGTGGCAGACCGTGTACACATGCAAGCAAAGATTCAGCATTTGAACTGTGTCGATATCAGTCCAACATCAGAACTGCCTTCATCCAATCTTCTGGGTTCTCCAGTTAGTGATACCTTGTCACCATTGAGGTCGCCAGGTCCGGCAGATGCAGACACATCTGGTACCTCCCTCTCGGACAGTTTGTCCCCAGTGCCAGCTCACCCTGTGTTGGAGAGATCTGTAAGTGATAGTGAGAAATCTAGAAACTCTACGTTCAGTGAGTACTATACGGCACATTCGCAACTACTACAGAGCTTGGACTCTGAGCAGATTCGGATAAACCAGAGCGTCCGGCGGAACAATAGTGATACAAACCTTATGGAAATATTCCTCTTACCTCACGACCACAAACCAGGAAGTTTTCCTAAACGTCTTCAAAATGGATATATCGACACTTGTGAAGATCAGGGAATGAATTATCGTACAGGAAGTTTCAGTCTTGGTCGGGATGGAAGCTACACACAAGATCCATTCGTTGACCGCAATGGACATAAGCGCCGTGGGTCACATGACCCAAGTATGACCAATCGAATAAGCATGTATGACAATATGGGATCCCCTGTGCGCAGTGCGAGTGAACGATACGGACAGCGGGTCCGCTTCCGGGATGGTGTGAGGTCTTTACAAAGAGAACCCTTGAAACTTGAAACGCCAGAAGAACCAGAAGCCCAAGATGAAGAGCTGTCTTCTGCCAAAGAGGAACTGGACCTTATCCTCCATGAGCTGTTCGAGAACATCAATGGCCTGAATGAGGCTATCTATGGTAAAACCAACAGTAAGTACATTGTTGGATTATTATCTCTGTTATAATGCAAAAACATTGTTAGTAAGATTTTCACCAGAAACCCAAATGTTAAGAGCGAGAAATACTGTGTCTTCGGTTATAATCCTGAGGAATAGAGTAAGTTACTGTCTCTTTGGTTATAATCCTGAGGAATAGAGTAAGTCCTTTCAGGCATTTCCATAAACTATAATATAACATCAAATCACACTGATCCAAAGAAGACCATATAAGCAATTAGGGCAATACCAAGCACATAACAGCAGGTCAACTGACGTTGATGGTTACCTCCAAGAATGTTAATGCAGTTAGATAACGCTGTGCTCACACGTCATGTTGGTTGAATGTTTCTCCTTGTCGGCCAGGCAAGATTAAGTAGGATTTGGGTAAGTCTGTATGACACACATGGTCAGTTGGTGGCCATTGTGCCAGACTACATTTAGATTCCTGGCCAGGTTAATGGGTGTCAGGGAGGGTTGGAGTACACACACTGACATATATCTGCCTCTTACACTACCAGGCACAGGGCACCCAGGGAACCTGGGGAGACTAGTAGGCAACTGAATGTCTGACTGGTACTGGGATACACATATGAACAATTGTACTTCTCTACTTCTCCAAAACTATAGATATCGGTATCAATATTTTTCAGTGGTACACAACTGATTCTCATGAGTGTTTAACTGGAGCAGGTTGTCAGGCTCTCTGACTTGGTTGGCACATGTCATCAGTTCCCAAATAAGTAGACCAATGCTCATGATGTTGATCACTGGATTGTCTGGTCCAGACTCAATTATTTACAGACTGCCGCCATATAGCTGGAATATTGCTGAAAGCGGCGTAAAACTAAACTCACTCACTCATGAGTGTATATCTAAACATGTATGACATATCCTTATCAAAACTTGAGTAGTTTCAGATGCGATGAAAGTACAATTTCTTTGGGATGGTCACTTCAAAATTTAATTTCAACTGATCACTAATTTTTTCAGGAGCTAGATGTTTCATAAGGGAGTAACATGATCCAGGCGCCACAAATTAGTGCCAGTGTGCCCTGTGAGTTGCCTTACTCCGTCTGCGCCATTCCTGTTAGTAGCGGTAACAGTGAACATCTTGTACCAACTGTAGCCTTTTCCCTTCATTAAGCATGACCAAATAGTACACATATTCCACAGTATGAACCACTACCCCTCACTCGCCACCAGTTGAGCTAGGGTTGCTGTTGCCCCCTTCCCACTTCATCCAGTGGGCCCCCTGCAGGTCTGAGTACCACACAAAGGTTAAATGTTCTTCAGATGGGTAGTCAAAATGGCACACAACTGTTTCTAGATGAGTTTGTAAATGGAAACTGACATGTTGGTTGTAGATTGACAACAACACTTGGGAATAAGTGTCCTGAAATACATTCATGCTTGTTTCTGATACACACTGCAGCAGGTGCTTGTTTTGGTGGGTATCACAGGGAACCATGCCACACTGGCGGTAGTGAAGATATATCTGTATGTGTGATTTGAGTTGTACATGGTAAACAGGTGCTTGTTTGGGTACTATAGACGGGTGGTCAAGAAGTCCATTGCATGACAATTCACTATGCCGAGATGTGTCCCGTTGACATGTTATATGATAAAGGATTTAGATCCTGATTCAGCCCGATAATGCATTAGGCTTGTCAGAGCCTTAGCCATGCTCTGTGGTATGGCTAAAGTAGCGAATGTCCGAAACCTGCACCACTTTGGGCTCTCCATCAGACAAAGCTGACATGCTATAACTTTGATATTGTTTAATGCAGCATTAAACGTATTCCAGTCCCTAGGTGGTATTACATAGTTGTAGACCCAAATATATATTTCTCGTTAGGATGAGAAAGCCACAATAACTCGGTGCGCCTAGTGGCTGCAAGAGTTGTATACTCCCCAGGGAGTTGAGATTGATAATGCGATGTGCCGTTGAGATTGACATCCAATGATCGAGGGAAAAAATACCAGCGCCTTGAGCATACACTAGTGCGTGGATATGTGCGCTATATAAATATCCTATAATAAAAAAAATAAAATAATATACTCTAGCATCAGTGTTGTGGAGATACAGCAGCACACATTTATTAATCCAAACAGGTGCTTGTTTACCTGGGTTATGTCACATTTGATAGTTGATATGGTAAAGTAGCAGCTATTTTGACAATGCCTCCATTTGGAATAATCAAACAGTAATGTGTCTGCATGTAGATCTCCATGCTGCAGAGTGAACACTCCAGACATGACATGTACCCATGTGGAGATTGACACAGGGATATATTCTGTACCGTTAGGATTGTTAAAGGAACTCATTACCATCTGTTGAATAGACAGTATAGGTGTATCCTCATTTGCTGTGGGATTTTCCTGGCTCTCAAATAGAGTTGCTTGTTCCATTACATGTAAACGCAGACAATACTCACCAAGCCCTACATATTGTACCTACATAATACCTTTCAATGTAGACCTCAGGGCCAGGCAATTATAGGGTCTGACTTGCACACAAGCGTGTAAACTGGGCGGACCCCTGTCAGTACAATACTCATGTCTAAATAGTGGATGTAATTGTAGGACTGGGTCTGGATGAGGTTCAACTTTATGTTTTCTTTTAAATGTCAACATTTGAACTATTCCCATGAAATTTCGGAAATGAGGGTAGTTAGCGGGAAGGATTTTCTCACACGATTTTCGTGGTTGATGTTACCTGCTCATTTGACATGAAAGGGAACTCGTGACCCGTGGCATGATCAGCAGTTACACCTGTAATGGTGCGGAGATAATTACAGGTGTTTGTTGTGTTAGTTATAATACTGAATTATCTACCTTTGTGTATATATTCCCTTAGTCATTCACGATAATGTAGCCTTTTAAGTGATTTTTTCATCCATTTTATGTTTCATTCATTATTTTAAATTGCACTGAAGTAAAACATCATGGAAAGATGTTCTCTCACACAATCCATAAATGTGTTAATTCTTATGTAAATATGTCAACAATAACTTTTGACATTGCTCAGTAATGCAAACAACCACACCCATTCTATTATCAGCCAATCAGGGAACAGTAGACCGTTAGTGGGCGTGGCCTTATCTATTTTGGGGTTATGGAAATATTGAATACAAAAACAATAGAAGTCAGTCAGTGGCATAAACTATTCTCATTTTCTGAAAATATAAATGCAAATAAATGAACATTAATGCTTGGTTAGCCAATGAAATGCTCCAGAGTTGTATATTGCGGAATATATATTTGCTTTCTGTTATCCCCAGGAGTAACCATGACAGCTGAATCACACAAACACATATCTAGATTGAGTAATGATGTAGAACTTGTGGGTCAATACAAACATCGTAAGTTAAACATGTCAGCGTACCTGTGAGGTGAGTGACAGGTGAGAGGTTGTCCCTTGGATACGGACATCACTCAGTACCTGTAGACCCACTTCTGTCTGCCTCCAGGTATCTCATGCTATCCAACATGTTGCTCCCTCTTGTCTGTACCACCAACATATGTCTCCCAAAAGGCACTAAGGTCAAACTGTCAGTTGAAATTAGATTTGTTGGTTAAATTTCAGCCTTAGTCATGTTTTGATTCTGAAGATTGAGTGTAGTTTATTATTAAAGTGAGAATATGGTGGAGTAGCCATGTTCTGTCAAGATCATATGATTGAGGTTTCTTTCTGTAACCGTCATTGGATGTCAAACCTTGTAGAACCTTTCCAAACCTGTCATGTAGCTACAATTTCATTGAAACTGAAAAACATTGAAATATCTTGAGGTGCTGGTCACAAGGTTCAACTGAAATGATGACTGGACAATGCATGACAAAAATGTTATTTGCTATTAAATAAATTAACCATAAATCCATACCATACGTTGTTATGTTACCTTCCAACTTTTAAATGCCCATCAAGCATCTGCTATTAACAGCTTGTTTAATTGGAGTGAGTGAGTAAATTTAGCAAAATTCCAGCAAAATCATGGCGGGGACACCAGAAATGGGCTTCACACATTGTAAACATTTGGGGAATAGAACTCCGGTCTTCGGCATGAAGGGTGAACACTTTAACGACTGGGCTACCCCATCACCCCTGTTTACCTGGAGGACATGATGACTTGATATAGGTGTAATATTTCAGACGGCTGTGAAACATTCTCAAGTATTCTTAGTAAAACATTACTAGCACTGCATCACCGTGACAATATATTACTTGTATCCTACAAAACATTCAGAACTATTTCACTGCATCTGGTTTTGATCAGATTTAACCTTGGCATAAGTTAGGTTCAAATTAATTATTGCACAGGGGCGGAATCAGGATTTGGGAGAAGGAGGGGTGCACATAAATCATGAAGTCCAACAGTTAGGGGGAAATGCTCCTCAGGGAAATCTTTTCGGGGGGAAAGGGGGTGCACATCCCCACTACCCCCCTCTGTATCCGCCCCTGTTGTGTATTTTGTCGAACCTATAAATGACCTTTTACTGATATAGGAGAGCTGCAAAATGACATCTTATTGACATGCACCCAGACAAAATTGTAACATGGGAACCTTCTGTTGTAGATGAGGAAGAGAAGGACACATCATTCCTGGAGGTGGAGAGGGCGCCGTCACTGTCGTCTCCGATGGAGGAAGATGTGAGCGTGGACCACGAGGAGGAAGAGGTGACACACGACAATGATATCAGCAGTCAGCTGTCCTCATCACAAGATGCCAGCGACCATGATGACATTCCAGTCGAGGAGTTATCCCCTGACGACTCCCTCGACAACATCGATGGACGTGAACGCCGAGATTCCGGTGTAGGGTCATCTTTGACCAGAGCTCCAAGGTAGGAAACACCCCATGGATAATCATACAGTGACTATGAGAACAGCATATGGTGATCATGAAGAAATGCTTTATTTGGATTCTCTTCGTTTAAAAACATGTTTGGTATTGAAACTCCTGCATGATATGACTTTATCTGTATGGGAAATACTAAATATGGTTCTAATTATTATAGTGTTTGTAACAATTATTTTGATGAAGAAACCACTGTATCCACATGGTTCCGAGTTTTAAATCAATTCCAATTTGTCCCTATTTGTTACAAATATTCTCGACAACAAATATTTCACACAATTTTCTTGTGTTTCTAGTGATAAAAAGAGGAAGAGGATTCGCTGGCACAGTTTCCAGAAGTGTCATAGACCGAGCCTCAACAGCCGAGACTTGCAGATCGCAGCACTCTCAGTCCGTCAACTCATGGTGCTACGTAAACTGTCCCTCCTCAAGCTGACTGCAATCATGGAAAAATACTCGCCGACCAACAGGACTGGTTGGAACTGGATGGTGCCGAGGTTCATGAAGCGCAACAAGACGCCGGACTACAGTGACAAGAATGTGTTTGGTCTGCCACTCCATGTGACGCTGCAGCGCAGTGGCCAGCCTCTTCCTCAGTGCATCCTTTACGCTATGCGGTATCTCCGGAAAGCTGCTGGGGACGCACTGGGTATCTTTCGCAAATCTGGAGTCCGTTCCCGCATCCAGAAATTGAGGAATGACCTTGAAGCTCATCCTGGTGAGATAATAAAACATTTCTTAAGCACTAAGATTTTTTCTTCATGTCTCTACAATTATTTCTTCAATGTCTGCAGTTGCCCAGAATGCTCATTTCATGTTTGTTGTTTCAGAAATCATGGACTTTGAGGAGATGCAGGCCTATGATGTAGCAGACGTACTGAAGCAGTATTTTCGAGAGCTTCCTGAGTGTCTGCTCACAAACAAACTGTCCGAGACCTTCATCAGTATCTTTACTCGTAAGTATGATTGCAGTATTTTATACATGAAAATTACTGTAAACCATAACGACTATTACAATAAAACAAAATAAAAAAGAGGATTGAAATCACCTGCTAGGTTCACACAGACATCATGTCCAAAACCTAAAGAAGTATTAATTAATATTGCTGGACAACAATCTTTACCAAATCTGACTCTTGTTTCCAGATGTACCAAGTGCTCTGCGTATTGAAGCAATCCAGGCAGCCATTGTTCTTCTCCCCGATGAGAATCGGGAAGTGCTACAATCACTGCTGCTCTTCCTCAGTGATATTTCCCAGCATGCCGATGAGCATCAGGTAGGTCCAGGGGAGATAACTCCATACACTTGTTTCAGCCATTTGTCAAAGTTCATAACTGCACACTTCTTGAGCCATTTTGTATCCCTGTGACGTATTAAGATACTCAATTCTTCCAACTAAAATGAGTATATACATATACATTGCTTAATTTGGGGGTTATAAAACTCTGTGTTTCTGTCCCTAGATGACGGCCAGCAACCTTGCAGTGTGTTTTGCCCCATCCTTGTTCAATATGTGCGGAATCCGAAACAACCAGACGGCAAGTCCAAAGCGGAATCGCAAGAACCTGGGAGCACCCGAGGCCCGAGACCTGTTGGAACAGAAAGCAGCACATGAGTGTCTCACTGCCATGGTCCAGGAGTGCAAGAAAATATTCATGGTGAGGCTTCAGCAGACGCAATATCCCAAATTATCAAATGAGCACTTGTAATTCTTTTACAGTGTATCTTGTTGATATTATTCCTTAATCTTTAAACATGTAGACAAATTTGGATAAATCTTCTCATTAAACTTACGAACTGACTTGATTTATTTCTGTGTTGCAGATTGCACCGTGGGTTTTCAGCAAACTACATCTGTCCTGCATGGAGGGGGCCGACCCCATGCCTTTCGAGGAGTTCTACAAACATCCACACCATGAGGGCCCCGACTTCAAGTCTTATGGAGAGGAGTGCATTCAGACAATACTCAAGGTGAGATACTCACTTATGTGCATACTGCTTAGTATTTCTACAAATGTTTATTGTTTTAATTATTTGCATAATTAATCAATATAAACAGCTGTGATTAAGCCACCATGGCAGCAGTCTGTATCATAGAAGTCAAATGTTAGCTTTGTACTTTTGGAGAAGCAATGTCAATAAATCCTCTGGTGTTTCAGGAATCTCACGACAAGAACCGAGGCTGGGTCCTGTTCCTGTCTCAGAATGGCACGGAAGTCTGCTACAGGAAGCCCACTGACAGCAACCCACTGCGTGAGTGGAAGTGTTCAGTGGAGATCGAGGCGGCGCCACCTGTGGAGGTCCTCAACAGGGTCCTACATGAAAGGTGAGCTGAAAAAGAATCTAAAATCTAAAATTTCGCATATGTGAGCATTATATTAAATTTAATTTAATTTTCCCTTCCACTTGAGATCTAAATTCATATCTGCATCAATCTTTTTAGCGTTGTATACGTAGTATAATGCCCATGTTCGTAGTTCTGTATGTTTGTCTTATCTGCTGGCAGACATGTCTGGGATGAAGACCTCTTGAACTGGTCGGTGGTGGAGTCACTTGACAAGCATGCCGACGTCTTCCAGTATGTGTGTAACAGCATGGCACCACACCCAACCCGCCATTACACTCTGCTCAGGTGAGATATGACCTCTTATATCACAGCTTGTTAATAAGGAATTAATGTAAGCCTTAGATTAGCCTCATTATATTCCTTAAGTGGTCATGATCTTAAGAAGGTATTCTGAAGCATACAGGAATTCCATATGCATGTTTATCACTACTATAGACCAGGAATTTGTAGGGAGAAAACTCTGCCAACACCAGTATTTAACAGCTCCATTTAGTGATATATAAATGATGTACAAAAGATGTACGAAAAATTCAAATCTTATTTTCTTTTCAATGTTGGATATTTCAGATATTGGAGGACAGACTTGGTGAAGGGAGCATGTGCATTGGTGTCCACATCGGTGGAACATCCCGATGTACATGAGATCCAGGGCGTGCAGGCGGTAGAGATCATGTCTCACTTCCTGATCGAGCCGTGCGGGTCTGGGCGTGCCAGGCTCATCCACATTACCCGCTCAGACATGAGGTCAGTACACAAGGAGCTGTAGCAAAAGGAGTTTAAATAGCTCTACGTTATTGAGGGGTACTGGTAGATACTCACTGAGGTTTTGATCATTATGGCTGAGGTTTTGTTAAAAACTCCCACAGAATGATTAAACATACTTAAGTCGATATATCCAAAAGATTTGTAGGAAATAATATAAGGCCATGAAAATAATTATTTACTGTAGCACATAGTGTAACATATTTTAATTTGTGTTCCAGGGGCCGCTGCCCAGAGTGGTACAACAAGTCGTTCGGCTACATCTGCTCCAACTCCATGGAGCGTATTCGTGACTCCTTCCGCCAGCAGACCGACCTCCCCGAGACAAACGTCTAGTGCTTTAGTGAACCTTGACAAGGGCAGCCATTGCCCAGCACAGCGTGTGCCGATATTATGGATAGACGACTGAGGATGAAGTCCTTGCTTGAAGTATATCTTAAATGGAGTAGCAGGAAGCCTAGCTGATATTAAACGAGCAGACGTAGATGAGTTTAGATTGACGTCTGCTTTTGATGTCTGTTGAATGAGTAGCATGCCACCAGGGCTGTGATGAGATTTGTGCCTTCCGTAGTCTTGGAGAAATTGATATTGTGACTGAGGATGATTCCGGTGTTCAGTTTGTGTATCAAGGACAAATTGTGTTCAGCTGAAAGACTTCCGTGGATTACAAGGGATGGTTGGCTTCCAATCCTGCAACTGAAACATTGCGACATGTGTATACAGGACAATGAACCGAATCAGTTGTCAAATAGTGCTTCTGGATATTTCTGAGATTGATGCTTGAGTGACACTAGTACATCTGCACAGGACTGCATCCCGTGGGTTGCCAAGGCAACTGGTGCACATGGACTGGATGATAACACGGCAGCTAGTTGCTTTTCGAAAAAGAAATCGTTATTCAGGGCCCTCCAGTTGAATAGTGTGCCATGATAGAAGGGAAATGTAATACACTGAGCATAACTATTAAGCATAAATACATTGTACAATTTTGTTAATAACATACACATGTTACTGCTGTATATATTTGTTACAAAGTATGGAAGACTGAGGAGGACAACATCACAAGAATTGTGTTCTATTTATATATTAAGTAATGGGCAATTATGTCCCAGTTGTGTTCCATACATTGTGATCGATGGAGTTATGCTGATACAAGGGGAGGTAAATCATTATTGTATTTTTATTCCAGTTCTGCATCAGCTCTGTTCTACAAGCTGTAGTACCTAGGGACAGGAGGTGTGTATGTATATTTTGGCAGCAATGGGGATCCATACTATGTGCGCTGGGACTCCATATATTAGAGTAGAACATTTCAGTTGGTGCTGTGGAGAAGCCTAAAGACATAAGAGATTTTCTGTACCTACCTCATTAATTTGTTAAGAATGTTAAAAGGTTAAATAATTAATAGTCTCTGAATTGAACTTGAAATTTCCATCAATTTCCAGACGATTTAGTGCTAATGTTAGAATTAAATTGTTATTGAATCAAGGGAATGGGTAATCAAAAACCTGCCAGGGCATTTGAAATATCACACTTTCTGTGTTATAGTGCTATATGGATATTTCCATTGTCTTCATTTCTAGTCGCAGAATATTTAGTTTGTAGTGACATGCATACAAGATTGTACACACAGGTTGGATTGGATACCCAGTGGAGAATTGTTTGAAATATTTACTCATAAACTGCTGTCAGTTCAGGCATTATACTGCCGAAAAGTAACACTCATTTCTTCAGCTTTAACTTATGTAGTCTTGACTATTCACCATCCCTGTGATATCACCATTTGATATGAGTGATATTGCTTACTTCTCCATGTGATAACTGTGTAATGTGTTCTACATTGTAATACTGTGACCATGTAATACTAAGAGACATAATAGTGTACAATACTGATATACACACTGCATGTCAGTGTATACCATCAAGCTACAGGCCAAAGTTGTACATTTCTAGATGCCATGATACATGCATTTAACACCACTGTACCTCTCATTCACCTGTATAATAGCATCATCGTCTGTTAATGTGTACATCTCATCAATCATAACTCCTATATGCTGCCATTATTCATGGCCATGGTAAATAAATATGAGAAATAAAAAGACAGTCTTGTTTTGTTTCCAAACAATAATACTGATGTAAGCAGGTCTGCTGTAGGATTTTCATTACATTTCAGTATTTAAGAATGCTGCGTAACTGATGTGCAAGATAGTCAGTAACCTGCAGAAAACAGACCACATGCACCAATCAGTCATTGTTGTGTTCAAACTGTGACATTATATCAGTATCAGCTCACACCAGACACCATTATATGGTCTCTGCTCACACGATGCAGCCATCATCTGACACCAGGTGGCTAACAGCAGGAGCATCTCTCCATGACATGCAGCTGTTTGTGGCACAACTGGCTGTTGATAGCATACATCTATCGGCTCACCAAAGGATACTCAAGATGTCTGTTGCTGCCAGAGAATTTCAGGATGGAGATCCTGATAATATATATATGAGAGATGACAAGGTCACCAAAACCGCCTCCCGTGGTGTAGTAGAAGGTCGCGGGTTCGATCCCGACCGCGTCATACCAAAAGACGTTAAAATGCGTACTTACTGGTCCCTGCGTTGCGCTTGGCATTAAAAGAGAATACGAACGAAAACAACTTTTGATATATTGTAAAGGATATTCTAAAAGTCACATTCCGTGATTAAAATTGAACAAAATGTTTGTAAAATAGCAATAAAAACACAAAAACGTACTCGTATTTCCGCCTATTACGGAAACACCCGACAGTTAATGAGCAGAGGGGTATCACGTGACATGACGTCATAAGTGCCTGTTGCTGATGGCTTCCTCTTTGATTTGTACAATAAGGACTGCTCGGCTCAGAGTCAGAACGAGTTCATGCTTAACTGCGGCATGGTATCTCAGTGAGCTAGCTCTATTAAACCAGCTTACGTCTGGGCTAGTACAAGCAGCCTCACATACATACCCATGCACGTGGTCATATGAACGAAATATTCACAAGTATGACGTTAAACCCCATTTCACCTCATCTCATAAACGAAAATTCATACACCTAATGTGGATTATAATTTTTTTCATTGTTTTTTATCATTAAACATTTATCAGACTAATCACCAAATAGTAGCTATCATTCAAGTAATATAACATTTTCACCACATTATTGGAAACGCAGTTTCTCGTAACGCTAGTATATATAAAAATACATATTGTGGAACCTCTTGCCCTTTAGAACAAACGCCCATTTGCAACGATGCGAAACGAGGACAGACATTTGAAACTGCTAAAAATGAACACGATACGAAGCAACAGGTGCATCTGATTGAAAAGGGTCAACGTAAATAAACACTCTCTCTATCAGGATATATTGTTTGTGAGTCCCGCATGATGCACTTAAAAGTCAGTTTAAGTATACAGATATGCCTTGATGCAAAGATGAACATGGTGCCGAAAAGTCCGGTCTGGGCTGAAGATTTGGTCAAGTGGCGGAGTGAAATAAATGTTAAAGTGTCGGCCTTTACATCACTTTCATAACAATTATAAAACATATTTATATCACAAACATTTTCACTGTAAAGGTTATCCCCAGGTCATACTTTGTGCACTGCCGACATACTGCCAACGTGAAAAAATACCATAAAATAACGATATTACCACAAAGACGATTCAGTCAAACCACAAAAACAGACAAACTACCACTCATAGACTAACAACTAGTTTCTGAAATGAACATATATTACCGAAAAATGTTTATAGTAACAAAAAAAATAATATAATGAAATGGAGCCCTGAGACTTTCTTCATCTTCTGAAGCTGAGGAAATCTAGACTTGCCACATTTTCTAGACTTGCGTGGGCTTTCTTGGATATATTAGCTTCAGGGTCTGTACGACAGACTACTACCACTCACGACATTGCTTGCTCAGTCACTGAAGCGTGCGTAAAATATATTGTATGAGGAGTCCGCAAGGGTAAAAACGCCTCTGATCACTGTCTTGTGTTCTTGCAGGTATTCAAGGCATCTTTACGAATGTGCTCAATGTAGTTGTAATAATACCCACTTTACATACGCGCCTTTTCATACAAAACAAATTAATATTATACACTGTGTGTATATCCCAATACCCATAATTCACAACATTACCGACGACGAAAGCTCCAGCAGTTCCAGTATAAAGCGTGTCAGTTAAGAGGCTCTTAAGATAAGGAGGATGTGACTCTTATTGATGCGGATGTGTGCTGATAGACTATGGGTTGTTCTCGAGAAATGTGTTGGAAACATCACAAAATGGGTTATGTCTATAGTGGTTGGTTGTTGTTTAACGCCCCACTCGGCAATATTCCAGTTACCTGACGGCGGTCTGTAAATAAGCGGGTCTGGACCAGACAATCCAGTGATCATAGCACGAGCATCGATCTAGGCAATTGGGAGCCGATAACATGTGTCAACAAAGTCAGCGAGTCTGACATCCCGATCCTGTTAGTCGCCTCTTACGACAAGCGTGTGTTGCTGAATACCAATTCTAACCCGGATCTTCACGGACCTATTTCTATGTAGTGTGTAATAAATACGTTTTCACTTACTGGATGTGGTTCAAAGTATTTTCTGTGTATTTATATTCTGCGTAAATCTATTCATCACTGATTGCCTTCTAATGCCGGGCGGACTCTAACCAAACAAATACTATCACTTTGCTAATAAAGTGTAATCCTAAATCTTTGCTACATTTGACCAGAATATAAAATGGCATTGTGAACCTTACCTACACGACGAAGGTAATGCGTACCTGGGTGTCCGCCATACTTGTGCAAGTAACGAATGACAAACATATATATATAATGTACATATTACGCGGTTTGGCACTTCACAACAGCCTTTCACAAACTTCTCTTAGCAGGTTGGGACGACATTTCGGCGAACTCTCACGACAGTCTGTTGAAACATGTAATAAACTCCTATCACTTACTGTAGCCATAAAACGTTACTTCCATGTATATGTGAATAATGTATACACTATAGTTATAATTATGTATTTGTCAACTAGCCTTATCGTTACTTTCAATGATCCTTCCAAAATCACAGGAGCGAAAGACATCACTCTGGAACATGAATGAAAAATGCCTTCTTTATGCATAAACTATTATAGATTCTACTGTTGCCCGTAAATAGCAAACAGGGCGTAGCTGCCACTATAAAGAAAAGCCCGGGCTTACACATGATTTTTGCTAAACAAAAATATGATTTATAATTCGTGCCAAAAATACCTTAAATACTATCTGCCTGGCAAACATTCAATACTAAGTATGTCTGCTATAATTACGAGACAAGTGAATTTTAACAGCTATCCATCTTGTTTGACGTGCACCGTCTGTTTTCTGGAGACTTGAATTAACGCGCATGAAAAACTCTTGCAGCGGAAATGAGCCCCGATTCGTTTAACCCTTGGTTTAACGACAATGTTGACGAACACCTGCGCGAAATATACAAAGGTTCAAACCTGATTTGACATTTGTTTATACAGTCTCAAGCGATGAAGTCAGCGTCTGTTGTGCCCTCGGGTTTAAAGGTCACATAAACCCTAGGGGGTACAAATACATAAATCACTAACTGGCATCGTTATAAATGAAACCCCGTCATTAAAACTACTCATTTCGACCTTTAATTGACTTAAATCGACCTTTTTGACAACAGTGCACAATTCTTACCCGCGAACGAAATTTCAACCAATCAGAGGCGCGTCTCTGTGACGTCATATGAGGAATAGCTTTGAGGGCCGATGCAGAATTCATCTACATTTTAGGGGGTAAATTATCGTGTTTACAGGCTTGTATAAACCTGAAATCGTGACAATTGTTGTGGAAAATGAAAGCTATATGTTCTCACAATCTACTGTCATTTAATTTTGTCTCCTGCTTTGCCTAGTTTCCGAGTTACAACTTGTTTTCATAGACGATTCTGTCAAAATCGATCGGTGTCGTTAGGCCCTATTTGTATAATGACTGATCCAAATTGATCCCATTTCTGTGTTTTTTTACCTCGATATTTAATCATGTCATGTAAAAATCTGTTTGTATTCTCAAAACAGTGTCGGCCCATAAGTTTTCACATGCAATACAGCAATTAATACTCCTTTGTTGTAACCCGTGTTAGGTGGTATAAACCTACATATGTTATTTGTCATCATTCACTTGATGGTCAGTTAATGAATTTATAACAGGTATAATTAGTGGTAACACACTTAGATTACCCGACAAAGGTTCCCATTTGGCATTTCTTGTGTCTGGAGTAAATATTCAACATTATTAACATCGATCAAAGGATTAACCGATAACACGCTGATTGATTAATTACTTTTATCTTATACAGCGGAATTGTCAAAAGGTAGTGTTTATGTATGTAGATTTACTAATCTATACTGAATACACTCTGTTGTGTCGGTGTCTGCGTAAAAACAACGTCCTTCTTTCAAAGGATTAATCGGCAATACATTGATTGATTGCCCATTATTGGCTAACTAATTTACTGTTTTTAAAGAAAGGCGGACATTATGCAATTAGTTGCCAGGTGTGCTATCTTGGGTGACCAATGAGACTATACACCAATACCGGAAAAGATTTATCACTTTTTCGTATATTAAACTCTTAAAAGACACATCATTTGGAACAGTTTTGTGGATATTGATGGATACATTCCTCGAACAAGGTAATGGCCTGATATTGTTCTTATAACTTTGATCTGTTTTAATTTTAATATTTGCATGTTGTTTTTATTCATTTGTCGTAGCATTCAACAGAATCATTGTTTTCGCCGTGAAGTGTAATGAGACAGACAACTCTAGGGTGTGTGTGTGCGAATTATGATTCACATTGGCAAACTATAAAATGTCTAGATATTACAGTTCTGTTATAAATTCACTATAAGTATCAGCAGATCGTCTGCTTTTTATTTAGTTTCAAAATGCATACAAGTATGATACTAAACTAATTATGATTATAAGACCAAATATAAAGACGCACATTGACTAGTATCTACATACTGGTGAGTGGACATTAACCATGTGAATGTAGCAAGAAATGTATCGCGCAGTATTGTGACTTCGACCCCCACCTCGCTTCCGTGGAAGAAATCGTTATGTTATAAGTTGTGTCATGCAAAATCCGTTTGGTTATGATTCCAATACATATTTAACTACGAGTAGAAAGTAGTTTTGATTTTCTAACTTGATGAAAACAAACTATAATCTCATTAATTCTAACAGACTTTACGATTTTCAAAAATGGCGGCGCCCTGTCTGGAACATCCGCCAGTCTGAGGATAAATGCTATTTAGGTTTGTTTTCACCGAGTTACAAAATCAAAACTACTTTCTACTGGTGGTAAAATATGTATTTGATTGATGGCCAATAGGATTTTGCATGACATAGCGTATAACATAACAATTTCTCTCGTGGCAGCGAGGTGGGTGTCAATATAATACCACTTACAATATTATTGTTACTTCGACCACAAGCTCACTTCCGAGGAAGAAATCGTTATGTTACAAGTTGTGTCATGGAAAATCTTTATGGTCATCAATCATATACATATTTTACTACAACTAGTAAGTAGTTTTGATTCTTTAACTTCCGTGAAGCGATCTGAACACAAGTAAGATATCGTTTCAGGCTTCCACAACGCTCGCTTCGCACTCACAAACATAACCCATTTAGCACGAACTGCGGGGTCCTGTGGAAATCTGTGCATGGTGACACCATCGCCCGGCCCCTAGGAGCAATTGACGACAAAGCAACGATTCGGCATGTCGTCGTTGATGTCGAGAAATCATCAAAATGATGAGCGTGCTACACACTTTCTATACAACTAACTGAAAATCGTTCCTCATATGACGTCACTGCAGTGCTCTGGCGACAGAGTTACGTAACCTGTCTGTGGTTTCGTTGGCGGGCGAGAGGGAAGCAGGCGACTTTTTGGCCACTTTTAATCGCTCGGTATTAATTAACCACAAGTTTTTAAAGAATAAATTTGGTGTTCCGCATAAGACTAACTACAAATCTTTCATATGTAATGGTTAAAAGAGTAACAAAAAACAAAGTTTAGTGGTTCTTCAAGGGCTATACTCACAGAAGACTCTACACACGTCTTTGTTTTTTCACCTCTTGGCTTCGGGGGTGTGAACCCCGCTTTTCCATATTCTCGAATCTCATCTTACTAGATACTTGCAAATTGTTAGATTAATAATACATTATTGTCTAGATCTTTCAGGTCGAACCAGCAGTCTAAGTAAACTTAGGCTCAGTATTATTCGTTACACTGCTAAACTGTTAGACTCAGTATAGCAGTGTAACGAAGAATGACACTGAGCCTAAGTTTACTTGATTGGTTGAACCAGCAGAAACACAGTGTCTCTTCGAAAGATCTGAAACAAACTCCTTAATTGTTAAGAATCTACAGTAAACTTTTACAAAATGAAGATGTGGTATTTCTTTTGAATTCGACATTCCACCTCTGAATACGCCAGGTATTGTTAAAGTTTATGGGATAAGCTATGAAATGTCGGATATTGTTTGGTTACTCCCCACAAATTGAATAAGAATCCCTGCATATAAAAGATTCGTATATTAAATCCAAATGTGGGTCGTAAATATGCTTGTTTTCAATTTGTCTTGAACCTGGATATTCCTGGACTGAGCGTAGTAACTCATATGAGTTCTTCTGAAAAATAGATATATGCTGCATCTCAAATATTACAACTGATACATCAAAGGCTATTGAACTAGTTTAGCCAACGATTACGTTTAAACCTATGAGGATGAAAAAGATACAGATAATTATCCGGCCACAAAAAAAATTAACTGCTGAAAACTCGGTCTCCTCCTAAAAGGACACCTAAATCACCATATATAAATTTGAATAGCTAAATTTAGAAACACGACCATCATTCAGGATTGAAAATATGAAAGAGACATACAGACTAAAGAAATGGCACTTGCTTGAATGTGGAAAAAGTAGTTCACGTACATCGTAAGTAGGCAACGGACAACTTTATATTTCGCTCCAAAATACTGTTACGATACTGCAGGTATATGGATATTGTATGAGAGCTTCAATCTTTGTTGCCTCCGTCGGGGATGTTTTCATTTTGGAAAGCATACTCAATTTCAGTGCGGACTTGTATTGAATATGCATCTCCTAATGTATAAATATAACTATTAAAAAACTAAATCAAAGTTGTCATGGTTCTAAAGGATCATGATCTGACATCAATGGTATGATTATATTTTCCGGTTTTTAATATGTCATGGGCAGATCACTCTAGTCGTATTAACCCCCCAACCCCCACACCATTTCTATGGTTCCTATTTCCTTTCGGGCCTAATGTAGTTGTGAATTTCTGTACCCGTCTGCCTAGCAATAGTTCAGTCACATGGATGTGCTCTGGGTTGGAAGATAAATATTACTCTCTTCAAATTATCAGATGACATCGAATGGTTGCATCATCACGATTGATCATCAGCTGATCGTAGGTTTACTTTGAATGAATATGCTCACATAGATGTTGTGCAATAACACTTTTACAGCCTTGCCTGCTAGCCTAGGTATGTATTTGTACTGTGCGTTCCTCCATCACCTATACATGTGAACAGTCACTAAGTTGTGAAGCCGAGAGGAAAAAATATAAAAAAATGGAAAAAGGGCCAAACATAATATTGTATAGTCACCTAAAACCTGTGGCATTATATTATAAGTGACCGCGACCATATGTACTCTTGGCTTGACTCAAAAGATTAAACATTATGGTTATACACCACATTTATACTGTTTCTGTATTTGTCTTATCCAGAGACAGTCTGAAGGTGAACTGAAAGCAGTTTAAACATGGAGAATGAAGACGAGGATGTGCTCTCGTTGCTGCATTTGCGGGAACATCGCAAGGCATTTGTCAGGATGGTGTCATGGGAGATTGGGAATAAATCTCAAGGACTGCAAAACAGGATGAAGTCCAAAAATTCTGACTCGGAAACTGATTCAGAAACTAGTGACATCGATATTGACTGGGACAGTGACAGCAGCGAGGGAGAATATTTCTCAGCTGAGGAAACAATTGAAACTAACATGGACAAGTTAGTTGCAAACAATAAAAGCAAAGAAAAGACAGGAATGGAAGTATTACTAGATGAATCAAGCATGGAAGTGCATGTACCTAAGCCTGAGCATCACAGGGCTCTTAGCAAGAGACAGAAACGCAGGAAGAGGGAGCGCATACGTGAAGACATGATGTTAGCCATTCCCTTTAGGAATGTTGAAAACCTTGATTTTGATTGTCTGAACTTGGAAGATGAGTTGGAAGTGCCTGTTCAAAGGAAACTACCAAGTTTGGTGGAGAGGTGTATGAAGACATTGTGGAAGTTCAACTTGGTGGGATCTGGAGGTACAAGTGTTTCACGACAAACTGATCTTCCTGCGGTGATGCAGCGTGAATTGTTTTTGTGGAGATCAACACAACACAGAGCAACTTCCCAACTGACGTGGCTGTACCGGTTGTTAGGCCACGGAGAGGAATTCTTAAACAGACCATATTCATGTTACCTGAAAGAGTTAAAACAAGTCTCAGATATGGAAGGTGCAAGCGACTTTGTGTTAGAAAGGGCAACTCGCACTGTGTGGAACCATAAAGTTCTGGGTTATGAGGAGTCTCAGAACTTGATGGTGTACAATGGGACAGAGGCTTCTGCTTGGCTGCCCTATACCTACATGAACAATTCAGAATATGGAGCATTCTGGAATGATAACGCATATCAGTGGAAATACCCGACTCAGCTGTTGTCAGGTAAAAGTAGATGTTTGAATCTGCATGTACACATCCTTGTTTGTTATGTACTGTCTGGACATTGTATTGTAATTATATCCTTGACCACTTACTTACTATAGCTTTGTTGCGAGTGAGTTTAGTTTTATGCTGCACTCAGCAATATTCCAGCTATATGGCGGTGGTCTGTAAATAGGCCTTTCTGGACCAGACAATCCAGTGATCAACAGCATGAGCATCGATCTATGCAATTGGGAGCCGATGACCCGTGCCAACCAAGTCAGCAAGCCTGACCACCCAATCCCGCTAGTCGCCTCTTAAGACACGCATGGGTTACTGAAGATCAGTTTTTACCTGGATCTTCAAGGATCAGCTTTGTTGTGAAACCATCAGGTACAGACATGGTGCTGAGAGACCCAATGGTCATAATCAGAGTGACCCTCATTTTGGAATTCTCCTCCAGCAAAAATCAGCACATCTTTCATTTTCCTGTGTATCTATATTCTTTTTTCATAGCTTGAGCTTCATGTTCATACGAGAAGTGGTCTCAGTATCTCAAAAGTTCTTTACGCCATAGTAACAAATTGACATGATGGTTACTTTCCGAGTGCTAAGAGCTGTTATAGTTCAATTCTACTTCTGACAGCGATTTAGTAGTGAATGGGTGAAAAGCATTTGTCATGACACATTGGTGATATGATACATAGTTGGTAATAATTAAAGGTCACATGCAACGTAAAACACAACTTTGCAGATTCTGATACCTTTTCGGTATGGACATAGCGAAACAAATCGTCAAAAATGCAAATTCAACGTATAAAGTTGAAAAATAACGCGATGAAAAAAAACGCGCGAAATCGGAGTTCAAACGTTTCACTAATTTTCCCCAGACTTTTCTGGGGAATACGGGTTTCAACAGCTGGGCTGCGCTCATAGCACGTGCGCAAGTAAATAGGTTCGCGCAGCTTGGAAGCGGCTTGTCGTGTGAATACTCGGCGAAGGCTTTGGTGTGAGCTATTTTTCTAATGTTTTGTTGATATCTCACAGGCCCGAGCTTTTTATATGTTATGACAGTAAATAAACTGTTTATATAATTTCATTTGTCTATTTCACCACACGTTCTTCTTACCGAGTCACTTTCTCAGTTCGATACTTAAAAGCAATGTCATTATTTAGCGTTGACACAATTTCTAACTGTGATATAGATATGTCGTTGTCACAGACAAAACTCAATGTCTTGTTTTATTGACACCTGTGTGTCTACCTGCCTGTCTGCTAATGACAATATTCAATACACAACTGCGATCACTGACCACATGCAATTTGAACTTAACACCAATCAGGCTATACACCATAAACAAAACGCATTGATTTATGGCCCGAGTTCGGCTCTGTCACATTATGTTATTACACAGACAGGCAGGTGTGATACTTGAACACATGACATGTTATGATGTCTGTTGATTGCAAAATGTTATACACAAAAAATGAGCATGTATTTACAAAACCCAACAGCTCTATATATACACACACCATGAGCCGTGAATGCGGCATCTGCTAATGAACCAGCCGTTACACTTGAGTGCACACCCACCCGCTCTGACTGGGTTCGGTATCCCGGCTGCTTCGTTTCGAGGGAGGTAAACCCAAGTACAAAATATTGCACTTTTGATTTGCGATTATACGCTTATAATTTTGTTTATTTGTTTTTTCATAATCAGCAATGCATATTATATGTCATGAAGAAGTGATAATTGTGTTTTAATTATGTTTGATTTTTTGGTTGCATGTGACCTTTAAGGGTACGTGATGTAAAATACATATATTTCTGCAACATGATCAGTTGCTAATGAGGCAGTCAGTTACTGCTCATCTAGTAGTTTAAACAATTGGACCTTTGATGTTGTCAGTGATTGGACCTGTGTCAGTGTTTGGTCCTGTGTCAGTGATTGGACCTGTGTCAGTGATTGGACCCGTGTCAGTGATTGGTCCCGTGTCAGTGATTGGTCCCGTGCCAGTGATTGGTCCTGTGCCAGTGATTGGTCCTGTGTCAGTGATTGGTGTCAGTGATTGGTCCTGTGTCAGTGATTGGTCCTGTGTCAGTGATTGGTCCTGTGTCAGTGATTGGATCTGTGTCAGTGATTGGACCTGTGTCAGTGATTGGTCTGTGTCAGTGATTGGACCTGTGTCAGTGATTGGTCCTGTGTCAGTGATTGGTCCTGTGTCAGTGATTGGATCTGTGTCAGTGATTGGTCCTGTGTCAGTGATTGATTGGATCCTGTGTCAGTGATTGGACCTGTGTCAGTGATTGGTCCTGTGTCAGTGATTGGATCTGTGTCAGTGATTGGTCCTGTGTCAGTGATTGGTCCTGTGTCAGTGATTGGACCTGTGTCAGTGATTGGATCTGTGTCAGTGATTGGTCCTGTGTCAGTGATTGGACCTGTGTTAATCATTGGATGTTTGATGGTGTTAATCATTGGATGTTTGATGGTGTCAATCATTGGATGATTGATGGTGTTAATCATTGGATGTTTGATGGTGTAAATAATTGGACGTTTGATAGTGTTAACCATTGCACCTTTGTCAGTGATTGGTCCTGTGTCAGTGATTGGACCAGTGTCAGTGATTGGTGTCAATCATTGGATGTTTGATGGTGTCAATCATTTAATGTTTGATGTTGTTTAATGGTTATTGGATGTTTGATGGATGTTTGAAGAGTCAATCATGGATGTTTGATGATGTCATTGATGTTTTGATCATTGGATTGGACATTTGATGGTGTTAATCATTGGATGTTTGATGGTGTAAAATCATTGAATGTGTTAATCATTGATGTTTGACAGTGTCAATCACTTGATGTTTGATGGTGTCAATCATTGGCCATGTGATGGTGTCAATCATTGGACATTTGATCGTGTCAATCATTGGATGTTTGATGGTGTCAATAATTGGATGTTTGATGGTGTTAATAATTGGACATTTGATGTTGTAAATCGTTGGATGTTTAATGGTGTTAATGATTGGATGTTGAAGGTGTCAATCATTGGATGTTTGAATGAGTCAATCATTGGAAGTTTGATGGTGTTAATCATTGGATGTTTGTGTGTGTCAATCATTGGATGTTTGATGGTGTCAATCATTGGATGTTTGATGGTGTTAATCATTGGATGTTTGATGGTGTTAACCATTAGATATTTGATGGTGTTAATTATTGGGCGTTTGATGGTGTTAACCATTGGATGTTTGATGGTGTTAATCATTGGATGTTTGATGGTGTTAATCGTTGGATATTTCATGGTGTTAATCATTGGATGTTTGATGGTGTTAATCAATTGATATTTAATGGTGTCAATCATTGGATGTTTGATGGTGTTAATCATTGGATGTTTGATGATGTCAGTGATTGGTCCTTTGATGATATCAGTGATTGGTCCTTTAATGATGTCAGTGATTGGTCCTTTGATTATGTCAGTGATTGGTCCTTTGATGATGTCAGTGATTGGTCCTTTGATGATGTCAGTGATTGGTCCTTTGATGATGTCAGTGATTGGTCCTTTGATGATGTCAGTGATTGGTCCTATTATGCTCCAAATTAGTTCAGACAAGTGATGATGGCTGTAGAAGATGACTTTGTGCAATAATTTTATTTTGTTGTAAAACATAAATTATTGATTCTTGGCATGACAGTTTCTTGAAAATTGTTGAATGATATAGGAACTGATGATTGCCTGGTGGACCTGTGGCTGCTTGTTCATATATGGTTCTTTTAAACCACAGTTTTGGTGGTGTAAAGTGATGATGATGTTTTCCAGGTGTATCAAGTGTGTTAGATCTAATGCTGCCTCAGGGTGGAGTGTTGCCACATACTTTCTACCATGATGATGATGATGATGATGTTTTCCAGGTGTATCAAGTGTGTTAGATCTAATGCTGCCTCAGGGTGGAGTGTTGCCACATACTGCCATGGCCAAGTCTGCCATATCTACCAAGTCTACCAAATCTGACAAATGTGTGAAGTCTACCACATCTTGCATGGCGATTGAAAACAAGAGAACGGTCGCTCACCTGAGGCAGATCGAGGAATCTCTGAGCCAAAGGTATGCATCTGATGATATGGTTTGCGATGACAGTAATTTATTCACCCCATAGCTGTACATCTGAAAAAGTTGTACCATTGATGTGTCCTGCCTTGAATACTGCTGGAATATTGCTATAGCCTCATGAGCTCCCTCCTGCCAAAATCCAGTAAAACTGAAAGATCTGTTTACCTGGGTGAGTAGGTATCTCATCAAAAGAATTTTGGAAGAAATTGGTCTGTATGATGAATTGTAAATATCTATGTATAAACTAACTGATTGTTTGTCCTTAAGTTTGGTGTAATTACTGAAGAGATTACTGAGACACGCGCAGGTGTGTGTGTGTGTGTGTGAAGAAATGGTATTTTTCAATATTGGCCAGCTTTGCATTCAAGCACCAGAAGCTGAAATGATGACATAAATCCTCCTGGGGTATCATGGAAGAAGCTGAAATGGCATAGGTCCCAATGATCCCCAGAGAGTTGGCCCAGCTTTGGTTTGGGTGACTTATAGACTTTGTTATAAACTGTTGAAAATAATATTATTATGTAAACATATGTATGACAAATTTGTTTTAAATTTGACTTGTGTGAACTTGTGTACATGCATAAACTTGGTCTCATCAGTATATGGCTGAAATAATACTGATGCTACACTAAATTTGGACTCAATCCTAATTCTGTCAGAGTATGATGTTGTGTGGCAGGTACCCCCAGGTGGTGAAGTATGTCGTGAAGGAGGCGGTACCCTACACACTGTGGGCCAGGGGAGATATTGGGCTGGCCCTGCAACATTTCCTCAGCCTGTCTAAACAGGCCTCAGGTAGGGGTCTCTAACACATTGACAACAATGCAGCAATTTCCCTGTATCTGCTTCGGGTGGTGGGGTGACCTAGCGATTGAAGCGTCTGCTCATCACCTGGGTACAATGTGTGAAGCCAAATTTCTGGTGTCCCCTGTCCTGATATTGCTGGAATATTGCTACTCTTACGAAGAAGATCAATTCTAACCTGGCTCTTTACGGGTTACATTTTGCTGTGGGGAAGTGTAAAATTTAAGATGACAGTGTCACTCACTCACTCACTCGCTCGCTCACCTGTTACAAAGTCATTTCAAGGAAAATGTGAAACAAGCTTAATTGCAACACTGAAAACTGTTTTGCCACACAGATAGTTTGTGTTTGGTAGAACATTGCTCAGGTCAGTGTTCCACAATGTGATCTCAGCAGCGTGCCTATAATAAGCCAATGTTGAAGTTATTGAAATACAACTGTATTAGCAATATTGTCACTTTGTTGAACTTGGTGCGGAATACAAATATTTTACAAATCATAAATCTCTTTATCATGTTAAATCAAAGCAGCTTAAATGGTCCCCAATATCAAAACACAAATGTGTTTTGCTCTAAGCATTTGCATTTGCAGGTTATATTTGCAGGTTATCGCCGAGCAATGTATCTGAGTGAAGGAGCTCGACTGTGTGCATTTGTTGGGGAGACAGAGATGGCGCGAGACTTCTATAAGGAGTCAGCAGAGGCTTTGATTGGTAGAGTAAAGGGAGGTAACCAAGATGAGCAGGAGGTCAAGACACAGAGGTTTCTACTGATGACAAACTTGTATGACCAAGGGTGGGTGATATAGTGTTAATCTGAACGGTACTTCTGTGTTAACTCATGTGATATTACAACTAACTGCATATGGTAGTGACATCGTTTATGTCTTGGTGATATCCTGCTTGTGTTGGTGATCTCATTTATGTATCTGAATGGTGATATCCTGCATATGGTAGTGACATCATTTATGTCTTCATGATCCCATTTATGTATCCGGTGATATATCTTGGTGATATCCTGCATGTGCTGCAATATCATTTATGTGTTTATATCTTGCATGTGTTGTGATATATGGTATATCATTTATGTATTGGGGATATCCTGCATATGTTGGTTATTTCATTTATGTATTGCTGATAGCCTTAATGTGTTTGTGATATTCTGCATATGGTAGCGACATCGTTTATGTCTTGGTGATATCCTGCTTGTGTTATTGATGTCATTTATTATTGGTGATATCTTGCATGTGTTGGTGATATCATTTATGTATTGGTAATATCCTGCATATGGTAGTGATATCATTTATGTCTTGGTTATATCCTGCATGTGTTGTGATATAATTTATTTATTGGTGATGTCCTGCATGTATTGATGATATCATTTATGTATTGGTGATATCCTGCATATGTTTGTTGCATTTGTGGTATCTTAAATGCATTGGTGATGTGAATAAGATGTTGATGTCAGTTGTGAGTTGGGGATATTGTGTGCCTGTTAGTGTCTTCTTTGAGTGGCATTTTAGAAGTTGGAGGTAAGATAGAACAAGTATATATGTTTTCACAATACAAGAACCTGTATCGAAACGTCGTGCACTAGAATAAAACAAGTTGTCATCCATATATACTTGTTCTATTCACCTGTTAGTGATATCACCCATATGTTGGTAATATCATCCATATGTTAGTGATATCATGCATATGTTTGGTGATATCATCCATATGTTAGCAATATCATGCATATGTTTGTGATATCATCCATATGTTTGTGATATCATACATATGTTAGTGACATCATGCATACGTTGGTGATATCATTCATATGTTGGTGATATCATGCATATGTTGGTGATATCATAATATGCTAGTGATATCATGCATATGTTTGGCAATATCATCCATATGTTAGCAATATCATGCATATGTTTGTGATATCATCCATATGTTTGTGATATCATACATATGTTAGTGATATCATGCATACGTCGGTGATATCATTCATATGTTGGTGATATCATGCATATGCTGGTGATATTATCCATATGTTAGTGATAATTTTTATATCATCGTATGTTAGTGATATTGCCCATACGTTGGTGATATCATCCATATGTTAGTGATATCATCTATGTGTTAGTTAAATCATCTGTGTTAGTGATATCATCCATATGTTAGTGATATCATCATATGTTAGTGATATTGCTCATACGTTGCTGATATCATCTATGTGTTAGTGATATCACCCATATGTTAGTGATATCATCTATGTGTTAGTTAAATCATCTATGTGTTAGTGATATCATCCATATGTTAGTGATATCATTGTATGTTAGTGATATTGCCCATACGTTGGTGATATCATCCATATGTTAGTGATATCATCTATGTGTTAGTTAAATCATCTATGTGTTAGTGATATCATCCATATGTTAGTGATATCATCATATGTTAGTGATATTGCCCATACGTTGGTGATATCATCTATGTGTTAGTGATATCATCTATGTGTTAGTGATATCATTTGTGTGTTAATTATATCTATGATGCATGTCCATGTCCCCAGGCCGATGACAGAAGAGAAGGGAGAGAAGGCATCCTCCTCATGGTCAGCAACACTGCAACACACAACGACAGCGCAGCATTCAACCATTCTCCGAGCAGTCGAATCTCACTTTTGCTTTCACTCAGGAACAAACGGAAGACAGGGTACATATATGGGATTACCCTCCTGTTCAAATCACTGTTAAACTCAACCATGATGATACATTTGACAAGGCTCTCAGTTAAATGTCTAAGACCCTGGCATAGTCCTTGCTCTGAAGTTTTACACAAGTTATTGTCAAGACAGTTTGATTGTACTGATATTCTTTTTAAATTCTTAACAAAAATCCAGGCATTTTTACAGCTGTTTGAACCATATGCATGTTATTTGCATCCATTTCAATTTTATGCATGACAGGATTTTGTATCCAATAAAACCATGGTGATATGTTACACAAAGGTTTTTCATGCAGATGTCGACATGGTGCGTCATCTGAGTGAAGGCCTGTGTTGGATCAAGTCTCTCAGGGGCCAATGTCCCGCACTACTGCAACATCAGGTTGTGTTGGAGGCTTGGTTGGGACAGACAACAGATGCCTACACCTCCCTGAGACGCACTAGGTAACTCCTTCTCTCATTGTGTTTGATAATTCACTAATAATGCTCTCAGCCTCTAATGTAACTCAAATGCTGAAGTACTTTGGCCTTAAAAACCAAGATCTATTCATTGTTCTTTTTGGGTAGCCTAGTGGTTAAAGCATCCACTCGTCACGATGAGGACCTGGGTTCGATTCCCCAAATGGTTACAATGTGTGAAGCCCGTTTCTGGTGTCCCCCTGCCGTGATATTGCCGGAATATTGCTAAGAGCAGTGTAAAATCATACTCACTCATCCTTCTGTTGTTATATTGAGGTTATCTGTTGTTATATTGAGGTGATCCATCTCTGTGTTTCAGAACAGATGCCATGTGGTCCTGTGGGGAGGAGGTGAACATCTTCGTGATGGCATGGGTCAAGGCCGTTCCTCCTCCACCCTTGAGGGTGGTATGGCGGACCCAGCTTGGACACATGCGACTTGTTTTGGGGCAGTATGTGTTCCATCTTTTCACTCACTTACAACTAGGGGGGTATCATAGCCCAGTGCACCAGTGTGAAGCAGCTTGTGATTGCAGGCTTTTCTGCATCAATCCAGTGCTACTGGTTTCTAACTAAGTCGTGAACATCTCTGACCTGAATTTGAAATGAATTTGAATTAATCTTATTTGAATTTGAAAAAGACAATAAACCCTATCTCCCTTAAGATGCACCCTGGGTGCTAAGAAACTGCCAAAGGGGACTGCTTATTAAAACTATGCAAAGCATGATTAGTTTGTTTTCAGACATCAAGTGCTACTGTAAATGACAATGAAGCTTAAAGAACCACTAAACTTTGTTTTTTGTTACTCTTTTAACCATTACATATGAAAGATTTGTGGTTAGTCTTATGCGGAACACCAAATTTATTCTTTAAAAACTTGTGGTTAATTAATACCGAGCGATTAAAAGTGGCCAAAAAGTCGTCTGCTTCCCTCTCGCCCGCCAACGAAACCACAGACAGGTTACGTAACTCTGTCGCCAGAGCACTGCAGTGACGTCATATGAGGAAGGATTTTCAGTTAGTTGTATAGAAAATGTGTAGCACGCTCATCATTTTGATGATTTCTCGACATCAACGACGACATGCCGAATCGTTGCTTTGTCGTCAATTGCTCCTAGGGTCGGGCGATGGTGTCCCCATGCACAGATTTCCACAGGACCCCGCAGTTAAGTGCTAAATGGGTTATGTTTGTGAGTGCGAAGCGGCGTTGTGGAAGCCTGAAGCGATATCTTACTTGTGTTCAGATCGCTTCACGGAAGTTAAAGAATCAAAACTACTTACTAGTTGTAGTAAAATATGTATATGATTGATGACCATGAAGATTTTCTATGACACAACTTGTAACATAACGATTTCTTCCTCGGAAGTGAGGTTGTGGTCGAAGTAACAATAATATTGTAAGTAGTATTATATTGACACCCACCTGCGGCTGCTACAAGAGAAATTGTTATGATATGCACGCTATGTCATGCAAAATCCTATTGCCCATCAATAAAATACATATTTACTACCAGTAGAAAGTAGTTTTGATTTTGTAACTTTCGGTGAAAACAAACCTAAATACCATTTATCCTCAGACTGGCGGATGTTCCGACGACAGCCATTTTTTAAAAAATAAAAAATCTGTTAGAATTAATGAGATTATAGTTTGTTTTCATCAAGTTAGAAAATCAAGACTACTTTCTACTCGTTGTTAAATATGTATTGGAATCATAACCAAACGGATTTTGCATGACACAACTTATAACATAACGATTTCTTCCACGGCGGCGAGGTGGGGTCGAAGTCACAATACTGCTTGCGATAAATTTCTTGCTACATTCCCATGGTTAATGTCCACTCACCAGTATGTAGATACTAGTCAGTAATGTGCGCTCTTTATATTTGGTCTTATAATCCTAATTAGTTTATTATCACACTTGTATGCATTTTGAAACTAAATAAAAGCAGACGATCTGCTGATACTTATAGTGAATTTATAACAGAACTGTAATATCTAGACATTTTATAGTTTGCCAATGTGAATCATAATTCGCACACACACCCTAGTGCATGTTGTCTGTCTCATTACACTTCACGGCGAAAACAATGATTCTGTTGAATGCTCACGACAAATGAATAAAACAAAATGCAAATATTAAAATTAAAACAGATTAAAGTTATAGGAACAATATCAGGCCATTACCTTGTTCGAGGAATGTATCCATCAATATCCACAAAACTGTTCCAAATGATGTGTCTTTTAACAGTTCAATATACGAAAAAGTGATAAATCTTTTCAGGTATTGGTGTATGGTCTCATTGGTCACCCAAGATAGCACACCTGGCAACTAATTGCATAATGTCCGCCTTTCTTTAAAAACAGTAAGTTAGTTAGCCAATAATGGGCAATCATTCAATGTATTGCCGGTTAATCCTTTGAAAGAAGGGCGTTGTTTTACTATATGAACACCGACCACGACAGAGTGTATTCAGTATAGATTAGTAAATCTACATACATAAACACTACCTTTTGACAATTCCGCTGTGTAAGATAAAAGTAATTAATCAATCAGCGTGTTATCGGTTAATCCTTTGATCGATGTTTATAATGTTGAATATTTACTCAGACACAAGAAATGCCAAATGGGAACCTTTGTCGGGTAATCTAAGTGTGTTACCACTAATTATACCTGTTATAAATTCATTAACTGACCATCAAGTGAATGATGACAAATAACATGTGTAGGTTTATACCACCTAACACGGGTTAAAGCGAGGGAGTATTAATTGCTGTATTGCATGTGAAAACTTATGGGCCGACACTGTTTTGAGAATACAAACAGATTTTTACATGACATGATTAAATATCGAGGTAAAACAACACAGAAATGGGATCAATTTGGATCAGTCATTATACAAATAGGGCCTAACGACACCAATCGATTTTGACAGAATCGTCTATGAAAACAAGTTGTAACTTTCGGAAACTAGGCAAAGCAGGAGACAAAATTAAATGCCAGTAGATTGTGAGAACATATAGCTTTCATTTTCCACAACAATTGTCCGCGATTTCAGGTTTATACAAGCCTGTAAACACGATAATTTTACCCCTAAAATGTAGATGAATTCTGCATCGGCTCTCAAAGCTATTCCTCATATGACGTCACAGAGGCGCGCCGCTCTGATTGGTTGAAATTTCGTTCGCGGGTAAGAATTGTGCACTGTTGTCAAAAAGGTCGATTTAAGTCAATTAAAGGTCGAAATGAGTAGTTTTAATGAGGGGTTTCATTTATAACGATGCCAGTTAGTGATTTATGTATTTGTACCCCCTAGGGTTTATGTGACCTTTAAACTCTTTTGATAAGGGTTCAGGTAACCACACACCCTTTCTGTCTTGTTTTCTTCAGTAAACGTTTCTGAGATATACATCAGAAAATAAGGACTGTCAATTTTAGTGTCAACCTATTAAGGGGTTTATAATGATTGACTGGTTTAAACCATCTGATGCCCTCAGAATGGTCTGTTTTATCTGGTATTCATACTGATTATGTGAATCGATTTTCATGGTATATATCAAGTGTTTGTGACTTTAGCTCAATCTTTCAAACATCTATGACAAGATGTCTGACACAAAACCTTCAGTGTAGTAACAATATTTTCTGTTTTAATCTGATCTTTTCAGACAATGTTATGAAGCAGATTTCATAGCACAATCAAACCTGCATCTACATTTGACAGCAGACGGCTTCCTGTCAGGTGACCTCCAGATGCTGCTGCCACCAATCAGGGCCATTCACCTGGATCCTTACACAGGGCAAGTGATGGGTGTACTCTCCTATAAATATGTCAAGTATGGACTGAAGAAATGACTAGGCATTTTAGACTTTGGATTTCTGGAGTATTTTTGCTTCTAGGTCTGATTCTATTCAGATCAGTAGTTCACTCGTTCTATCCCCTGTCCACTGTCCCATGTTGTGACAGTGCGTATTTTTCACTGTCCACTTATTCCTGTCTCAATCCACTGTCCCCAAGGTAATATCTTTCTTCCAGTATTTATGTATTCAAGCCTCTATCGACCATTCTTCAGGTATAATTTTTTGTTGTTGTGTTGTGTGTGTGTAGCCTTGTGGTTAAAGCATTCACTTGTCACACCGAAGACCAGAGTTCGATTCCTCACTTGTTTACAATGTGTGAAGCCAATTTCTGGTCTCCCCTGCTATTGCTGGGATATTGCTAAAAGCGGCGTAAAACTGAACTCACTCACTCAGATATAACAACAAGTAATCTCTGTGTTCCAGTGTTCCTGTGTTCAAGCCTCTGTCTGGAGTTCCTGAACCCTGGCACTCCCTCAACTTCTGCAGTCTGTTTTTTTCAGAGCTCCCCAAATACAATGGTAATGTGTTTAATTTGTATTGACCGATGTATATGATGTATTGACCGATGTATATGATGTATTGACCGATGTATATGATGTATTGACCGATGTATATGATGTCAATCACATGATTTTCTTGTCCAGATTCATATATTAACTGACCACCATTACATAGATAGCACATTGCTGAGTGCACCAATGCAAAACATGCAAGCACACATTTAGATACTGAGACAAATACGCGCAGGCAGGTACATGGTTACGTTTGGATCCATACATTTGATCTTTGACCTTATACTTGCAGGTGGATTTGTTGCTCCTACCTTGGTGCAGCTGTACCAAGATGAAAGCGGAAACTCGGTACATTTTTCTTGTAAAACTATTGCCACAGTGGTAACTGATATACCTTTGCACAGCTTAACATTCGTCTGGACCACAGCTGATGGCAATCGCCGAAAACTGGACCTTTTCCCAAAACTGAGGAAAAAAGTGAGAGATGTAAGTAACTTGAACAGTTTGCAAGGATTATTGTCTGTGGTTGATTGCTTTGCTGGCTTGGGGCTGTGGAGTAGCCTAGTGGTTAAAGCATTGGCTTGTCACGCTGAAGCCCCAGGTTCGATTCCCCACATGTGAAGCCCATGTGTTCCACGCTGTGATATAGCTGGAATATTGCTAAAAGCGGCCTAAAACCCAAATCACTCACTCACTCACTTTGCTGGGTTTGTTTGTGTATTTGTAGTTTAGCGCTGCACCAGTAATTCTCTGTATGACAGCAGTCTGTCAATAATCATGTTTAGACGCGAATCTAGTGATTGACATCATGAGCATCAATGTATGCAATTTGAATCAGCAAGCCTGACCACCTTGATCCTGCTGGTCACCTCTTACGAAGAGGACAGATTCGAACCTGGATCTTTACGGGGTACACTTTGCTGTGGGGAAGTGCAAAATTTAAGATGACAGTGTCTTATCACACTCACTCACTCACCCACTCAAACACCCACCCACTCACTCACTCACTTTTCACTCCTGAAACATTCGTAAAAATACTAATTCTTTTTTATATATTCCTCCTTGGGGTACTTATAAGCATTTAAATGTCCATTTAAATTCCCTACGACAGTTGTAACAATATTTGAATAAAAATAGTTACAAAACAAAAACTACGTTTTGTCTTGTGAGACCACCCTTACAGGGCCCTCCGGCCCCTTACAGCCAAGAGCAGGTAACTCTAGACCGTAACCTCGTACCTCACTTTCCATGCTGTCGTTTACCGGCACGACGTGGGTCCATTTCAAGGAGGTTTCTTTTCCCTGCGCAAAATTATGAGTGTGTCAGAAACAGCAACTGTATGTATGGTTCTCTTTTTTCTCTGCATGGGCGATTTGGAGGCTTGTTCTGAACTTTTTCATTCATAATTTCTAGTTGTAACTTGGTACCTGTCGTGGTCGGCTCGCCGGGTGCGTGTCAAGATGGCGGACAGGTCCCTTCGCTAGCCTCCCTGTTCATTGGTTTCCCGTGTGGTTTTTCAATGTTACAGGTGGTTATAGTAATTTTTATTTATATGTTGTTACATGTAGGGCGTTTCCACTGCTAGCATTTTCTATCTTACGCTAAAAGTCGTAATTGTTAGTTATGTTGCAGTGCGTATTATGGTTATTGTCAACTGTATGCTACGTTGTCGCATTAGTTGTGTCGCCCATGCGTGTTTTTTTCATACAGTGGACTCTGTCAATACCGGCCTCTCTTAACACCGGCACTCTGTCTACATCGGCACAAAGTTTCAGTCCCGGCAGAAATGCACGTTATTATCATTAAGAAACTTCTGTAAACATCGGCATCTGTCTATTCAGGATATCGGCATTGTTTTTCAGTCCCAACGAACAAGTTGTTATGAAAACGAATCTGTAAAAACCGGCACATGAAAGACGGCGTAACCCTTTGATGCAATTTGGTCCAAATGATGTAACAACACAATTCGCTGTGACTCGAGATTATTCAGAAGCGGGGAAGTGTTAATCAGTATCCTGTTAATCAGTGAGTGATGCGTAACACTTACCCAGAGTAATTAATACATGTAGTGGGCAGTTTGACTGTATAAACAAGCAAGTGTTTACATTTTGTTGATTCGCTGGTATTGACTCGAGATTATTCAGAAAGCGGGGAAGTATCAATCAGTTTCTTGTTAATTAGTGAGTGTGCGTGTCACTTACATAGAAGCGAATCGTTTGATTCGCGTGTATCGTTCGAAAGCTCTGAACATCAACAATATCACTGTACTCTTGCCGAGAGTATTTTCACATTTGTAAGAAGCGATTTTATTGGATAAAGAGTGGTTTCTGGCGCTTTTTCACTACACTTTGCTTATAAGGGTGCGTGATTGGTCAAAATCAGACCATTGACCTAAGCAGCCAATCATATTATGGAAATGGATACCGTCCTCGTAAAAAGCGAAAAGTTTTAGATTAAGGCGAAAGTTTTGGGTAAAATAATGCTATTCTGAACATATTAAGAAAGACATCGCTACCTATACGTAAATCATGGAACGTATTGGACATATCGTGCTAGGTTATGGCCTATGACAAAAATGCTTCACGCATATATTTTCACATTAAGCATTGTGTGAAAGCCGAGATGTAACTTGTCAGTGACTTGACTTACACAAATTTTATATGTACGTTTGACAACTTTTATGAATGTTATTGTTGATTTCAATTTATTTAATGATTTCCTCGATGTTTGAAACATCGTTACTTTGCTCTTTGACAATGCTATTGTGGACCCGCTGCCGAAGCATAAACAAGAATCGTTGTTTGCAATAACATTGCGAAAAATAGTTTATAATTTTAATTCTGCCGATAATATATGATCAGTTGAAATTTAATAAGAGATTTCAGACATTTTTATTTGATTTAAACAACATGAATGTGCATTCAGGCACTGCCTTGTTTCTTATTCAAACATCTTGTTAATGCTAAAGTGACAGTACGACAGCGAACTTCCGTGTGCGCAGGCGTCATAAGCGAACCTAGCTAAACCGGCACTCTGTCAAAACGGGCATTTTTACTTGGTCCCGACTGATGCTGGTATTGACAGAGTACACTGTATATGTATGTGTGTATGGGGTTGATTGCTGCACAGGTTTTTTACTTGTTGCAGTTTAAGTCCTGTACTTCGTGCCTCGCTGCCATTCCCGTCAGGGACACGCACGAGGTGTGTTTACGTTGCCTTATACAAACTGATCATGAGGAAGAGGGGTGTCCGGCGTGTGCCATTTTCACGCCTCAAACCATTAAGGCACGACGGGTGGACCGGCTGTTTTACAGCAACCTGCTTCGGGCGGGGGGTGATATCTGGGCTCAGGATCCCCCGTCCAAGCGTTCACACAAAAAAAAGGGGTCTACGGGAGCCGCTTCCCATACGGAGCCGGCTCCCAAAAGAGCTAAGGTTTCCAAGGAGGCTTCGTTGGAGAAAACTAATACATCTATATCTCAACCTGCTCCTGTCTCTGCCACCCCCCCTGATGTGTCGGCACCCGTTGTACCTGTTGACTCTTTAACGGCTTTGTTTCAGGAACAGATGTCGTCAATGAAATCTCTGATCGATACGGCGTTGGCTGGGTGCCGGTTGTCGGGGGACGATCTGACACATCTGGGGGGGTTGGCTGCGGCCCCAGCTCCGGCTTGGAGAACGCGCCTCCCCCCGGGCAGCTTGATCCCGGCTTCGGCCGTGGGGATAGCGTGCCCTCGGCACCCGGTGCTGGCCTAGCTTCACGCTCAGGTCCGTCACAGGTGCCTGGCGCCGGCGATGCAGGGTTACCCCTGTCTTCGCCTGGTGCCCTGACTGGCGGTCGCCTAAGCGCCGACCAACTCGGGGATACCTCGGCGCCTGGCAGCCAGTCTGGGTTGCCCGGGAAGCCTGTTGCGGCAGGTTCCTCTCGGGCGCCTCGGTGACCTGGTGCGGATTCCATCCGGCAGGGCGACTCGTTTCCTCTGGCGCCTCTTGACCTTTATAGTCTTTCTGGTTCAGCCTCTGGCGTATCCTCGGCGGTCTCTTTTTGTCCTTTTATTGCTCCAAGATCGAGAATGAGTATGGAAGGTGATCACGTGGGTGAGGACTGCGCATGCCACGTGCTGTCACGGCCTAGTGAGCATGGCTAAGGCAGGAAGGCATGCACAGCACGGGGACAGGGACAAGGAAGGCCTGGAGCAAAGTTTAATTCGTTTCCACTCATGGTTGAATGAAGAGAGAGAGGTGCAAGTCGTGAGATAGGATAAGTATATAAATATACAATTTATAGTTAAAATTTCCAAAATGGCTGGTTTTGTTTCAGGAAAGGGTATCTTATCTGGAGTCCACACGGGATCCTTGTGTCAACCAGTTTGTGGAAGGCAATGAAGAATGGGTGTCAATGATGACCCAAGCTCTGGACGTCTGCTACAAGAAGTTTTTGCCCATGGGCAATGATGTGAGTACACCTGGTAAACTTCAGGGGACCCACAGGTGGAGATATGAGTACACCTGGTAAACTTCAGTTTGCCCACAGGTGGAGATGTGAGTACACCTGGTAAACTTCAGTTTGCCCACAGGTGGAGATGTGAGTACACCTGGTAAACTTCAGTTTGCCCACAGGTGGAGATGTGAGTACACCTGGTAAACTTCAGGGGACCCATAGGTGGAGATGTGAGTACACCTGGTAAACTTCAGTTTGCCCACAGGTAGAGATGTGAGTACACCTGGTAAACTTCAGTTTGCCCACAGGTAGAGATGTGAGTACACCTGGTAAACTTCAGGGGACCCATAGGTGGAGATGTGAGTACACCTAGTAAACTTCAGTTTCCCCACAGGTGGATATGTGAGTACACCTGGTAAACTTCAGTTTGCCCACAGGTAGAGATGTGAGTACACCTGGTAAACTTCAGTTTGCCCACAGGTAGAGATGTGAGCACACCTGGTAAACTTCAGGGGACCCACGTGGAGATGTGAGTACACCTGGTAAACGTCAGGGGACCCACAGGTAGAGATGTGAGTACACCTAGTAAACTTCAGTTTCCCCACAGGTGGATATGTGAGTACACCTAGTAAACTTCAGTTTGCCCACAGATAGAGATGTGAGTACACCTGGTAAACTTCAGGGGACCCACAGGTGGAGATGTGAGTACACCTGGTAAACTTCAGGGGACCCATACGTGGAGATGTGAGTACACCTGGTAAACTTCAGGGGACCCACAGATAGAGATGTGAGTACACCTGGTAAACATCAGGGGACCCACACGTGGAGATGTGAGTACACCTGGTAATCTTCAGTTTGCCCACAGGTAGAGATGTGAGTACACCTGGTAAACTTCAGTTTGCCCACAGGTGGAGATGTTAGTACACCTGGTAAACGTCAGGAGACCCACAGGTAGAGATGTGAGTACACCTAGCAAACTTCAGTTTGCCCACAGGTAGAGATGTGAGTACACCTGGTAAACGTCAGGGGACCCACAGATAGAGATGTGAGTACACCTAGTAAACTTCAGTTTGCCCACAGGTAGAGATGTGAGTATACCTGATAAACACATAATTTGTGGTAACAAAAATAATAAGGTAATGGAGGGATTCACCATGTTAATTTGTTAATTTTCTTTTTAGGACTTAAGAGAGTAGTTATAACTGTTCTTGGTCATAAGGTAGTTAATCATAATGATCAAATTTTAACTTTTTCCTTATCCTGACTCTTGCTAAATGTTTGTCTCCTCCTTCTTGCAAACGATAGTGGAACACTTGAAATCCCTTGAAGTTCCCTTCTAAAAAGCGGGCGTAAAATCATCACTCCCTCGCCTCCCTTGCCGCCCTTTTGGTCACATGACCAGCCATGTTTTGCCACTCTCTCTTTCTTCGCCCTTGAGGACAGTTGTGAGAGCACCTGGGTCCCTATACGGCACATATCCTTTTCTATTTTGGACCTTTACAGCAAAATTATTGCTGTATACGGCTTTTTGGATTTTATTCTACTATATGGTTTGAAATTTGATCTAAATTATATGTTGTTTGACATGTTTTTTCATCGTGTTTACATTTGATGAAAACTTGTATTCGTTGTAGGTACCGGCTGTCTGCGGTTGACCCACATTTATTATGTCCTGATTGCACTACTCCATGTTCTTTCAGCTCTCGTTGTCAACATTGTCTGAATTTAACCGCTTTTGAATTTAATAACTACCTTTTTTTCCATTCATAGACATGCAAAGGACTGGGTAAGAAGGTATTCACAGGTCATGTCTAAATCGAGTGATTGCGCTGATAACCGTGTGTTAACTACTGCTGCCAATGTTCATAATTCAAGTGAATTGCCGAGCATTTTACGGGGGCAGGTCGCTGTTGCAGTGATGAACTCTGAAGCCAATAAGAGATCGTCGTCAACGGAGCTGACCTCTTCGAAGACGAAGAAGACTAGATCGTCTTCAACGCAGAAGAAGAAGGCTACTACCCCTAAGACTTCGTCGAAGTCTCTACACAGCTCTACGCAGAAGACGAGATCCTTCTCTGCCGAGATTGTACCTCCAGAAGAAGCAGACGTGTATGATGATCCCCCATCCTCATACCTGAGTGAGTGAGTTTAGTTTTACGCCGCACTCCGCAATATCCCAGCTATATGGCGGCGGTCTGTAAGTAATCGAGTCTGGACCAGACAATCCAGTGATCAACAGCATGAGCAACGATCTGCGCAATTGGGAACCGATGTCGTGTGTCAACCAAGTCAGCAAAACTGACCACCCGATCCCGTTAGTCGCCTCTTACGACAAGCATAGTCGCCTTTTATGGCAAGCACATGGGTTGCTGAAGACCTATTCTATCCCGGATCTGCACGGGTTCCTCATACCTGAAGTCACAGTCGTCAGCAAGAAGACAAAGCCTGCTTCTACAGGTACATCGGCAACTTTTTCAGCGCAGACATTGACAGAAGACTTTCTATCAACGCAGACATTGGGTACCAGAGATCCCAGCAGCGTCAATTCTTCACAAGTGCAGCGTGCCTTAGAAGACGCCTCATCATTGTCAGAAGCATCATCAACCCTGCAGCAGTCTCTTCAGACATCGCAGAACTTCAACCCGGGGCTGTTTATGCAACAGTTTACAGACCAGATGATGTCGATGATGGAACGTCGCTTCATGCGAAGGAGAAAGCTGCTATGAAGACCACTACGATGACTACAAGACTGCGTGAAGATTCAGCAATCTCTCCAACGCACTTGGAAGAAGAGGGAAGCCTGCGTGAAGGCTCAGACACCCGACGATCTTCCCCATCTGAAGTTAGTAGCTTGGACAAGGCTACCAACGTCAGCTCAGCCTTAGACGTCCCCGAAGGAGCCTCTAAGAATTCTCCACGCAGAAGCAGATCGAAGCGTTCTCCCGAACCCTACAGACATCGTAGATACGGGTCGTCATTACCATCGGACGCACATTGGGAACCTGCACGCAGGCACTCCACATCTTACAGAGGGGAAACTACGCCTAAGAATCAACCTTCACGAAGGCCTAGAGAGAGATCTCAAGACTCCAGGAAGGATACACGATCACATAGGGATCGTTCACCTGCGCGCAGTTCATCATACAGATCCGCATACAGATCTGTTCATCAGATCGGGAGATGTCTAAATCAGAGGAAGAAGGTGAAGTTATATTCTCCGATACGGAAGTAACCTCATGGATTGCTAATGGCCTGGACCTAGCATCACCTTCCAGGACACAGATGAAGTGTTTACATACAAGATGTCCAAGGATGATTTCGACACACTCACCTTTCCACCTATCGACCCGATCTCGCAAGTACCGGACAGTCTCAGATAAGGCTACCAAGTTCCAGAATCAGCATATCCCGACATTCAACGCAGTCTGAGTTGACTAGGATCTTGATGAACTTGAATTCCGCCGTCCAGGTAAAGAGCACTGCGTAGACCTCGACAATGTAGATATGTGACTATGGGCTTGGTCACTTGAGTAAACAATCAGGGGGCCGACGATATTCCAAACTTTAGAACCTTCCACTGGAAGGGATGTCCGTTGAAAAGGAATCTTAGGTATTTCCTTGAGTCTGGAAGTATTGGGATGTCCTCCCAGAGGATCGTTGGGTCAAGATACAACATATGATATCTCAAGCAATGCTCTCTCCATTGATGCTACATGCTTGGCAAAGCGTGCTCGGTCTACTCACCTCAGCTCAAGACATGACTCGCAGAGGGAGATTACAACTGCGCCCACTACAAATATTTGTGAACGCCCATCTGGACAGTCTGGATCCGCTGATACTACCGGAGAGTCTGAAACCATACCTCTTATGGTGGACTCGGAAGTTGAATATTTGCGGACGAACCTTTTTGTCAGAGCCGGTTTGCAACACTCATATCTACGTGGATGCATCGCTACAAGGATGGGGTGCCCACCTTGACAACGAAGTGGCAGCAGGGAAGTTGTCGAGTCAGGATCAGTGTCTGCACATCAACCTGCTGGAGATGAAAGCAGTGATCAACGCTTTACAACACTGGTCCAGCATACTAAAGAACGCAAGGCTCACGGTCCACACGGACAACTCCACAGTAGCGTTCTACATCAACAAACAAGGATCAACAAGATCAACAAGTCTGCTACAACTCAGCTTTCTCCTGTTCAGCATCGTCGACGACCTGAACATCTACATGAAGGCATGCCACATTCCAGGAGCAAAGAATGTCATAGCAGACGCCCTATCTCGTCCACTACAACCATCTCCGACGGAATGGATGTTACACCCAGAAGCGTTCCGGTTCTTCATACAGACAATAGGATCTCCACTGATAGACCTGTTTGCAACAAAGTTCAACAAGCAACTACCAACATTCGTCTCACTGATTCCGGATCCTCAGGCATGGGCTACAGAAGCTTTAAGCATCTCATGGGAAGGACTAAACGCTTATGCGTTTCCACCTCCAGCACTACTACTACAAGTAATACAGAAAATCAAGCAGAGGACAACGCTGCAACTGATTTTGGTCGCACCCTATTGGCCTGTGAGGGTATGGTTTCTCGTCCTCTTACAAGAACTAGGAAGTCCAACCCTGAAACTACCAGATGGTCGAACCTACTCGTCCATCCACACACCAAGCAAGCTCAGGGGAATGTAGCATTGTTCCAGCTACACGCGTGGAGTGTATCAAAGCTTGCCTGAAGACTAGAGGGTACTCTGCCAGAGCAGCGAAAAGCAGACACTAGCTCGCCAGATCTTGTGCTCTGTACGACAAGTGGCAGAGATTTGAACAGTATGCAACAAGGAAAGGCTTTACAGCCGTAAAAGCAACCCATCCTCAAGTGGCAGAATCCCTGTGTCATTTGCGACTGACGAGACACTTAAAAGGTTCAACACTCTCAACGTACCTGCCTGCTCTCAGCACAGTTATCACCATGAAGACGGGTGTTAAGCTGACCAAAATACCAGAGATACTGGCACTACTATGCTCGTTCAAGTTGGAAGACCAACAAAAGAAATTCAAGGCTCCTGCCTGGAATCTCAACGTAGTTCTACAACATCTCACCAGTGATGCCTACGAGCCTCTAGAACGGACATCCTTTGAACTACTGACTCAGAAACACTGTTCCTGATCACCCTAGCGACAGCAGCACAGATGTCAGAATTACATGCTCTGGACTTTGAACGAACACGATTTGAATCAAGACATCGTGACATCGTACATCTAGAACTGAGATGGGACTTTATTGCCAAGAACCAACTGCCCGGCCAGCCTGACAGACAGTTCCACATCCCAGCGTTCTCTACAGTCCTTGGGCCACAGGATACACAGCATCTATCCTTATGCCCTGTCAGAGCACTAAAAGTCTACCTACAAAGGACAAAAACAAGGAGACGAAAATTCAAGCGCCTATTCATCCCCTTATACACTGAGACCCCCACGGAAGTCTCACAGACAACAATATCAATCTGGATGAGAGCCGTTATACTAAGGGCCAATAAAGCAGCAGGACTTGAGCCTCCACGAGCCTCCAATCCCTACGAAGTCAGAGCCCTGACGTCTACACTTGCTGTGCATGGAAACTGCTCAATTACAATAATGGAGGGCTGCTTTTGGAAATCGGACATGGTGTTTGCCAACCACTACCTCAGAGACATTGCCACCGAAGACGTCTCAAGCATTCACCAGTTTGGGCCACTTGTTGTAGCACAACAACTAACGGTTCCACAAAGGCGATGAGAAAAATCTCACCCTTTTATCACATGACTTGTGAAAACCAACGCTCTGCAGAGCAAATGGTTAAAGTCCATGCACACGTCTAGGACAGGCTATCATGAGTGATAGACCCTGTACTTGTATAGGACATACTCGTACATGAAGAAGGGTCGCATCTCCACTTGATGCGCCCATCAAGAGATGGAGTTGCAATAGATAACTAATGGAACATTAGTATATGTAAAATCCACAAGAAATGTCAGGAGAAGTTTCGGAAGAAATCTGACAAGTGGGTGAGTGATGATTTTACGGCCGCTTTTTAGAAGGGAACTTCAAGGGATTTCAAGTGTTCCACTATCATTCGCAAGAAGAAGGAGACAAGCATTTAGCATGAGTCAGGATAAATACTAAAATATCAATTTTAGTCAGAAAATTACATACTTTTCCTGCATTACTCCAAGTGCATTTCCTGTCAAAAAGAACAAAGCTGTCTCCAACAGGACAAGCTGGTTCTCTCTGTCAGTAACAAGCAGTAAATGTATTAAGGAGTATACAGGACAAGTATACAAGCGAAAAAGAATGTTTAGATTTTACTAATTTTCAGACTCTTAGAAGTGTTCACCGGTCTCTGAAGAAAATCAAGAAATATGTGAAAGAGGTGAAGAACTCTAATAGTGAAAAAAAGAGGAAAGCCAGTGTGAAACTAGAAGACGCCAAGACAGCTTTTCAAAGCCTGTGCTCTGATAGGTTTGGGGTGGACATTGTGGAATACTTGGTGTTTGGGAAAACTCTGTTCCTGTTGCTGACATGTGACCATTGCACTGGTGTCGCAGTTGTAAGTGTTTTCTTGTCTTGTCAGTGAGTGAGTGAGTTTAGCTTACACCGCTTTTAGCAATATTCCAGCAATATCATGGCAGGGGATGCAAGAAATAGGCTTCACACGTTGTACCCATGTGGGGAATCGAACCTGGGTCTTCAGCATGATGAGCGAACACTTTAACCACTAGGCTACCCCGACCTGTATTATCGGCACTGGGGTAGCCTAGTGGTTAAAGCGTTGGCTCGTCACGGCGAAGTCACGGGTTCGAATCCCCACATGGGTACAATGTGTGAAGCCCATTTCTGGTGTCCCCCGCCGTGATGTTGCTGGAATATTGCTAAAAGCGGCGTAAAACCAAACTCAGGCAGTCAGTCAGTCCTGTATTATCAGTCCTTAGTAACTGAAACACAGTAGGCCTGGTTTCGATTCCCTTTATGATTAAGTTATGTGATTCCAATTCTGGTGACCACCGCTGTGACCTTGCTGGTATATGTGTAAAAGTGGTGTAAAACCAGGTCACTCATTTCAGTTGTAACTCTTGAGGCTCTCTTGGACCAAAATGATATGTTTCTGTAGGCTTTGTAGTAAGTTTTACTTATTTTCCATAACTTTAACTGTGAGAGGATGTCTGAAACTGTATCCAGAGGTGTCAGCAGCATTAAATCATTATTATATCTTTTGGGAAAAACTCACCCAACAATTCCAATTGATATACTATTATTCTGACATCATATTCTTGACGTTGATTCAAAGCTAGGAATTACTGAGTGGAATTTCTGAACCTGCAGAATGTTCCCATAATTGTCTCCCTGTAGGACAGAAGGTCAGAACGAAGGTCAGAATACGCACATGCTTGTCTCCCTGTAAAACTTACTGTCAGAATGTGCCAATGCTTGTCTCCCTGTAGGATTGAAGGTCAGAATGTGCCCATGCTTGTCTCCCTGTAGGATTGAAGGTCAGAATGTGCCCATGCTTGTCTCCCTGTAGGATTGAAGGTCAGAATGTGCCCATGCTTGTCTCCCTGTAGGATTGAAGGTCAGAATGTGCCCATGCTTGTCTCCCCTGTAGGATTGAAGGTCAGAATGTGCCCATGCTTGTCTCCCCTGTAGGATTGAAGGTCTCCTGTAGGAGAATGTGCCCATGCTTGTCTCCCTGTAGGATTGAAGGTCAGAATGTGCCCATGCTTGTCTCCCTGTAGGATTGAAGGTCAGAATGTGCCCATGCTTGTCTCCCTGTAGGATTGAAGGTCAGAATGTGCCCATGCTTGTCTCCCTGTAGGATTGAAGGTCAGAATGTGCCCATGCTTGTCTCCCTGTAGGATTGAAGGTCAGAATGTGCCCAAGCTTGTCTCCCTGTAGGATTGAAGGTCAGAATGTGCCCAAGCTTGTCTCCCTGTAGGATTGAAGGTCAGAATGTGCCCATGCTTGTCTCCCTGTAGGATTGAAGGTCAGAATGTGCCCATGCTTGTCTCCCTGTAGGATTGAAGGTCAGAATGTGCCCATGCTTGTCTCCCTGTAGGATTGAAGGTCTACATGTGCCCATGCTTGTCTCCCTGTAGGATTGAAGGTCTACATGTGCCCATGCTTGTCTCCCTGTAGGATTGGAGGTCAGAATGTGCCCATGCTTCTCTCCCTGTAGGAGTGAAGGTCAGGATGTGAATATGTTTGTCTCCCTTGAAGGGCTCAAGGTCAGAAAAGTGTGAAATTTGGGACAGATCCCTAGCACCCAATACTTATAGTATGATTCATCTATAGATGTCCTGACTGATTTGTTTGTTTGTTGTTTAATGCCGCACTAAGCACTATTCCAGTTCTGGCAATCTGTAAATACACTGGAGTACGCTGACATGTGTCAACCAAGACAGTGAGTCTGACTACCCAATCCCATTAATCGCCTCTTACAACAACGTGGCCTTAAAGACCAATTTTAACATAGAACTTCACCGGCCTATACCTGATTGAAAGTGTATAAGAACTGAACATATACAGATATGAACCATTGATTCATGGTGTTTGTACAAACGTACAAAAAGTGTAATTATTTTACAGATGTTCGACTGCAGCACCTTGGAAGCCTTCATGCATCCCAAGATTAAAGTATTTGAAAATTTTGTTCGAGAACACCAACAGGGGGAAACTATCAGCAGACAAAGGAATAACTGTATCATCCATGGCCAAGTGATGTGGATTGTACTGGAGTCAACAAGGAATGACAGGTGCCCCTTCAGTTTGTTGACAAGCAAAACTGTTTAATTGCTTACTTTTGCATTTGTAGTAGGTGTTAAGTTTGTTTGTTTGTTTATTGATATCATTTTGCATTTGTAGAAGGTGTTAAGTTTGTTTGTTTGTTTATGGATATCATTTTGCATTTGTAGTAGGTGTTAAGTTTGTTTGTTTGTTTATTGATATCATTTTGCATTTGTAGTAGGTGTTAAGTTTGTTTGTTTATTGATATCATTTTGCATTTGTAGAAGGTGTTAAGTTTTGTTATCTTTGAAACAACTTCCTTTTTGTAAATATTAAAACAAATTTTTCCTTTTTCAATGGGAAACAAAATCTATTTTGAAGAATAACAGATAAAAAAAGAATTGACTGACATTGAATTCACAGGAACTTATGGCTAAGTTGGAATTACAAGGAATGAAACCCTGTTCTTGAATTTACAAGAAATACTGTGCATTTGTGGGACAACAGATCACAGTATAGGGGTGACTGCCAACTACAGTGATGGTATGTGTTTGTTAGATGCAGGTTGCTCCATGTGTACGGACAGGGAGGAAGGCTGTTGATGGAGAAACAGCTCTCCTTGTCGGAGAAGATACAGACACCAATAGTTCATGGCACAATGTTGTATGGCATATCTCCTGACAGGCACAGGTAACATTGACACTTTTCCTTTATGTCCTTTATGTGTCGTCAGTATTATATGTCTGCCATACTGTTGTGTGAGCATCACTGTCAGTTAAAGGGGGTTGTTCATCATGTATGGTTGTATGAGTGTCACTGTCAGTTAAAGGGGTTTGTTCACCATGTACTGTTGTGTGTGTCACTGTCTGTTAAAGGGGGTGTTCACAATGTACTGTTGTGTGTGTGTCACTGTCAGTTAAAGGGGTTTGTTCACCATGTATTGTTGTGTGAGTGTCACTGTCAGTTAAAGGGGTTTGTTCACCATGTATTGTTGTGTGAGTGTCACTGTCAGTTAAAGGGGTTTGTTCACCATGTACTGTTGTGTGAGCGTCACTGTCTGTTAAAGGGGGTTGTTCACCATGTACTGTTGTGTGAGCGTCACTGTCTGTTAAATGGGGTTGTTCACCATGTATTGTTGTGTGTGTGTCACTGTCAGTTAAAGGGGTTTGTTCACCATGTACTGTTGTGTGAGTGTCACTGTCTGTTAAATGGGGTTGTTCACCATGTATTGTTGTGTGTGTGTCACTGTCAGTTAAAGGGGTTTGTTCACCATGTATTGTTGTGTGTGTGTCACTGTCAGTTAAAGGGGTTTGTTCACCATGTATTGTTGTGTGTGTGTCACTGTCAGTTAAAGGGGTTTGTTCACCATGTACTGTTGTGTGAGTGTCACAGTCAGTTAAAGGGGTTTGTTCACCATGTACTGTTGTGTGAGAGTCACTGTCTGTTAAAGGGGTTTGTTCACCATGTACTGTTGTGTGAGTGTCACAGTCAGTTAAATGGGTTTGTTCACCATGTATTGTTGTGTGTGTGTCACTGTCAGTTAAAGGGGTTTGTTCACCATGTACTGTTGTGTGAGTGTCACTGTCAGTTAAAGGGGTTTGTTCACCATGTACTGTTGTGTGAGTGTCACTGTCAGTTAAAGGGGTTTGTTCACCATGTACTGTTGTGTGTGTGTCACTGTCAGTTAAAGGGGTTTGTTCACCATGTACTGTTGTGTGAGTGTCACTGTCAGTTAAAGGGGTTTGTTCACCATATACTGTTGTGCGAGCATCACTGTCTGTTAAAGGGTTGTTCACCATGTACTGTTGTGTGAGCGTCACTGTCTGTTAAATTGGGGTTGTTCACCATGTACTGTTGTGTGAGCGTCACTGTCTGTTAAATGGGGTTGTTCACCATGTACTGTTGTGTGAGCGTCACTGTCTGTTAAATGGGGTTGTTCACCATGTATTGTTGTGTGTGTGTCACTGTCAGTTAAAGGGGTTGTTCACCATGTATTGTTGTGTGTGTGTCACTGTCAGTTAAAGGGGTTTGTTCACCATGTACTGTTGTGTGAGCGTCACTGTATGTTAAAGGGGGTTGTTCACCATGTATTGTTGTGTGTGTGTCACTGTCAGTTAAAGGGGTTGTTCACCATGTATTGTTGTGTGAGTGTCACTGTCTGTTAAAGGGGTTTGTTCACCATGTACTGTTGTGTGAGTGTCACAGTCTGTTAAAAGGGTTTGTTCACCATGTACTGTTGTGTGAGTGTCACTGTCAGTTAAAGGGGTTTGTTCACCATGTATTGTTGTGTAAGTGTGTCACTGTCAGTTAAAGGGGTTGTTCACCATGTATTGTTGTGTGTGTGTCACTGTCAGTTAAAGGGGTTTGTTGACCATGTACTGTTGTGTGAGTGTTACTGTCAGTTAAAGGGGTTTGTTCACCTTGTACTGTTGTGTGTGTGTGTCACTGTCAGTTAAAGGGGTTTGTTCACCATGTACTGTTGTATGAGCATCACTGTCTGTTAAATGGGGTTGTTCACCATGTATTGTTGTGTGAGTGTCACTGTCAGTTAAAGAGGTTGTTCACCATGTACTGTTGTATGAGCATCACTGTCAGTTAAAGGGGTTTGTTCACCATGTACTGTTGTGTGAGTGTCACTGTCAGTTAAAGGGGTTGTTCACCATGTACTGTTGTATGAGCATCACTGTCTGTTAAAGGGGGTTGTTCACCATGTATTGTTGTGTGAGTGTGTGACTGTCTGTTAAAGGGGGTGTTCACCATGTATTGTTGTGTGTGTGTCACTGTCTGTTAAAGGGGTTTGTTCACCATGTATTGTTGTGTGAGTGTCACTGTCAGTTAAAGGGGTTGTTCACCATGTACTGTTGTATGAGCGTCACTGTCTGTTAAAGGGGTTGTTCACCATGTACTGTTGTGTGTGTGTCACTGTCAGTTAAAGGGGTTTGTTCACCATGTACTGTTGTGTGAGTGTCACTGTCAGTTAAAGGGGTTTGTTCACCATGTACTGTTGTGTGTGTGTCACTGTCAGTTAAAGGAGTTTGTTCACCTTGTATTGTTGTGTGTGTGTCACTGTCAGTTAAAGGGGTTTGTTCACCATGTACTGTTGTGTGAGTGTCACTGTCAGTTAATGGGGTTGTTCACCATGTACTGTTGTGTGAGTGTCACAGTCAGTTAAAGGGGTTTGTTCACCATGTACTGTTGTGTGAGCGTCACAGTCAGTTAAAGGGGTTTGTTCACAATGTACTGTTGTGTGTGTGTCACTGTCAGTTAAAGGAGTTTGTTCACCATGTATTGTTGTGTGTGTGTCACTGTCAGTTAAAGGGGTTGTTCACCATGTACTGTTGTATGAGCGTCACTGTCTGTTAAAGGGGGTTGTTCACCATGTACTGTTGTGTGAGTGTCACTGTCAGTTAAAGGGGGTTGTTTACCATGTACTGTTGTATGAGCATCACTGTCTGTTAAAGGGGTTTGTTCACCATGTATTGTTGTGTGAGTGTGTGACTGTCTGTTAAAGGGGGTGTTCATCATGTATTGTTGTGTGTGTGTCACTGTCAGTTAAAGGGGTTTGTTCACCATGTATTGTTGTGTGAGTGTCACTGTCAGTTAAAGGGGTTGTTCACCATGTACTGTTGTATGAGCGTCACTGTCAGTTAAAGGGGGTTGTTCACCATGTACTGTTGTGTGTGTGTCACTGTCAGTTAATGGGGGTTGTTCACCATGTACTGTTGTGTGAGTGTCACTGTCAGTTAATGGGGGTTGTTCACCATGTACTGTTGTGCGAGCGTCACTGTCAGTTGTTCACCATGTATTGTTGTGCGAACGTCATTGTCTGTTAAAGGGGGTGTTCATCATGTATTGTTGTGTGAGTGTCACTGTCAGTTGATGGGGGTTGTTCACCATGTACTGTTGTGTGAGTGTCACTGTCAGTTTAAGGGGGTTGTTCACCATGTACTTTTGTGTGATGATCACTGTCAGTTAAAGGGGCTCTTTATCATGTACTGTTGTGTGGGTGTTACTGTAGCAGATATTCCTTTGTTTAATCAGTTATTTCAACCTTTGTAGAAGTGTGAGACACAATGTTTTATTTCAGCTGTGATATTGTTGTATTTCAGCGTGTTGTGTGATCAGCTGACTGGCGATGATCCAATCACAGGCTGTCTGGTTGATTGGTACATCGTTGACCTGCTGGTGCTGCCATCTGTTTTGCTTGTACATTCACGGGGTGGTCTCCATATCCTGTGTCCCAGCTCCCTGCAGCTGAAACTCATCAAGGTAACTTCCAACAGGTACGTAGTGGCTGTAACGATGTCCACATGTGTGATGACATGTCTTGGTAGTCATTCATGGCAGCTGATGAATCACAGTCTCCCTCTCTCATCATTACTGTTGGTTTGGTCCTTGTACAGAACAACAAATTGTAACAGTGGTCTCTTATGAGAGCCAAAGGTCCATTATTAAGAATCAGGACTATTGAAAGATTTATACCTGTGACATTACCACACATGGTGTGTTACTGCTAGTATGTTCTTGAGGAGACCTTCACCTTGAATAGCTGCCAGACTGCTGATGCAGCATTAAACAATAATTGCTTACTCATAGTTCTGGGGTTCGATCCCCAACCGCGTCATACCAAAAGACGTTAAAATATGGTACTTGTTGGTCCCTGCCTGGCGCTCGGCATTAATGGGTACATCAAGGACTGGTCGGCTTGGAGTCAGTATAATGTGTCTGAGTGGGGTATTCATGCTTCACTGCGGAGTGGTATCTCAGTGGGCTAGCACTATAAAACCAGCTTAAGTCTGGGCTAGTACAAGCAGCCGCACATACACATACACACGCATGCACGTCGTCATATGAGCGAAATATTCTCAAGCACAACGTTAAACCCAATTCTCACCTCACCTCGACTCACCTCATTGTTCTGGGCCCCGTTTCACAAAACTATCATAGCGCTACGACTGTCATACGTCTTACACTGTAACAGAGACTAACAAGTCGTAGTGCTATAATAACTTTGTGAATCAACGCCCAGTACTTATGTGCAGAAATATAGGAAGGATGTTCCATGGTCTTGGCTCAGCAAGAGAAACGTTAAGTGTTATATGAATGATTTTAGTTTGACAGATGATACATGTGTTTCTCCCCAGGTTCTCTCTGGCCGTGAGTTCTGACCAGAAAATGATAGAAGCCCCCAATTTGGGCAGAGTTCAGATCATAGGGGAGACCGCATTGTCAGACACAGGGGATGATGGCAACAGTCGGTTTCTAACTGCTGTTGCAGCTGACAACCACCTCCTCCTGTTCCAAGGTCAGGAAGCTGAGGTCTGTCAGTGTATCGCGGTGCCTGGACATGCTAAAGATTTCTGTTGGGTGCATAATAAAGGTGAGAACCTTGTTTGTATTTAGTAGGGGTAGGGTAGCTCTCTCTCTCTCTCTCTCTCTCTCTCTCTCTCTCTCTCTCACACACACACACACACACATTCACTCACTCAACAGTATGCCTCTACGATGACAACAAACATGGTGGACATAATCAGTGCTGACCGCCAGCTTTTGGAGATGTTCAGTCAATGATAACAATACCCTCAATCTCCTTCACTGCTAAACTCAGTCATGCCTGTGGCCTAAAAACCTGAGGTTGCCTCCCTCATATGGCGTGTTTTGATATGAATTCAAATCGCAGCTACTGAATCAGTTAAATGTTAATCCTTACAGAAATATGTGATGATGTTCTATGAGTAAAGCTTAGTCGACCACTTTTTGAACTAATTGGAGGGGTACAGGTTGCCAGTTCAGAGTTGCCTCCCTTATTTGCTTGTCTGGCTTCAAACACTGTTTAGCTGATTATAATCCTTGTATATCAGCAACATATATGTAATAGTCCTCACTAAGGTAGTAAACATCAGTGTCACTTGAAGATTCCTTCCCACAATATGCTAATGCATTGGTGTTGAAACTGACATGCAGTTCAAACCTTTCTTGTACGTCTATATCAGTGCTTACAGGTTTCTGCCACATGACTACAGTCAAAACATCTTTTCAAACATCTTTCACATCAGATGATCTAGTTGTCATGTGGAGAATTATTTTCTGACATTCATAAACCAAACAGACTGTCACTTAGTCTTTTAATTATATGCTAACGTCATGGACTGGTCACGTATGTTAGACAAGTACAGTTTTCCTCAACCATCTATACCCAGAGTGCTAAACATTTTTAGCCTGTGTTAACGAAAAAATTCCATCCACGCATTCCATCACCCTGATATATTCAGTACATCTATACTGTTGGTGTCATGTTCTTTCAGTTGGGTTCCTTGTGTCTGTGTCGATCCAAGACTCACGCCAGGCCAACTATAGAGAGACTCTGTACCACTACAACAACCACGGAGACCTCCTCGCGGTCCTGCCATTCCTGGGACCAGGGCCTAGGAACATGTTCCCTGCTCTGCTGCCAGGAACCCAGAAAGACGCAGTTCATGACCCGTTGCTACGGAAACGAGGATGGTATGTGTTCCTTCGAGATGGCCATGAAGGAATGATGGGAATCAAACTTTGTGACATTTGAAATTAAATAAATCGAATCAAAGTACACGACATATGATTAATGAGGCGGCGATGGTTTATACTGTGCATGGTCAAGGATTGGAGCTACGATTATCGTAAGCATGTATTGAAGTCTGTGATAAATATTTAGATTTAAGTATGGGATATATTTCATCAATGCAAGTAGGTCATCAGCCCATTACACATATGGTACAGTATAATGGTTATCACAAGCTGTGTTGAAGAACAGAAGTTTAACCATCATTTTTGGTTGATTCAGCCGGTTGGTTTGTAAACATTACTGTCCGGAAACGAAGACCAGTCACTTTTATAACGTAAGAGATTGTTTTTTTATGAAAACTGACTGGAAGGCGAGGTTCCTGGATATGTGGGGTCAGAGTATCGAGAGTCTCACTGTACAGGACTTACAACTCTTGTGAGTGTCGTCATATGCATACACCAAACAGCTGCTTCATTGATGTCAGTCATGGCCCAGTGATGTCCATCCCAGGTGAAAAAGGGTGTGTGGAGAAAAAGTGAGTGAGTGAGTTTAGTTTTACGCCGGACTCAGCAATATTCCAGGTATATGGCGGCGTTCTATAAATGTACGAGTCTGGACCAGACAATCCAGTGATCAACAGCATGAGCATCGATCTGCGTAATTGGGAACCGATGACATGAGTCAACCAAGTCAGTGAGCCTGTCCACCCGATGCTGTTAGTCGACAAGCATGGGTTACTGAAGATCAATATTCTAACCCGGACCTTCACGGGTAGTGTGGAGAATAAGAAGTAATAATAAACCAAGTGGCCTTACAAAGTCTTCTGTAGACTATACTGTAGTCTTGCTAGAGGAAGTGTAGTGGTGTGTCATTTACAGCAACAGTCAATTGCTTCCATAGCATATCTCATAATGGTGTTTCCACAGATCTGTTTTAGTTGGTTGGTTTGTTGTTTAATGCAGCACTTGGCAATATTCCAGCTACATGGCGGCAGTCTGTAAATAATTGAGTATGGACCAGACAATCCAGTGATCAACATCATGAGCAAGCCTGATCACCCGATCCTGTTAGTCACTTCTTACGACAAGCATGGGTTGCTGAAGACCAATTCTAACTCAGATCTTCACTGGTCCAAATCTGTTTTACATTCCTCTCAGTAATATCATTTCTGGTGTCCCCGCCATGATGTTGCTGGAATATTGCTAAAAGCGGTGTAAAACCAAACTCAGTCAGTCAGTCAGTCAGTCTCAGTAATATTTTATTGATGAAACTTCTGTCATTTAATTATGCATTCAACTGAATTGTTCCAGTGTCTATTACAAACTCTATTTCATGTTTTTGATGCTCCACGGTTTCTTGATCTCATGTGATAATGCTTATAAGTATGTACAATATATGTGGCACAAGACACGTGTCGAAGCTGTAGTGAAATCAAAGGGATTTTTATCAAATGCTTCACTGTGTACAAATGTTTGGATATCATCTTCAACTAGCGAATACCTGTGCACCACCTACATGGTGTAGTTGATAGAGTGTCTGCCCTGAGAGCAGAAAGTTGGGGTTTGATCCCAGGCCATGTCGAACAAAAGATGGAACTTGTTACAACCTGTGTAGCTCTCATTGGATGAAACAAGGGCTGCATGATGACCTAACCTGAGGCATGCTATCTCAGAATCTCAAGTTGCTGGCAACAATTACTCTGGCATCAGTCTGGACTGATACAAGCAGCCATGCACACACTGCTGTATACGTGCCAAAATCTTGAATGCAATATTTAACCCATTTCCACGTCACTATTTACTTGTATGTATGTAGGCCTTTGTTAGACCTAATCTGTTTTTCTTAATGAAAAGCTAAAATAAAAAAATATAAAGTTAGGTTATTTCTTATCATGTTCTTATCTGCAGAAATTTATCTTTCTATGTACCTTTTTCTGATCCCTCCACTCATCGCTACCATGCTGTGGGTCATGTGACCTGAGTGAAGCAGTGTGGGTACAGGGACAGCAGTAAAGGTTCCTGTAACAATACAACAGCCTCTTACACCAGATGCCTTGTTTTCAAGATGCACATGTGCTTCCAGCATTAAGTGAGTGAGTGATTGACTTTAGGTTTACGCTGTTATAATATTCCAGCAATATCACGGTGGGGGACACCAGAAATGGGCTTCACACATTGTGCCCATGTGGGGAATCGAACCCGTGTCTTCGGCATGATGTGCGAACACTTTAACCACTAGGATATATGCTTGATATATATCCAATTATTGAATGAATGTTAGGAGGGAGGTACTTTTTTAATAGTTTAATCGTTTATACAAGCAGTTCAAGTGAGTGAGTGAGTTTAGTTTTATGACGCTTTTATGTATTCCAGCAGTATCATGGTGGGGGACACCAGAAATGGGTTTCACACATTGTACCCATGTGGGGAATCAAACCCAGGTCCTGCGTGATGAGCCAACGCTTAACCACAAGGCTACCCCACCACCCCAAACAGTTCAAGGAAATGTGTTCTAACATGTGACATCACCCACTAGTCTACAACAGTGGGAAAATAGTCAATTTCACCAGCCATAAGAAAACTACAGGGATTCTTGATTAGATTTGGTCCACAGGAACCCGTGGCAGGTGTACGAGACAGCTTAATGGAACAGGTGGTCTAGGCTGGATGACTTTGTTGAACTGTGTCATCGTGCCCTGACTGATAGTCAAATGAGCTTATGTTGTGTTGTGTTGTCTGTCGTCTGCCCACCTGTTGTGAATGTTGACACCTCTAAAACTCACAGAGGCAATAAAACTTGAACTATTCCAGCTATGGAGTCCCTAAAAAGTGTCCACAGAATCCCAACCTGACTTTAAACATGGCAGATATTTTGAATGTCAGTTTACCTCATTAGATCTGCTTGTAGAAATTGAAACAATATAAACTTCATGGACAAGATGTTACATGGAAATTACCAAGTTATATTTTGAATGCCACTATTCTTGAAATAAAATAAAATTATATTATGTCGTTGAATACACCAGCTGAACATGCCATGAAATATCCTTTAGCTAACACAAATGTCTCCTGTGACAGGAGTGTTATGACATACCTACATCCAAATGTAGCATTGTCTAAACTGTCACACTTAATGTTAACCCCTCACATTTCATTGAAGCAAAATAGGGATAATAAAACAGTGGGCCTCGTTGTTCGTTTCTTCAGGGTTTGTATGTTTTTCAGGCAAAGCTTTCACGCTTGCTTTCTTGGATATTTTTCCATAATACAAAGGTCTTTCTGAACAAGACACAGGTTGGTCATATGTGTATTGTACATCCAGGTGCAAAGGGTTAACACATGTTATTGCAAGTCCGTACACTTTTATTGCCAAACGAGACAAGTATGTTACCGGTAAGTTACAGCAGAATAATATGTATCTTGAAGTTAATGAGAATATTTAATAACAGGTATGTGAGCTGTGGTTTTACCTAATGCAATACCTAACACAAATCTGATTGGAAGTTGGTTTTCAGCAACCTTTTTTTGTCATAGGAGGCAATGAACATGATGAAGTTGTCAGACTTGATAGATTGATGCTCATGTCGATCATTGGATCTTGTTGAGTTGGATAATTCAAAGACTGCAATCGTGTAATAACGGTATTGATGACTATCGGGTTAAACAACAAATAATTAATGGAGTAAGGTCAAATCAAAACCACAGTCCACTTACAATTTCAAGTCTCTTCCATAGTTTATGATACCTGCAAAATTCAAGGCCTTTTTCAAGTCTCCTGATCGAACAGCAAGTCTTGTTAATATTTTTGTTGAGATGCAGATATCACAAAGCACTTGTAATGCTAAGATGATCGTTAGGCCCATGTTTTAACAGTGAATTATTATCAAGTTATCACCCCACTCACTATGTGAAATATATTTCCTCATACTAACAGAAAAAGACACATCCACAGTTGTCACATGAGTTTATTTAAGTACTGTAAAAGCCATGTACAAGTAAAAAATTCAAACACAACAAAGTTTAGATGACTGAACACAGATTTGTGATAAAGCTGTCAATACGACAAGGCACTAATGTTACGTGCTTCATGGCCAGCCATTATCTTTGTCTAAACAGCTCCACAATAAACACCTAACAAACACAATTTGATTCAGTGAGATCGGATTAAAAGGTTGGTTTTTAAAAAATACATTTCAGCATCTCAGCTTAGTAGTAGGAAACTAAAAGTAACAGTTGCAGGCACTGGTGAAATCAATTATCACGAAATAAACAAATCTGGAATTATAGCCTACAAGTAGCAGATCCTGGACACTAAGGGGCACATTCTGGAAGGAAACTGCAGTGTATCTTATGAAACTATTGAAAACCTGATGCTTTTCTCACATCTCAACCATAGTTCTCATTATATGTAGACAGCTAACAAGACAAACTGTCAGAGAAAAGTCTGACTGAGTTTGGTTTTACGCCGCTTTTAGCAATATTCCAGCAACATCACGACGGGGCACACAAGAAACGGGCTTCACACATTGTACCCATGTGGGGATTCGAACCCAGGTCTTCGGCGTTGTCAGTGGAAAGTGAATATTGATGACTGAAAACTCAAGACATCAACTTATTCATGCTACAGAAATTGACTAGTTTCAGCTCAACTACCGGTACTTGCCTACAGTATAAAACAAGTGTCTAAAGACACACACTACCTGCATTGTTATAATACAGAACTGTCCACAGACACACACACTACCTGCATTGTTATAATACAGAACTGCCCACCACACACACGCACTACCTATCTTTGGAACAAAATAAAGGCCAAAAATGCGAAAAACATGCCAAGGCCAGACCAATTTTATTTCTTGTTTTACGGATCCGCCGGTCGTGTTTTTTCAAGAATAAGAAAATAATAATAATTAATTTTCCCCGCTCAAAAAATAGAATCCTAATGTTTTTATTGGCCAAAAATGTAAACTTACAAGAGAATTTGATTGTTTTTTACCCATATACACTTCATAAATTTCCAAAAGAAAATACTTTTAATGTGTATTTACATTTTGCCCCTCATGCCTTTTGGTTTCTGAGGACAAAAATTCGTACAACAAGAAATAAAAATAGGTCTGGCCTAATGTAGATATTCTTATACACTTCTCAACATTTACTATGAACAATGCCTTTGACTAAACTATGACTAGTTTAATTAAGGATTGACTGTTTGTTTTTGGTTCATTGAGTTATGAATAAAAAAAACAATGTGCAGACTTTTGTAAGAATCCATGACAAAAAAATACAGTCAATCCTCATATATGTCTAATTAAACTGGATGATGAAACAAATATGATATCTACGATTTTATCAAAAACAATTATACAAATTAAAGCAGACAGATTGAGATTGATGAACATTCCTGGCAAAGGAATACATACTGTATTTTAAAAAAAGAACACATGTCATTTGTGTTACCTTGATGAGTGAAAAAAAAAAAGAAGCCTGCAGATATGTAGTTTCATTCAGAAAGTGAAATCCCTCAACTCTCTGACAATCTGTTGTGAAATCCACATTCATTGGCATGGCCTAATGTTTTACATTCTTTGGGAAATGAATGCAATAATATGTGACCAGTTCAGCCAATCAGAATGCAGGAATTAAAATGAAAGCACAAAAGGTTCCTAGTGAATGTTGAGTGTTATAATGTAAACAATCTGAATACAGTTAAGTTGCAACTAGTTTTTCTACAATTCAGTAATATTCCTGATCTGGCAAAGCAATTTTGTTCGTTATAAAGAATCATTGAAAGCTACCATGCAAGTCTAGATTATGTGGCAAGTCTAGATTTCCACAGTTTCAGGAAAATGAAGAAAGTCTCAGGGTTCCTTTTCAGTATATATATATATATATTTTTTATATTGTGAACTGTTTTTTTCCTGCAAAATATGTTCATTTCAGAGACTAGTTGTTAGTCTATTAGAAAATATATGGGCAGGGCAAAATGATGCCAAGGATCATGTTCCAAGATTATTACACGTATATAGTGATGTGTAAGCTTGGTGTGTCAAGCCGGTTGTACTGACGCCAGTGTGATGGTGCAGGCATACCAACATACAATGCTGCATTATAAGATGGACAACTCTGATCTGAGCTGACCAGTCCTTGTTGTAATCCCTTCATGCCTAGCCCCAGACAGGGAAACAACATATTTGACCATCCTTTGATACAACCTGGTCTGGGCACCAACATTCCACTCTCCGCCATGACTAGACCCCAGGCTGTCAGGTACAGCAACGTGCAGTAAACATGGACAAAGAACTGTGACTATGTGTCCCAGTCCACCCAGATGTAAATGGGTACCTCGTAAGGATGGGAAAGCCACAATAACTCGGTGTGCCTAGTGGCTGCAAGAGTTGTATGTTCCCCAAGGAGTTGTGATTGACAATACGATGGGCCATTGAGATTGACATCCAGTGAACGAGGGAAAAACAAAGCGCCTTTGAGCAGCTGAGCTGAGCTGCATATCGGTGCTATACAAATGTTATGTATGTATGTATGTGTATGTATGTATGTATGTATGTATGTATGTATGTATGTATGTATGTATGTATGTATGTATGTATGTATGTATGTATAACACAGGGATTACAAACAACACCCATTTGTATTGAAAGTGCATGCGACACCAATTTGAACCATATTCATTGTAAAAACATGATCAATACTCAAGTAACATGATACATCAGGGTTGGATTGGATTTTCGCCATCTAATATCACACATAGCACCAAAAGCTATAATAAGCACATGAACAAAGACATGCATAAAACATACTGACACAGATGTGTTCTGCCCTGATGAAGGCAAGAAACTGTCTACCTCACAACTTCTGTACTAATAAGTATTTGCACTAGGGATGTCATGATACATAAGTTTCATGAATCAATATGTATCACGATACCCATGTCATGATTCCATACGTATCACAATACCTATTTTCGTGGCATTACTGCGTAAATTTAGTTACATTTTGATAATTAATATATCATATTTTATAATTGTCCATGAAAAGATCACCATTTTTTATTCTCAGAGATTCTAAGTTCTAATTTCCCATCTTTGTGCATGAAAAATAATCATATATAACTCTCATAACATCAAAAAACATGATACAATTGCAAGATGGAAACGATACATAAACATATTTAAACCGATACTTTCAAAACTAAATATTGATACAGTTTTGAATGTATCGATAATTGTATCATCTTAGAAAAGGTATTGATGCATCAACGTATTGTGGCATCCCTAATTTGCGCGGACCACATTTGAACAGCAGAAATATGTGTAAACAAATGTTAATGAAGTATACTAAGAAAGGTGAAAGATGTCTGCTGGCATGAATGTGCTGTGTTCACTGTGTTCCCCCAATTATGGACTGATTGTCCTTTCACAACATGTTCAAATAAATCTACTTCACCAAAGCAAAATGATTCAGGCGGGAATTGTAGACTAAACGTGAAATCACCAGAATACAGTAACAAGATGGGAATAAACTATACGCCTCTTACATCTGTGTCTATTTGCATTCTTGCCTACAAAAATTAGTAAGACACAAAAACCAAAACAATCCAACCAAAATATGACTTATACAACAGAACTACAGACTGAGTATTTTTGGTTGTAACCATGGATAACAGTATCATAAGGTGAAGCTGATACTGTGCTTATAGACTAAAGGTTTGGTTACCGTGGCCAGTGTGAACCAAATCAATGAAAGGCTCTTTCTAACATACAACCATGGTGTTTTATGTAGGCACAAAGAGACTATCACAACCCATAAAAACAACATACTGGGGGAGTAACATCTACCATTTTCATCAGCCATCTTCAAGTTGTGTGATTAATGTAACCTTAGACTGAAACAAGACTGGCAAGGGGCCTTTGTACAAAAGGATTGTGTCATTTTCTAATGGCCATCTGACATAAAACAGATGAACCTGGTTCAGATTCTTCATCTCAATCTTATCCAATGTGTGGCATGCATGGATCCAGAGGGGGGGGGGTGGGTGCGGGGTGCACCCCAAGAGTGTTCCAAATGTACTACATGTTTTATGCCCAGGGTTCCGAGGATTGGGGTGCACCCCCCCCAAACGGAAATCCTGTATCCGCCCCTGTGTGGAAGCATGCTCTCCTTTCACATTGGAGTGAGTGAGTTTAGTTTTACGCCGCTTTTAGCAATATTCCAGCAATATCACGCGGGGGACACCATAAATGGGCTTCACACATTGCACCCATGTGGGGAATCGAACCTGGGTCTTCGGCGTGATGAGCGAACGCTTTAACCACAAGGCTACCCCACCGCCCTTTCACATTGGAACTAGGTAAAGATGATAGTAGGACTTGATGAATCTTGTAAATGAATTGGGTGCAGTTTCTCCATCTCAATCTTATCCAATGTGTGGAGGCACTCTCCTTTCTGGAATTAAATAGAGATGACAGTAGGACTTGATGAAATCTTGTAAACAGATTGGGTTCGGGCTCTCCATCTTAATCTCATCCAATATGTGGAGGTTGAGCCACTGTCCCATCTCCTTTCATGATGATACGCACATTCGGTCTGGTCGGACATCTTGGTTCACCCGGGAGTTTTCAGGTAGTACTTGAATCTGCAACGGAAGGATTTCTTGAAGAACACCTATGCGTAAATGCTTCTAGTTATCTGAGGTTCAACACAAACACAAACTGATGACTTAATATAAAAAAGAAGCAAGGACCAAATTCAAGACAACTGACTGACTGACTGAGTTTGGTTTTACGCCGCTTTTAGCAATATTCCAGCAACCACGGCAGGGGACACCAGAAATGGGCTTCACACATTGTGCCCATGTGGGGATTCGAACCCGGGTCTTCGGCGTGACGAGCCAACGCTTTAACCATTAGGCTACCCCACCGCCCCTTCAAGACAACTGAAATTTAGACATCAAAGTTCAGCACAGTACTGGTTGCCGAACAGTTTTCGCCAATACATCAGTATCACACGCACGCAGTTCCGGTCAATTACAATTCCGGTATTTTTTTCCACGGTATTTGACAACAATAAAGGACAGCAAAAGAAACTTCTTGACAGTAAGTAACATAAGAGAAAAATTAAAGATAAAGTTACCTATAAATTTGTTTTTTAACTTAGTCAAGGCAGCATTTTTCTTTTTTATGTTTCTCATCGCCCGAACAACCCTTCTAATTTTATTGCCGACCTCCCCCCAAAAACCTCCCACTCGAATCTAAAATGTACCGCCTCGTCATATAAAATGTTTAGCTTTTAATCAGACGCTGCCACAAGTCCAACGAGCATGAGAAATTGTAATAAGAATTACAATAAATGAGAATCAAGAATATTATTCATATAATTTTGTCTTTATTAAGTGTCCAATTATTCGAGGTTACTCTATGATATAAATAGATATTATTTCACAAATGACATGAGAAATTCTGAAATGACGATAAGTGTTACAATTAGTTGTGAGAAAACACCTATTTGTACTGCCATGATTCCCTTCCGGCGCATTATATAAAACATGATTGGGGGCAGTGTAGGGGCTGGACACATTGGTGAACAGCTAATTAAGTATCATAATTAATTCTGTTTCATTAATTTAACAGACGGCAGGGTAATTTTGTAAATACCGCTAAAATATGGCGATAACTGTTCGGCAGCCACTATTTGACTGTATTTTGTCTTCAACATAGTATTGAAAGGTTATTCATCAATGGCAAATTGGAATATTTACTAAAGACCCTCAGATATTCTGCCAAAGACAACACTCGGCATCATATAACCTGTCCTTTACATGATGCAAATATCATTTCATAATTCATATCATACCAGAATCTTATCTAAGATTCTAAACTAATCCCCTGGAAGGCAATTTGGCAATTACTAGGGGTGGGTATTGCCGAGAATTTTCATATTGCGATGCGAAAGCATATATTGCGATATGTATTGCAATATATTGCAAGAATTCTTTTTAACAAAAAACTACTTATAATAGAGTTGATGCTTGATTTATAAAGCAAAAACACAACAAAATCACTATGCTTGATTAAGCTTTAATAAAAACTTTTAATCATGACAAAATATAAATGTAAATAATGTTTGGCACAAATGAAACAAAGAAAGGAACAATTTAAAAAACGGAAATATCCGAAGATTTCCGAGTGTTCAGAAGTTTTCCAAATGCATGTCAAAATACCAGTTTTCGATCAGCGTATCGCAATACGTATCATTTTCATGCCTGAACGGGTAAACCGGTTATATTGCCCAGCCTAAGCAATTACTTTCTAAAATTCAGAGATATCAAATTGTATTTTAACATTACATTCAATGCAATTAAATAGAACTAAGCAACAAAGTCCAAATTCCACAGTTGAACATGATACCACTCTCAGTAAAACTGATTTGTTTCATCCCCTCAATGCTGAACAATAAGCAAGGAAACAACAAGTATCCTCTTTTATTATCCATATGGTGAAACATCACCAGTGTCATAAATATCATAAGTGCACATATTACTGTTGCCTAGCAACCATTGTTTCTGTGTTTCATCGTCTGTGACGTCATTAAACAATTGAACGTGACGTCAATGAACTGGGCAGTCACACTTGCTTACCATGTTTTACTGAACAAATGTACATGAATAAAATGGATAATAAAGAAAATATTACACTTGCAAGTGTGCCACACGCTCGGGCAATACAAAATTTCGCACTCGTTTCGTATAAGTCGTATGACACACTTGCTCATGTAATAATCTCTATTTAATATTTTTTAGAATGAGGAGGCCTGGAATTGAACCTCCATTGTTTTGCTCTCCAGGCAGACACTCTATCCACTATGCTACAGAGGCAGTACTTTCAACATGACCCACACAGGAGAATAATACATACAGATAAATTAGGGTAATCCCTCCGTATAGCATCTTCAGCTTCCTTCCATGGCTGGAAAATAATGTTTACACTTAGTTTGTACACTTTTACAATTATCAATAAATACTGAACAAAAGAACTTATGCATCATGAAATATTGGCATATATAGTACATTGTATTGTACAGTTCTAAACAAACTCAAACTGAAAAAGTATCCCTAAAATATGCATGATCCCAATGTTTTAATTCAGCAAACAATACAATCATAAGATTTTACAAACTTGTCAAATTCATTGCAAAATACTGTATTGCCTAGTTCCATTTGTAAAAGACCCGTGAAGATCCGGTGAAGAAAAGGTCTTCAGCAACTCATGCTTGCCACAAAAGGCGACTATGCTTGTCGTAAGAGGCGACCAACGGGATCGGGTGGTCAGGCTCACTGAATTGGTTGACACATGTCATCAGTTCCCAAATTTGCGCAGATCGATGCTCATGCTGTTGATCATTGGATTGTCTGGTCCAGACTCAATTATTTACAGACTGCCGCCATATAGCTGGAATATTGCTGAGTGCGGCGTAAAACTAAACTCACTCACTTCCCATTTGTAAAAAGATGTAATTTTTATCTGCAATATCATTTAAAGTTCTTATTTTACTAACCTTGAGAGATAAAGGGTAAATTCATTTATTTCACACAAAAATATCAAGTGTTTCCTACAAAAATACCGTTGATCACATCGTATCGGTGAAACTAATTGCCGCTCACCACATGCGGGGATTTTGTATGGGTTTTCGACGATGAGCCATACTTTTTGCTCTGCACTGCGAGGGAGTGTTGTGATCATGTGGCTTCCTATTTATATATTGCCTGTCACCAGCAGACGACTGGATCTTACTGAATTTTCGCTTGCTTTTTTTTTGTTACAAAAGCAATTGATTTTGCATCTGAAGTGGTACTAACGATTTCGGGTAAATATTATTGATGTTTGTTTGCTTTATATACAAGCGAGTCTGGTACTTCCGCGAGTCCGGTAATTCAGCGCGTCTGGTAATTCTGTGCAGCTGCAATAGCGTACTTCCGTATCGAAGGTAAACATCGTCTGCTACCACATGTACGCTTGAAATTGGGACATTTCTACAAGGGACTGGCTTTTAATCACGAAAGGTAAGTAAATAACATTAATTGACAGATAAATTGAGAGTTTCATGAAAATTCGTCTTCTTCAGACTTTTAAACCTTTTTCTTCATTATTCATAATTGGATTTAATATGAAACACTCTTCCTTACTCTGATGAAGTGATTTTTAAAAATAATCTGGCCCTAATACGCTTCCATACTTCGGATCTCCAGCTGGATGTTATGCGCATCAGTTGCTGCGCAGAATTACCAGACAGAAAGCTATGTCGTCAGAACGCCGGTAAGGTCAACTCTATGGCATAATGCAAGTTTAGAATATTATAGTCGTCAATAAAATTTATATTTCTAGGTAGGAAGGCGTTTCCTATTCTCGCGGTACTTACGGATATCGGCTGAAAAAATAACACAAACAATTCTTATCGTATTCGTGCTTGTTGTTTTTAAATGAAGGGCCTTCTCCTCTAACATCTACATCTATCAGCTGCCAGATCCATCAGGTGAATTACCACTCGTGAGCCCGGTGATAAACAATGCCATCATCCACTGACGAAACGAGGCTTCTCCCATTCTCGCGGCATTACCAGGAATTGAAGTTATTGAGTGTATGTAAGAGCAATCCTGCCGGAAAGGGCGGGAAAAAGTAATATGTCCAAGTTGGTATAAACTCCCCAATATTCGTGACACTGCAAGATTATGATCACTCACAGACTTGGGCCACTTCCTAGTTACCAGTCGGTGATGTAAACAACCGCTAAGTGTCGCGTATCGGCGGTTTCGGCAGAAAACGTGTTTACCGCGAGAATAGGAAACACGCGAGAATAGGAGACGGACCTATAAATATGATGCATACCAGCATGGTTAGTCATGTAAACCACAAACAATAAGAGAGGTTAGTTGCCGTGTTGCGATTGATGTGCTGTGGTGCGCAGAATTACCGGACGACATTTTATAACTTAACTTCCGGATTTCAATTGTCAATAAAACTTCTCACGATAGTGACCTGGCATCCACCCTGCCGATGCAACTGCTTGTGCACTCCGATCACGCACATACTCCCCCGATACAGCGCGAGCAATGCAATCGTCGAAATCTCCAGAATGTCAATTCAGCTTATTAATACATTATGAAATATTTTTACTCTCTCTCTCTCATAAAAAGTCATATGTTATTGTTACACCATGTACACATTCTATGAGTTTCATTATACTTGTAAGGGCCTTTGTCTACACGGAAAGCCCATCGACAACATGGATACTGGCACAACCTCACATATTAAAACCATAGTCCTTTCTCAGAGGCATGAGTCCCATTACGAGCGCCGAATAAGGGGCTAGTCTAACCGACTGTCCGCCATGACTGAATGTGTAGAGCACGAGTCTAATCATAGGTACCTTCCCAACAAGTTCAGGCCACGACTGTCGAGACATGTTAAGCATTTAGCTGGCTACAGCGTCTGTTCCTAGGTTTCTGTTATCGCATCATACGAATCTTCTTTGTACCTCCCGCTTAGTTTGACATCTCGTTATCAGTTGCCTGACAGGGACTCTGGGAGTTTGTGTTTCACGGGGTTTTCAGTATAAAACTAAGTTAAAAAATGTCAAGTATCTGCAGAAAATGATAGAGTAGGAAGTTGAATTATTTCAATTTGACATAGACTGAAATTTCCTTTGAGTATGATTGTTTTCAAAACACAAATGCAGTATTTGTTCGTGCTGTCAAAATAAATAAAAAATAGTTGTTCCCGTGCGGCGGTGATGACAGTAGAACTATTCATCTGTTGTTTTCGTGAGGGGTGTATTAACGAAATTAGTGACTGTTTATGAATGTATTTGTATACAAATTTGATTAACATATGTAGAATATCCATAGTGTAAGCTTATTTTATTTTGATATCTGAAATATATTTGTTTTGGTCACAACATGAACATGACATATTTCACGAGGTGCATATTTAGAGTAACACCGATGAATATAGGTGGCGTATCAAGCTCCACTCAGGGCGTACAACCTTCGTTTACACTGATAAATGGGAAACGAAATATCACTGTGTGGAGTTTGGTTGGCCTATAAATAAAGGGACATTACTCAATCCACTCATCACCATGACATGTCACCGGTTTGACTGAGGCAATATTGTTGAAAAGACTGATTTGACTTGGTGTTCCACGTTGAGTGTTTGTGAACGACTTTGCTGGACTGTTTATTTCTTTGATCGTTTAACTCAAAATTTGGTCTCAGTGCCAGGAAAATGTCCACGAAGTCATCAAGAATTGGTCGCCTTGTTTGTACTTTCCTTTTTGTATTTCAACTGTGTTTGTTAGTGGATTGTTATTCTCATTCTGTAAACGTCGTGGAAAATGTTGACCATTTACCTGGAAGAAGATTACTAGATGATCCTAAAGGGTCGGAAACAAAAGACAAGAACAAAGATAAAGAAAAGAAAAAGGTAAGAAGGGCCACTTTTTATTACTGAAGCTTGTTCTATCAACATGTATTTGAATGAATAGCATCTGCAGAGGGTAAACGGCTTTCAGAAAGAAGGGGTGGACATAATGCTCAAGTCGCAAAGTGACTTGGCTGAGTACATGGTTTACATGTATCATTTGTATGGTGTCCTAAAAAAGTGTGTGTGCTGCATCAAATCAAGATGATTTTGATCCACCAGTGATCACAAACAATAAGAGCCACCTGCATCTGACACTTCATTATAAGTATCATGCAGGATTTGAAATTAAAATGAGTCTGTGTACCATAGACAAGTACATTTGAAGAAGAACAAGTGACATTTTCTCGTGGACTAGCATGTAACTGAAGGAAAACTGATTTGTATGGATAGTCAACTTCTTTATTGCAATGAGTGCAACGTTTCGGTGTAGGTACCCTCTGCAGATGCCATACAAATCAGTTTTCCTTCATCTTCACAACTTCTAAAATGCCTCTCAAAGAAATTAGCATGTAACTGATCGTTTTTTAGGACTGGTGAAAATAACAATACATTTCTGACCTTGTCATGTCTATCCTTGCTTGTCTTTATTATCTTGTGTATCTTTTGGACAGCCACATGGTCCAGTGGATAGTGTATTTGTTTGGTGAGCATATCTTTGATGGTTTGATGTAATCATACCAAAAGATGTTCAAAGATGGTACTTGTTGTTACCCTCTTATGAGGCTTGTAGCTACTCTTACTATAATGTTCTTAAGTAACAGGGGCTGTGGGGTAGCCTAGTGGTTAAAGCGTCCGCTCATCACACCGAAGACCCGGGTTCGATTCCCAACATGGGTACAATGTGTGAAGGCCATTTGTGGTGTCCCCCGCCGTGATGTTGCTAAAACGATGTAAAACTAAACTCACCCACTCATTATGTAACATGTAAAGGGTGTTCTCTCTGATTGCTGAAAGAATACATGAACACATGATGGACTGAAAATGATGACAAACAATATGTTCAGGCAAGTAGAATCGGCAAAAAGATTTTCACACACAATATTAATCATTCACAAAAGCTAGTCAGTTTTTCTCATCCGTCTCGTATCATGAGCATATGGCATACAATTATACAGTTATCATGGTTGTTATTGAACCAGCAGAAAGCATTGTTAAAGTGAGTGAAAATAATACAGAGAGATTTACACGAAGACAAATGCATTGTCAACATTTCAAGATTGTCATGATTACAAGGACATTTGATCATGGAGAATTTACTCTTCAAGGGGAGCCGATTTCATACTGTGTGTATGAAGTGTATGTGTTCTGGCTTTATCAGATTATGACCACAGTTAGTCGCTTTAAACTATGCTTAAAGTTAGTCTCTGTTATTATGAAGGGAGAAAAGTTGTGACAGCCATCATGGCCGTAAAGCTTAAAACATCAGCATGCTATGTTCCTATGTATGGCATTACTGAATACCAGATGTTGCAGTTCATTTCAACATAGTCAATATAATGCTTATTATTTGCAAATGTTTTGCTAATTGGTTAACCTGAAGTCATATTTTCGACTTGTATACCATGACATATATACATTTCCACTCACTGTTATGTTTCAATAAAAATTAAGGTTCAGCATGTTCTGTGAACTTCAGTCTGGGCATTACAAGAGCATTTTATTTGTGAGTTTAATACGTTTTTACCAGGGCTATGGTAAAACAATTTCCAATCTTTTGTTGTGATGCAAGGCAACAAGTGCCAGCATTTCCATCGGTCACACATGACATCCCAGAATATCTCCCACAGAAAACCTGTAGAATTTTAATATGTATGGCCTTTGTTGATGTATTTACCTTCTGAAATCACAAGAGACTCAGATATCTAAAACAGTATTCTTTCAAGACCTCCTGAAATACAGCCTCTTCAAACAATATTTGGAAAAAGTGCATGTGAACAAACTCAAACAGCTTTCAAAATTCAGACTAGTCTGCTTGCCTGAGAGTATTGAATTTCATCGATAACAGATATTTATCTAATGATGGTAGTCCTCGTTGACTAGTAGCCTTTGAGGACAGTAGTTCTCAATGCTTTAATTGTGCTACAAGCTGGAACTGCATTAACCTGACAAGACATGTAAATGTGTACATTTTCGCCTGGTTCAATCAGGACCTGCTACAAACTGTTCAGGACTAGTGAAGTAAAGTTTGTATTTGTCCAAAGACAAGAAGTCATCAACCAGAAGAATTTTGAAGACTGCATATATCATGATATAGAGAAATCCAAACCCCTCATTAGCTGTTTGATCATTTAGTATTGTAGTTTACATTCAACACAGTTGCTTGACATCTCATGCTATAAGGTACAGGTTTGAGTTATGAAACTATTATGCTTTTCTATAACTCTGAAAGATTTTTATTTATCATTTACTGGAATTATGACTAAATGATTCATGATGATGCAATAACTCAATAACCAAAATAAAAAGGATGTTTGATTATATGGTCACATGTGATGTATTTGTTACCATTCTTGTACAGTGCATGATTTCTCAACAGCAGAACTTGCTTGCCATGAACAAGTGTAACGTATATATTCTCCCATGACATTGTCTGGCTTCACTCTGGCTTCAGCATACTTGGAGAAATATCCTGTAAAAAGAAATCATGTTTTATGGCATCATATACCTATAACTGGAGTTCAGCCATATACTTGAGATCACATCTAGTGTGGAGTTAGGCTACTAGCTTTAGGAAGGTCACAGTGCTGACACCGTTACTGTGTTTACATAATGTTATGCAACAGTTGTAATGTTTATGAGAGGATAAGGAGATCTCAGATATGATTATCAGTGGTTATCATTTCACTGTTAATGAGATTTTATCCATGGTGTATACCTCCAGGTAAGCCCTTACATTGAACTGGTGTGGTAAACCAGTTTATTACACTTACTAGTCTTTTAAGTTGGCAGGCTTTTACTGGGTAGTGTATTATACCCTATAGGCATACACATCGACAAATATTAGTTAGCCTGTGTTCTTTTGGAACACTTAAACATGCTGTTCAGATCATATGTGAAAATGGAGATTTTGTGATACATTTCAGCAACAATCTTATTCTGATAAAACATTCACTCAAAGTTCAGGGTGTCATTGGCTGATTTTCTTCAATCTGAAAGTGGAATCCAGATCTATAACAGACCGTTTCTGAGCAATATGCAAGGACATGTCATCCATAAACTTTTAGGAAATCAAGTGAAGGTGGCACAGTACACCAACCTAGGACTCCTGTATTCTTGTCTGGGCACACAATATGTAGTGCTTTTGGTCCTCTGGAGACAGATTCTCAAACTGAGATGATCTTGTACTTTTTACTCAACTCTTGTGTGTAATGTTATAATTTATCAATTTGTTTTGCAATGTACTCTGACAATTCTTTTTATTCATCTGGTTGAAACAACAACTAGACTAACATGATCATGATGATGCAGGTCATTGTGTAGTTCTGGTTTCTGTGAAATAACTATGACTTGGGAAGGAAACATCTTGTCCTTCAAGAGATTCAGTATGGACTAGAATCTATGCTTGCTCTGTAGCAGTTTTAAATTGATTTTATTCATAAGATAAATACTGGTAGTATGTGAATTTGCCAAAATCATATGCAGAATGATGTAGTAATCAGAAATCGTTGAAGCACATGTCATTATTGTAAATTTGTAGGTTTGTTATGGAAAAATATCAATTATGTTAGCAAAACATTATCTTTCTCTGATGAATAATGCATGAATATATATTTAAAAAAACATCCCACACAGTTTGTCATGGTTACTGATCATCTCCTGCAAGATCTACTATGATAATAACAGGGCTTGCACAGGTTTGAAAAGGCCTTGAATAACCACTGACTCAAACACCTTGAATTACACCTAAACAACAGATATGTTTTTTTATTAATATATGAAATACAAACATGCTTGAGAGAGTCTGAATGTTTGCAATAATAGTGCTTGATAATAAGTAATTTAAACTTTGTGGCTAGTTGTGCACACCTTATTTGCATGATAATTACTTAATTACAAGTGTTCTACTGATTAGGTGTGATTCTAATTAGGGATGAGTTTCTTCCCTTTATCATGTTTACGTCTCATCACACTTTTCACTTGCCTTGAAATGCCCCACACTAATTGCCCGATTCTACAGATGCATTGTCCCATTGTGCCCTCAGATCATCACGCATAAAGACATTGGATTAGAGTGTAAGATCTGATTTTTATGTGATTAACTAATGGAGAGAAAAAACTAAGTTTGTGTACTAACAGGCCAAAAAACTGAAATAGACCTAGTCAAATTTGCAAACTTTGCTTACATTTACTATGTGAGCTATGAACTGTATGTTGAGATGAAAAGTTTCTTGTACCTGCATTTCTTTGGCACATTCTGACTGCTTCTACTTCTAGTGTGTACATCACACTGAAACATTGTGCAGACTTCACAGTCCAGACATTTCTGTCCCTTCAGTCTTAATTTGTATAAGTGTCAATGACCAAGATATCAGATAAAGTTTATGTTCAGTCCTACTCACTTAAGTATGAGTGTCTATCCTCAGCGAGGAATTTTGCCGAGTGAGGCACTGAACATCAAACAGTACACTTTGCAGAATGAGACAGGTTTAAAGCAATCTGAAAATGGGCTGAAGCCTATGTTCTCTCAATTTTTGGCAAAGCAAGGCACCTGTGTTTGTAAAAGACAACTAACAGGATCAGGTGGTCAGGCTTGCTGCCTTGGTTGACACATGTCATTGTGTCCCAACTGCATAGATCGATGCTCATGCTGTTGATCACTGGATTGTGTGGTCCAGATGCAATGATTTACAGACCGCCGCCATATAGCTGGAATATTGCTGAGTGAGGCATTAAACGATGAACCAAAAAGATATTGTGCTGCGATGAACCCTGCCTGATGTTGTTAGACCTTGTATCAATGGACTTTCAGTATCATATACAGCAGGTGCAGCAAGCAGGTACAGGTGGTTAATGTTTGTAGCTTACAGCTTGAGTAAATGTACTAAAAACATCTGCTACATCTACCTGTCATATTGACAATGTTGCTACAGAACGTTATTGAAGTATCAATAATCAAATAAACACTCCGTTAACTGTTATTTTATTAAGCTTATGGCCCCAACAACAGTCAAGTTGCCCTGGCAACCTATTTAGCCACAAGAGGATGAATATTTATTGACAATCACATCAGAATTAACATGCGTTTAGATGCTGTCGTAATCTGTAGTGTGATCAATGGTGATGGTAGATGATTATTACAGGGTTCTAAAATCTTTGTATTAGAGTGCCACTTCCATTGTTAAAATCAAATGGCATTACGATAAGTGACTCCTATATGAGGCCGTTGATAAACTTTCATTTGCTCAACTAAACTTGATAAATACTTGGGAACTGATGCTATGTATACAGCACCATTGATTCATGAAAATATGGGGATTCACTTCCAGGAATGGCATCACCATCTCAATCTCTGTTTTTCATGCCCATGCTTGTAATTTTATTAGATGGCCATCTTTGGTGTTTTTTGTTGTAAATGGATCCAAGGTATGTACCATACAAGAATGGAATCATGAAACCATGGATACTGCAGAAAGTGACTGTTTATCATTAAAACTTAAAATGATTCTGTCTGCAGATGTCTATATAACATTAAAACTCTCTGATTCTGTCTGCAGACGTCTATATAACATTAAAACCTCTGATTCTGTCTGCAGACGTCTATGTAACATTTAAACCTCTGATTCTGTCTGCAGACGTCTATATAACATTAAGCCCTCTGATTCTGTCTGCAGAGGTCTATATAACATTAAAAGCTCTGATTCTGTCTGTAGACGTCTATATAACATTAAAAGCTCTGATTCTGTCTGCAGAGGTCTATATAACATTAAAACCTCTGATTCTGTTTGCAGACGTCTATATAACATTAAAACCTCTGATTCTGTCTGCAGATGTCTATATAACATTAAAACCTCTGATTCTGTTTGCAGACGTCTATATAACATTAAAACCTCTGATTCTGTCTGCAGACGTCTATATAACATTAAAAGATTCTGTCTATATAACATTAAAAGCTCTAATTCTGTCTGCAGAAGTCTATATAACATTAAAACCTCTGATTCTGTCTGCAGACGTCTATATAACATTAAAAGCTCTGATTCTGTCTGCAGACGTCTATATAACATTAAAACCTCTGATTCTGTCTGCAGACATCTGAGGAAGAAGAGTGGTGGTCAGACGAACATGGCATCCTTCATCACCTACGGAAGAGGAAAGGTGACCTTGGCTTCATCCATGGTTTTGTCGCCTCTTTGTCTGTCATTATTGTGTCGGAGCTGGGAGACAAGACTTTCTTCATTGCTGCCATTATGGCAATGCGACACTCACGTCTCACCGTCTTGACTGGAGCTCTTGGTGCTCTCATCTTTATGACCATCCTCTCAGGTAGGTCTTTGTCATGACATGTTACTTTGGGCTTCTTTGTGTCCACTATAGTGTTCATGTCTAGAACACAGTCTAATATAAAGCAACTGAATGTCAAAATGTGTTGTTCAAATGTTATGAATATCGTTTTCAAGGTGCCGTGTCTGATCTTTGTGACAAGGGAAACCTAAAGTAACTATATGTTGTGTTGACTTATTAAAAAAATGTCAAACTTTATCAAATAACTGTTCAAGTGACAATTTTAGCAAACAGAGGTCTCTTAGGCATGTTACAGATGTTATTATCAACACCAATGGGCTTGCAAAATGCTGAATAGGCAAGTTTTGCGTGTGAAATCCTGTCCTAACTTAAATTTCCATCTTTTCAATCACTGTTAGCTCTTCAACTAAGGTCAAGGTTGGACCTGGTTGGGGTCTTGTCCACAGAGCCCTGACTTTACAGACTGTTAGTATCCTCTAGTCATATTCTTGGTTTACATAGAGTCTAGGGTATTGGCTTCACATGACTAGCGCGGAGCACCTGGATCTTCCTGGTGGAGTAACTTCAGTGTTATTCTGTTGTAACAGGTTTGGTCGGGTATGCCACAACTGTGATTCCACGGGCCTATACTTACTACGTATCCTCTCTGCTGTTTGCCGTGTTTGGTATCAAGATGTTGAAGGAAGGTAAGTGAAAGATAAGATCACTTTATAAATGCATTGTTTTAGAGTAATGGCTGTCTGTCCCTGCTCATATTCAAGGGGAACAACTCTAGGGTTATTATACCACTTGTCTGCAAACACAAGTCTATGGTGTACGACAGTTTTCACTTCCTTCTTTCACTTTTCATACAAATTACTATGTCAAGGCCTAGCCTCACCATATAGAATGGTCTTCCTTTTGTTCAAATCATTGAAAACTGACGCCAGTGTTCATGGTTTTCATCCCCCACGTGGGTACAATGTGTGAAGCCCATTTCTGGTGTCCCCCGCCGTGATATTGCTGGAAGATTGCTAAAAGCAGCGTAAAACCATACTCAGTCAGTCAGTCAGTCAGTCATGGTTTTCATCAAAGTAGTAAATGCCGCAAGACCTGTATGATTTTGGATTTCTTCTCAGCTGTCTCAAGAAGAGACACTGTAAGTGAAATAATGTTAAAAGTATTGTTAAACTCATCTCACAATCCTGGTTGTAGGGTGGGCCATGTCGCCAGACGAGGGCCAAGAGGAGTATGAAGAAGTGCAGGCAGATCTCAAGAAGCGTGAGGATGAGGTACAGGAAGACTTATCTTGAATAGTGGGGGTCTGATCCAGTGTCTTGTCTGTTGTGATGTATACCCTGGAACCACTCACTGTCAGGCCTTTTTTATTTCTAACTTTGCATAGAATTCTCTTGGTTTGGATCCTGAAATCAACAACCAATGAAAATGTCTCTGCTCGGTGTCAGTTCAGCATATATTACATGTTAGAAATGATAGTTTTGTCCCTCAGAATATGAAATCAAATCAGAAGATTTCTGAATTTTCCTAACACTTGAAAAAATGTTCAGAAGTTTATTGTACAGCATGTCAGTTAACTATTCAACACGTGTAGAGAAATATATCACTCTGGTTGTATGTGCAGCTCCAGAAACAGAACATGCCAACCACCGACATCGAGACTGGTATTATCCGCACCCCAGGGCGCCGCTTGCTGTCGGGACTCATCTCCACAGTGTTACTTCAAAGTTTTACCTTGACATTTCTAGCTGAATGGGGAGACCGATCTCAGATTGCAACAATAGTTTTAGCAGCAAGGGAGGTAAGTGTTGCAACTGTCAGTTTATAATCATCTCCATGGTTACTGAGACAGCTCAGACTTGATGACTTGATTGATTGCACTTTGTTGTATCACTATCAGCATAATGGCAACTCGTACTGAGTGGTATGTTGCTCATAATCTTAATCACTGGTTTGTCTGGTCCTTACTCAGTTATTTAAAGGCCATCATTATTATGTTGGAATATTGCTCACTGTGGCATGAAACAGTGGCAGCAGAAATTACCATTTTGATCATGTGTTTGTTTAAATCTGTTCAGTGTCATACTTTTTTTATGTGAACAATTGTTTATTTTTTATTTTAATTGATTGTACAACAATGTGTGTTTCAGGAAATCTGGGGGGTGTTGCTGGGAGGGTTCCTGGGTCATGCTATCTGCACAGGGCTGGCTGTGATAGGAGGGAGGATGATTGCTCAGAGGATATCAGTTAGAACAGGTGTGTGTCTTCAAGTGTCCTTCAACCTTGGTATGACTGAGAAAGATTGGTTTTTGATTGTTCATTTGTGATTTATGTCCTAACAAATTCCTCATGAAATGTAGATAAAAATTGCAAGACAAAATTATTTTGTTATAAAAAATGAAAATGTATTGTAGCTTTTCTACATATTTAAGTTATCTTTTAAAACTCAGTGCCTATGAAGCTGAAAGTAGCTTGGATGGATCCTTCAATACTCTGTCTTAACATCCTGACAAAATATTTCAAGTGTTTGTCCTGATTGACATTTCATATTCACATGCTCAGTATACCTATTCTTCTGATTTTATCAATGAGGTAAACTTCAATCAGTTTCAGACTTAAGGTTTCCCCAAAATTAAAGATGACATTTTTACAAGATTTATTTTAACAGATTTCAATATGTTTCAGAATGTTTACATCGTTTTTTGTATCTATTTCAGTTACTTTGATTGGTGGTGTAGTGTTCATCTTGTTTGCATTCTCGGCGCTGTTTTTCGGTCCTGACGACTGAGGCTTCACATCGAAGACATCACAACTCTGCCCAGTAATATATTATCACTTAGCATCATGTTATGTCACAACTGGCCCCGCTGCCATCTTATAAAGTGCTCACAAGACAGTGGAACATATGTAGGTGTTTGCTTGCAGAACAAGTAGGGAATTACGCAATTTAATTTCTCCTAGGGAATTGAATAAGAACTCATATTTACCGATATATATTTCTAGTTTGCAATCAGGGTGGAACAGGACCTAGTTTCCCAAAGCAGTCTTAACACGAAGATGAACGATAATTCCATCCTGTAACACAGACTTGCTGTCATCTTAGGGTGAAGGTCGCTTGGTGGAATCAGGTAATGCGAAAGCTATTTAAATAATAATTGGCAACCAAGAGAAGAAATCAGTTGTTTTGAGCTAGACTCTAGTTTATAAGAGGAAAAGCAATGATCTGTGAATGTGATGTACAGGACTACTGGTAGTAATGACTTGATTGTTGAGTAGTGTTTTGAAATTCCTACCACGATCATCCTTGTTAGCTTGTTTGCTGTGCTACGTGTTTGTAGTTGTGGCAACTGATACCACTCAAAATCATTAAAATATACAGAATACATGTCTATACATTGCCCAGATAGGTGCAGGCTTTGTTCTAGACTATTGACTAAATATCCCACTGATATTTTTCAGGTATACAGATACAAAAAGATATTCTTTCAAAAATTAAAATCATGACAGTGATGTCATGCCATTTGTCACCAGCTAAATCCCTGTCTATGTGTTCAAAGATTCATCATAGGGAATTGTCAGCCATTATTATTTTGTAAGAATATTTTGATCAAGAGCCAAGTAATTAGAGTTCCATGTTACTAATCATGATAGTGTGATGTATGAACGTGTCTTGATAAGTATTTTATTCAGCATCAACAACTGACTATGGTGTTTATGAAAAAATCAAACATGACATAACAGGTTGTGAAGTAGGGGCAGATTGTAAAACAGTTCCAAAGAAACAAACTTGTTAAGGGATTCTCTCTGTAACATGACCATATTATGTTATATTTGCAGTGTTAGTATTTATTCAGAAATACATCTCCACATCTGCTATATCATCTTATTGTGTGAGTGATATCACTATCTTGATATTATCTGCAAAAACTCACAAAGTGTGTCTGCTGGTCTGTGTTGAAGATAGGTAGTATCAGGGCTCCAGATACGGGTTGTATCAGCGTATGTACGGATATAAAATAAGCACGATACGGTAGGAAATAATTTAGAAAATGTAGCAGATACACACCACAGCAATGGTGTACGGTCTTAGAATCCTTATCAGACATATTTATCTGAAAATGTATTGTTTTATTGATTATTGCAATGTTGTGGTGCATATATGAAACTAAACACAAGATTTCTGATACTCCATTAAATCCCATTCAGTACTCTAACTGTACTCTTAAGGTTTTCCAGTACTCCTGTATTGAAAAAATAAGGAGTACGTACTCCTGATGTTGAAAAATTATCTGGAGCCCTGGAGTATGGTTTTTGTTTCTATCTCACCTGTCTCCCTTTTTGCCAACAGCGTATGTTTCTCAAAACAAGTTAAACACACCTTCAACTGGAGGCTGTGGGTTTCAATACACCAGTCGTGATTGATTAACGTAATTTATATGAAAACTGTTATGTGTATTTCTTTGAGTAGCAAACATTTTGCAAACATGTAACTATTGACTGATGTGTCAATATGGTGTTAGGAAGATGTTATTTTTTCATGTTACCATGGTTACAATGTAGGTACCACTAACTAATGGGTTCTTTAAACCATAATGGTTCATTAAATTTTTTATGTGTAATTTGCTGATGGTGGCATTAGAATGGGTTGTACAAAGCCTTCATTATATGATACTTTTAAATGCAAAAGTTCAGTTAATATCCTTTTAAACTAGGGTATTTCCCAATACGTTTTCCACAATTCTGTTTTAAGAAACAAGCATTTTTACTTTCCTTGACACCTGCAAAGTGACGTGAATAACAGCACTTGTTGGTTCAAAATATTGCTGAATACAACACTTCTGATGTTCACATTTGATGTACATGTTTTGGAGTTTTCAATGCAAAATATCAGCACAATTATGCATTATATCAGGCATGTTTGCTTTAGCAACCCCACGCTAATGGTACCCCCAATCCTTCATTAGTCTACGGCCTGGTAATGGAGGGAGGGAGTCATTAGGTTTGATACAACAAATTTATTTGATTGAGGTCCAGTAATTTTAATATATTTTGACACAACTCAGACCTGACTTTTTGCATGAATTTATGCTCTAAAAGTGAATAATGAATATTTTTTGTAATTACATTTTAAGATGCATAAATTACTTTTGTCCAGTTACTATTGTTACTATCAACATTGGGACCATGTTTCACAGGCCATCAGACATTCTTGACTAAAAAACACATGTTAGTATTGTTACTGTTTTAACACTGATCTGTATACCATAATTTGTATGTGTAAATAACAAAGTTTGAAAGATCCATTCCGTACATGACATAAATATATTATTGCATCTGTCTGTTGCTTAGCAACAGTAAATAATATCATGCATTATATACCTTCTCTCTGCTGTGTAGCCTGTTGAATAATTTCCAGAATATGTAAACTGTTGTCTTAGCTGAGCTGGTTTACATCCAACTGTTTGCAACAAAGATTATATCATCTTTATATTTTGTCATTCCAATCAAGCCAAAAATAACTTGACCAGGGCCCTCTGCCAAAGAGCAATCTTAGGGCCAACAGGTCCTAACTTAACATAAACTCACAGTAGTGGGAATGCTGAAAGTGGAAAGGGCCCTGATTACTGATCAATGCCTTATGAATTTGCGTTCTACAGTGTTGATTTCATCCATCTAGTCCGACCCAAAAACAGTCTGAAATTAATACATGACAGGGTCTGTATATTCTATCTTATGTCACATGGTGAATCAGCCCCACTATCAAGGATATTAAGTAGGTTCTGATATGTTTTTCATCATGGTACCTTTCACTTTTTGTCTCAATCATGTATAATTTTGTTGCCATGGAAACTTCAGCTTTATTTAACATCTCAGTTTCTACTGTGCTTGATGTGTTCCTTGTTGAGAATAATTCCAGAATTCAGCTCAGTGGTGTTCCATGCATTGACTATACCTATATTTACTAAAGAATTCAATGGAAGTACAAGTGTAAATGTAAACAGAGTTTGGGGAGGGGGGAGAGACAAATCAAGAGGTGGATTTAAGACAAAGGTTGGGGGTTGGGGTCAGGAGGTCAGCAATATCTATCACAGCTACAGGGGAGTGATGAAAAAATTTACAGATTTATTTTCTTACTTTTTTATTTTATTTTCAATAAAAAATATCATAAATTTGAACCACATAAAGGGATTAATCATTCATTGGGGATGTTATTCCTGAAAAATATGGATGGTGGTGGTGGTGGGGCAGATGATAAAATGTGACATAAATTCTCTGAATTGTAGACTCAGCCACGTAGATGTTGCAATAAAAGTTTAAATAGCACTGTTTAATTACACATGCTTAAAAAAATCAGACCTCTGTGTTTATTTGTGTGTTTTTAGAGGTTTGTTATCATGATCATGTGTATAAAATAGTTTATCAATTAGCTGTACGTTAAATCGTTCAAAACTTAACTTTGATGTTGCAAATTGTTTCCAGGTTAATACCAGCAGTTTATGAGTGTTACTCAGTATCTATGGTAACAAGGAGGAAGTTCAGAAATATGTATGGGGAAACAATACTGAGGAAATATTAACTAGACTAATGTTTGTTTCAAGTTGAGTAAGCGTAACATTTTGAGTGTTCTTTAAAGTGACTTGTGCTTGATTCCCTTCTTGCATTTAGTGTCATGTGATCCAGCTGAAGTCTAAGATTCAGCATTTATAGGTTAGGCAAGTCGTTGACATTGTTTTACATATACCAGAGGCAGATGACATTGTGACCTGCACAGGGGTGTCTGAAAACAGGGGCACCCATGCATTCCCTCGGGATCCTACAGTGTCAACTCTTGTCTTCTGAACATAATAGTTGTTAAGTTTATTTGACTTATTTTAAATCCAACCAGAACTACAGTGATCTGTAAATGCATGGTCAGAGGGGTTTGAAACAGTATCAACAATGGGAGTTTTATCTGTGTCCAGTTCTTACAAAGTGCCACTGGATTTGGTAATGTGATGCCATTTTATGGCATGATGACTTTTAAGGAAACTAGGTGCACAGGAAGTAGCATATCACTGAGAGAATGCACACCATATTCCAGTACAAATTACAGGTCTAGCTTATATATTTTATGTTAATCTGTATATAAGACGATAGATTTGTTTTGTCTTTTGTGAATGTTGATATTTGAGGCTCAGATGAATTGTGTATATACTCCATTTTTAAATAAACATTGTCATAAATGTGGTATTATTTGAATGCTCATGTCTTAGTGTAACCTTTCGAACTCATTCAGGTCAGATTTATCACTGTTACCTCTCTGCACAAAAGTCTTACAGCACTTCTATTTATCCATCCTGATGAACTATCTAATCGACAGTCAGCAACAAGGTTTCTGAAGTTTTAAAGCATCTGCATCAACATATCTGATATCTGAAACTTAAAATAAACAGTTCTGAATTTAAACAAGCGTAATAATGTACCAAAATGGGTACACTGAAGGACTGTGCTTTTTGTTTTGTGAAGAGGGAAATTTCTGAAATGCTGTGTTATAAGAATGATGCTGAATTTGTATAGAGAGCTGACATCTGAATGGGTCAAGAGCCACAGATCCTGTATTTAGAATGTGGCATCAAGCTCAAATAATCTGAATGTAGTGAGATTGACTGTTTCCTGTGTCTTGCTTTCATCTACTTAAGTTTGTCTCCTTCTGGCTATCATGTTTCTGAGGTTAGACTGTTGCTGGTTCTTTGGTTTGATCTGCTGAAGGTTTACGAGGGTCTCACTGACAGTTGTTGTTAATTAACAGAGACCATATATCAGTATATGGTTTCTGTTATTAATCTGAAGAATTTATCCAGATCAAACTTTCTTGTAAAGAAAATATACACTAATCATTGAAATGGTTGAGATGATAACTGATCCTTTATTCATTTTGGTCAATTAACCTATAAAATCATAAAAATATAATCCTGAAACAATTTTGAAACAATATTTCTTCTCCAAATTCCTGTCTAAAATCACACTCGTACCCTATGCACAATTAGTTGTTCGAAGTTTGGTTGAGCTGCTTCAAATAATGTGTTTGTGATAGGCCTTCAGGTAAGTTCAAGAACTCATCAAGCCTTGTTGGTCAGAGCAAGAAATCCATTTTCCTTGGGACCACAATGCACAGTGTAGAG